AGGAGAGACACATGGAACGAGGGGTTAATATTCTTGTAATCAATTGGCAGTTGTAACCTGTAACACACCTCGTTCAATCTCCTCAGGACTTTAAAAGGCCCCACAAACCGCCGACCCAGCTTCCGGCAGGGCAGGCGGAGGGGCAGGTTTCTGGTCGAGAGCCAGACTCGATCTCCAGGTGCGTACACTGGCCCCTCACTGCGGTGGAGATCGGCGCTCGTCTTATGTCGACGGATGGCTCTCTGCAGATGGATGTGTGCAGCGTTCCATGTCTCCTCCGAGCGCCGCACCCACTCATCCACCGCAGGGGCCTCGATCTGGCTCTGATGCCAAGGTGCCAGAGCTGGCTGGTACCCTAACACACACTGGAAAGGAGTTAGTTTAGTGGAGGAGTGGCGGAGAGAGTTCTGTGCCATCTCGGCCCAGGGAACATACCTCGCCCACTCCTCCGGCCGGCATGGGCAATACGACCTCAGAAACCTACCCACATCCTGGTTGACACGTTCGACCTGCCCATTACTCTCCGGGTGGTAACCCGAGGTAAGGCTCACCGAAACCCCCAAACGCTCCATAAACGCTCTCCAGACTCTGGAGGTAAACTGGGGGCCTCGATCAGACACTATATCCTCGGGTACCCCGTAATGCCGGAAGACGTGGGTGAATAGAGCCTCAGCGGTCTGTAGGGCAGTAGGAAGACCCGGCATGGGAAGGAGACGACAGGCCTTCGAGAACCGATCCACAACGACCAGGATGGTGGTATTCCCCTGTGAGGGGGGAAGGTCTGTAACAAAATCCACCGAGAGGTGAGACCAGGGTCGTTGTGGAACGGGCAGGGGTTGTAACTTACCCCTGGGCAAGTGTCTGGGCGCCTTACACTGGGCACACACCGAGCAGGAGGAGACATAAATCCTCACATCCCTGGCTAACGTTGGCCACCAGTACTTTGTGCTAAGGCAGTGCACTGTCCGGCCAATACCTGGATGCCCAGAGGAGGGTGACGTGTGAGCCCAATAAATGAGTCGATCCCGGACCTCGAGCGGGACGTACGTCCGACCCACCGGACACTGTGGAGGGCTAGGGTCGGTGCGTAACGCCCGCTCGATCTCCGTATCGACCTCCCACACCACCGGTGCCACCAGACAAGACTTAGGTAGTATGGGAGTGGGCTCAACGGACCTCTCCTCTGTGTCATACCGCCGAGACAGGGCGTCTGCCTTCCCGTTCTGGGACCCAGGGATGTAAGTGATCTTAAACACGAACCGGGCTAGAAACATAGTCCACCGAGCCTGGCGAGGATTTAGTCTCCTAGCCGCCCGAATGTATTCCAGGTTACGGTGGTCAGTCAAAATGAGAAAAGGGTGTTGAGCCCCCTCAAGCTAGTTGGTGCAGGGGACGGCCCCACTCTGGCTCCTTCTCCTCCGTTCTCTAGCGCCAGCACCCCCGAGCTCCATAGGACTCGGCTCGGAGGTGCTGGAGGGTGGAATGGGCGACCCCCACCCAGGACGTCCGCGGGTGGCGAGCAGGGTGTCTAGCCGAATGGCCATGTCAACCAATTGGTCAAACGAAAGAGTGGTGACCCTGCACGCCAACTCTCTACAGACGTCCTCCCTGAGGCTGCAGCGGAAGTGATCTATGAGGGCCCGCTCATTCCACCCTGCATCTGCCGCTAGAGTCCGGAACTCCAGTGCAAACTCTTGAGCGCTCCTCATCCCCTGCCGGAGGTAGAATAGACGCTCCCCCGCCGCCTTCCCCTCAGGTGGATGGTCGAACACTGCCCGGAAGCGGCGGGAGAACTCCACATAGGTGATCGTTGCGGCGTCTATCCTCCTCCATTCGGCGTTGGCCCACTCCAACGCCTTGCCGGTGAGACAGGAGATGAGGGCGGAAACGCTCTCGTGTCCCGAGGGCACCGGGTGTACGGTGGCGAGGTAGAGTTCGATTTGCAACAGGAAACCCTGACACCCGGCCGCGGTGTCGTCGTACGCCCTCGGGAGCGAGAGCCGAATCCCACTGGGTTCTGGAAGTTGGACAGGTGGACTGACCGATGGTGATGGTTTGGTAGGTGGGGGCGTGGGTACCCCGCTGGCCTCCCATCGATGGAGGGTGTTCATCACCCTATCCAGAGCGTGCCTGATCTGGTTGATCCTGTCCTCCTGTCCACGAAGGCGCTCCTCAATAATCTCGGTAGGTGCGGCTGCTCCTGCTGATTCCATAGTGATGGTGTGTAATTCTGTCACAGTTGAGTGTAGAAGTGGTGTGGAATCAAGCGCAGGACACACAGAGGCTTCGTACTGACGTCTTTAGTGAAGACAAAAAGAACAAGCCAAACACGGCTACATACAACCTGGCAGGCAAGCGAACTTTACGCACACCGGTAAAGTACATACAAAGGCACAAAAGTGCGGAGCACTCTACTACACCGAACAGAGAGACAAAACGAACTAGCATCCCACAGTGACAACGAACAATTACACACAACACATGACAAAACTCAAGAGAACTTATAGGACGCATAATGAACACTACCAAGGAACAGGTGTAACAAAACAGACAAAACCAATCAAACATCGAAACATAGAACGGTGGCAGCTAGTACTCCGGAGACGACGACCGCCGAAGCCGAAGCCTGCCCGAACAAGGAGAAGGAGCAGCCTCGGCCGAAACCGTGACAGGGATGAATACTTTTGCAAGGCACTGTATTTTCTACAAGGGTGTCTTAAAACCTCAATGGACGGCACTGAGCTATCTGTTCCTCTTGATTGTGAGCACTGCAGCAGTGTTATGGATAGCTAATTTAAAAGTGGATCAAGCTAATTTAAACAAAAGTGTAATCTTGTCTAATAAATACTCCATCACACGCCCATCACGGTCTGCTTTGCTGACTCATTAAGCTACAGCTCCAGGCAAACACACCCACTCCAAACACACCCACTCCAAATTCTACTACTTCGGCCAAAGATGGGTTTTGTCAACATAGTTTCCTCCTTATTTCAACTTAATTCATCAACATGGCTGTGTATCACTGTGGCAATTTGGTTGAATTAGTAAAATGTCATCATGTACACAGTTTCTGGTCTTTGTAATTTATTATCCCCATGGAATATGCCACAACTAGGCTACAATGTATCAGCCTGGAGATTAAATCACCTTAGTTTCTGACATATTGAATGCTGGAAGGTTGTTTGGTATGCCAGGTGATTTGTAGATCAGTCTGCAGCACCAATAACTGACAGACAAATTACACCCCCTTGTGATGATAGCTAGATAGCAGGATCACATAATTAATGCATCTCTATGGGAAATCTATAGTATACATTTTGGTCAACTGTTGAGCCATAAATGACAGCATTGCTATTTCTGAGGAAACTGAAATGGGCTCACATTCTAATTATTGATGAATTTAGTGTCGCTCAAGCCCATAGTTAGATGGTAAATATAAGACAATAAAAAAATCTCAGATCGATTTCACTTCCAGGCACTAGGGGTCCTCAGTGGCTAGCGGTGCATGATGGCTCAAAATGTATTTGTTTTTGTCACATGACAGGAAAGTCCCCGTTGGAACGTTTGCCAAACAAGGAAGAAATCCCACAGCTAGCTAGCTTGCTAATGCCCGCGACTTTGCGACAGCTAGTGGGGGTGAAGTTCGAAACAAAATATGAAGACGTTTATGATCACAGTTAACTAGCTTCACGTCCTGTGGCTAACTTTCGTTACATATAGCAAAGACTGTCTACTCACTCTTGTCTTGCTGCTAATGCTATAAGATCCAACGAAGCTTGACATACCAGTTTAGCTACTGGGCTAGAATTCTCCTTGTCGATTAGTGTCGAGTAGTGTGTGTGCTGTCTGCATTCCTGTGTTGAGTTTTTGACAGCGGACTTTTCACTTCTTTTGTCTTTCGCCCTAACGTTGGGTGACTGTCCTAGGTAGCTAGCTAGGTCATTGTCCACCCAGTCACTTGTCATGCTAGGCTTTTGAATAGAAAGCTAGATAGCTAGCTAGGTGGTTAGTAACGGCGCTTTTTGACTGTCATTCTTTTCTCTTGAGTTTTTGACACATCACATCGGACTAGCTGGATCATGGGCTCAAATCACCTTAACAACAACTAGTTAGCTAGCTAACTAGCTTAAGGTAAGTTGTCTTTTCTAAAGTCATTGGCAGCTGGTCTGGCAACTTTAGCCATAACTAGCTAACGTTATCTGATTTATCCAGGTAGTGACACACTGTAGCTATCGTTGTCAAAACAGAAACGACCTGTGATGTCCGCCTAGAATCTAGTTTGGCATTAGGGTCATTCCACTTCAAAAAGCACAAGAAAGAGGATTTCGACACGCACCATCTCAGATTGTTCTGAAATCGTTTCTGTTGTTAGAAACAGATAATATTAGTATTCCTGCAACATTAACGTATTTCGTTGAAATATAATTTGATCTAATTATGGTAAATAATTTCATCCAAATTGGCCATTTTAATTTATAGGATTCATATAATATTCAGTAAATATAGTACCTAACATCTGATTTGGACAACTTTTTTCTAACAATGGGTTCGGCATGAGGAATCCAAAATAATTGTCAAAAGTCACCCACGGACACCCCACATTAATCCCACCCCAACAACCAATATATAGTAACAGTTCTCTGTGTCTGACAAGTAGTATGGAGCTGTAGCTAGCTACTGTCAGATTTAGTATCTAGGCTAGCTGTCAGGGAAACTGCCATCATATGACAATTGTGAAGAGCACCATCAGGTGTTATGTTGCAATGCAATCTTAACTTTGTTCTAAATAATGTGTGTTGCCACTTACCAGTTCACTATGGAATGAGGCCTCAAGCCATGCTGCTTTAATGTTTGGTTGTCTTTACCTTTTTCACCAGATTTCATGTTATTCTGGAGAGGCTGTCACAAGAAGATTCCAGACCTTTTCATCCAAGATTTCCCCCCACACCTTCCCCACTAAGCCCCACCCCCTCTCCACTCCCTCTCCCTGACCCCTCATAATGTTGGAGGGACTTGTTGCCTGGGTACTCAACACATACCTAGGCAAATATGTCAGCAACCTAAATACAGACCAGCTCTCCATCGCCCTCCTCAAAGGTAGCCTGTCTGTCTGTCCGTTTGTCTGACTCAGGGTGTCCACTGTCAGTTTCTACGATGACATCATCCTCGCTCTTACCCTCATTGAATTTGACAGCTCTTCAACTTGCCAAACATCCTATGCTACCAGAATCCCTGCAATATACAATATAGCACAATAAATATAATAATGTATCATGCATTTACTGTAACTGAAGTCTAGGCCCACCCTTGATAACCCTTGTCTTCCCTAGGGGCGGTGGAGCTGGAAAACCTTCCCTTAAGGAAAGATGCCCTCCGAGAGTTTGATCTGCCCTTTGAGGTCAAAGCAGGTGAGTGATCCATCAAAAAGGTTATCTTTGAAAACATTCACAATAACTATATATATATATATATACAGTGAGGGAAAAAAGTATTTGATCCCCTGCAGATTTTGTACGTTTGCTCACTGACAAAGAAATGATCAGTCCATAATTTTAATGGTAAGTTTATTTGAACAGTGAGAGACAGAATAACAACAAAAAAATCCAGAAAAACGCATGTCAAAAATGTTATAAATTGATTTGCATTTTAATGAGGGAAATAAGTATTTGACCCCCTCTCAATCAGAAAGATTTCTGGCTCACAGGTGTCTTTTATACAGGTAACGACCTGAGATTAGGAGCACACTCTTAAAGGGAGTGCTCCTAATCTCAGCTTGTTACCTGTATAAAATACACTTGTCCACAGAAGCAATCAATCAATCAGATTCCAAACTCTCCACCATGGCCAAGACCAAAGAGCTCTCCAAGGATGTCAGGGACAAGATTGTAGACCTACACAAGGCTGGAATGGGCTACAAGACCATCGCCAAGCAGCTTGGTGAGAAGGTGACAACAGTTGGTGCGATTATTCGCAAATGGAAGAAACACAAAATAACTGTAAATCTTCCTCGGCCTGGGGCTCCATGCAAGATCTCACTTCGTGGAGTTGCAATGATCATGAGAGCGGTGAGGAATCAGCCCAGAACTACACGGGAGGATCTTGTAAATGATCTCAAGGCAGCTGGGACCATAGTCACCAAGAAAACAATTGGTAACACACTACGCCGTGAAGGACTGAAATCCTGCAGCGCCCGCAAGGTCCCCCTGCTCAAGAAAGCAAATATACAGGCCCGTCTGAAGTTTGCCAATGAACATCTGAATGATTCAGAGGAGAACTGGGTGAAAGCGTTGTGGTCAGATGAGACCAAAATTGAGCTCTTTGGCATCAACTCAACTCGCTGTGTTTGGAGGAGGAGGAATGCTGCCTATGACCCCAAGAACACCATCCCCACCTTCAAACATGGAGGTGGAAACATTATGCTTTGGGGGTGTTTTTCTGCTAAGGGGACAGGACAACTTCACCGCATCAAAGGGATGATGGACGGGGCCATGTACCGTCAAATCTTGGGTGAGAACCTCCTTCCCTCAGCCAGGGCATTGAAAATGGGTCGTGGATGGGTATTCCAGCATAACAATGACCCAAAACACACAGCCAAGGCAACAAAGGAGTGGCTCAAGAAGAAGCACAATAAGGTCCTGGAGTGGCCTACCCAGTCTCCAGACCTTAATTCCATAAAAAATCTTGGAGGGAGCTGAAGTTTCGAGTTGCCAAACGTCAGCCTCGAAACCTTAATGACTTGGAGAAGATCTGCAAAGAGGAGTGGGACAAAATCCCTCCTGAGATGTGTGCAAACCTGGCGGCCAACTACAAGAAAAGTCTGACCTCTGTGATTGCCAATAAGGGTTTTGCCACCAAGTACTAAGTCATGTTTTGCAGAGGGGTCAAATACTTATTTCCCTCATTAAAATGCAAATCAATTTATAACATTTTTGACATGCGTTTTTCTGGATTTCTTTGTTGTTATTCTGTCACTCACTGTTCAACTAAACCTACCATTTAAAATTATAGACTGATCATGTCTTTGTCAGTGGGCAAATATACAAAATCAGCAGGGGATCAAATACTTTTTTCCCTCACTGTATATATATATATATATATAAAGTAAACTCAATATGCACAATTAGAGTTATTTTGAGTTGAGCAGAAGATTGGCCTTAATTTCTGTGCACTCACTACACTTATCTCCAGTCCTTGCTGATCAGTCCTGCTTGGTTGACCTTTTGTTCACTAAAAGAACGTCAACAAACAATCAGTGTTATTTAGTCTGGTAACAAGCATGCACCCATAATGGCAAAGGAAATCAATTATTCAACATGCCTTTCTTTCAACCAAACCAGTGATTGGTTTAATTGTTAAGACAAGGCCAACTGGACGATAAGTGTCTGTAGTCAGTGCAGCACAGTGATTAGTATTACAACAGTCTACAGTTCTTAGACATACGATAATAAATACACAACAGCAGCACAATGCATTTCACACAGTACATGACAGCCACAGCTACACTGAGAAAGTATAGAAGTACACAAAAGTCCTATTTCAGGTTGAGCAATGTTCATTTAGTCACATCGAATGAATGTTATCTCAGCTTTTATGACGTTTATCTTCATTATTTGATCTTCATTATAGTGTATAGATAAGGAAAAGGGGCATCATTGTTATCTTCAGTAACTTCTTTACTAAGATAAATCGGGACACAATACGCAGAGCATTATGAGTATTTTAGTACTTCATGCTACACCCTGCTTTCGCTCTCCAGGCTTCATTGGGAAGATCACGCTCCAGATCCCGTTCTACCGACCCCACAGTGACCCCTGGGTCATCTCCATGTCCCAGCTCAACCTCATCATCGGCCCGGTCCGACCCCAGGAGTATGACGAGGAGACGGAGAGGGAGGCCGAGCGCGAACGCAAGAAACAGCTGCTTAAGGCACTAGAGGACAAGTGGAAGGTGTGTGGGAACAGTGCCAAGAATCCTGGAATCAGGCTCAGTTGTATTCTTATCTGTAGACTGTGTATGTATGCAGTATACACTGAGTGTACAAAACATTATGAACACCTGCTTTTTCTCTGACATACACTGACCAGGTGAAAGCTATGATTCCTTATTGATGTCACTTGTTAACCTCTATGGGATGGGTGTCCCGTATACCGGACGGTTGAGCTAATGTGCGCTAATGTGATTAGCATGACTGTTGTAAGTAACAGCAAACTTTCCAGGACATAGACATGTCTTATATGGGCAGTGAGCATACATTCTTGTTAATCTAACTGCACTGTCCAATTTACAGTAGCTATTACAGTGAAAAAATACCATGTTATTGTTTGAGGAGAGTGCAAAACAACAAACCTATCACGGCAACTGGTTTGATACATTCACCTCTGAAGGTAAATAATGTACTTACATTCAATAAGCTTGCTCTGATTTGTCATCCTAAGGGTCCCAGAGATCAAATGTAGCATAATTTTGTTTGATCAAATCAATTTTTATATTCAAATGTAGGAACTGGGTTCTACAGTTTGAACCCCTGCTGTCTCTGGCTCCACACCCACCCCGCCCGGCCTCTAGATGTGTGAAAGTTAGTGTATAAGCTAATGATCCATCATGTATGACATTCCTGGGAGTGTGTAAACTTACATTTTGTATTACCATATCATTTTTGTATGTTCTCTATAGTTATGTACTTGAAAATGTATCAATTGACCAATTCAGCACATTTGGGCAGACTTGATTCAAAATAGTCCAGTATTGCAATGCTTCACTGGATCAATCTGAAACTTTGCACACACTGCTGCCTGCTAGTGGCCAAAATCTAAATTGCGCCTAAACTGCAATATTATATTGTGGCCCTTCTCTTGCATTTCAAAGATGATGGAACAACAAAAAACGCATGTTTTTTTGTTTGTATTATCTTTTACCAGATCTAATGTGTTATATTCTCCTACATTAATTTCACATTTCCACAAACTTTTTCCTTTCAAATGGTATCAAGATTATGCATATCCTTTCTTCAGGTCCTGAGCTACATTCAGTTAGATTTGGGTATGTCATTTTAGGCGAAAATGGGAAAAAAGGGTTAGATCCTTATGAGGTTAAATCCACTTCAATCAGTGTAGATGAAGGGGAGGAGACAGGTTAAATAAGATTTTTAAGCCTTGAGACAATTGAGACATGGATTGTGTATGTGTGCCATTCAGAGGGTGAATGTGCAAGACAAAATATGTAAATGCCTTTGATCAGGGTATGGTAGTAGGTGCCAGGCGCACCGGTTTTTGTCAAGAACTGCAATGCTGCAGTCATTGTATTAGGCTATTGCAGTGAAGAGTGGATTGCTACCTACTTTTGCTATGAAATCATATGTATCCAGGAGTTCCACCAAGCCGCAAGTTTACATGTGATTGTGATATGTACAGTATGTTCAGCATTGTAATGATAGTGACATGTTGCTCATTAGACAACTAGTTGATGTCTTGATTGATGTACCTTTCCCTCAGAGCGAGTGTGAACAGAAAGGAGAGTCCTACTGGTACTCTGTCACTGCCTCTGTAGTCACCAGGATCGTGGAGAACATTGAGGTAAAATATCAAATGTCATTGCAATCCACTTGACTTGTGTTTAGAATCAGAACTGACTTTTCCCATTGGGGTTTCTCTTCAGCTAAAGATACAAGATGTCCACTTGCGATTTGAGGATGACTTGACCAACCCAGGGAAGCCATTTTGCTTTGGTGTCTGCATCAAGAACGTATCTGCACAGAACTCTTCAATAGAACCGGTAAGTTACATGTACCAGTCAGACATCGCTTGCCATATCAAGTGGGTATGGCTGCTCGGTCTAACAGTGTGTTCCTCCTTCTTTACAGGCACAAAGGCTCATGCGGCAAAAGCAACTGGAGATTAAAGAATTCAGTGTCTACTGGGACACAGTGTCTAGCATGTTGGGTGATCTCCCCGCCAACGAGATTCAGGAGGCCATGACCAAGTGCATGCAGAGCCGAGAGCACCAGTATATCTTTGAGCCGGTGTGTGCCTCGGTGCTGCTGAGGAGGAATGCCTCCAAGGAGCCTCTGAGGTCTCGCAACGCGCCCCGCATCGAGGGCCAGGTTCAGCTGGAGCCTCTATCTCTACGACTGTCACAGGTGCAGTACCAGCAGATCATGGCCTTCCTCAAAGAGCTGGACCGCAGGGAGAGGGAGATGATGTTCCGCCAGTGGAGACCCAAAGTCCCCATCATTGGAAACTGCCGGCCTTGGTGGATGTTTGCCATCCAGGCCAACCTGAGTGAGATTCGAGAGCAGAGGCGGAGGGGGAACTGGGAGTTTGCCCTGCGGAGGGCACGGGACGCCCTGCTTTACACCAACCTCTACTTCCAGAGGCTTAAAGGAGCCCCCCTCAATCCCCTGGAGGAGTGTGAATTGCAGAGAGTGGAGGACGAGCAGAATCTGGAGGAGTTGCAAAGCCTTAGGGGAGTTGTCCACGACTGCTTCCGCAAACAGGAGGAAATCGCAGAGAGTGTGAGAGAACCTATCGCTGAGAGCCCACCACCCTGTTCTCCCACAGGGAGCTCCATCCCCAATAGTGGCAGCTCTGGCATGATCCAGTACCTGCAGTCGTGGTTCCCTGGCTGGGGCGGCTGGTACGGAGCGTACCCTGAGACGGGCCCTGATGAGCTGCTACCAGGCCCTGGCACCTGGGACATCCTGGGTAAGAACTAAGGGGCAAATTCTAACTTTCACTAACAGTCATAAATTGATGTCAATGGGAGACTGAACATTTGAAGTTGAAGTTAGGATTCAACCCTAAGAGCTTTTCTCCTGGATCGTTGAACAAAAAAGTATTGTGTGTATGTTGCCATTGAGTGAGTGTAGTCAAAATAATGGGATAGCCCTTTAATACGAAAGAGAGAGAAAATGCTATGTTGGAGTGTAGTACAGATGCACTCTCAGTGTCTTTCAAGGACCTCACACGCTCTAAATTGAAAATGGTTGCTTTTCCCCCCTCGCCCATTCCCTATACATTTGTGTCCTGCTGTAAGGGACGAAAAGTCACAGTGCCATATGTCTCACAGTCTGTGCCAACCTCATCAACCAGATCGTGTCCCTCTGTCTGTCCCCTGTACAGAGGAGGACCTGTTTGACCCTCTGGAGGACTCTCAGACCCTCAACACCTTCACCAGGAGAGACCACCTGTTTGCCCGGCTAGAGTTCCTGCTGGAGACGGGGGCCGTCACCCTGTTCCACCAAGACAAGAGGGGAGCTGAGAGTGGCGTCATCGAGCTCAGGTTCTCAGGTACAGCATGGTGTCCGAAATGGCACCCTATTTCTTATACAGTGCTTTCGGAAAGTATTCAGACCCCTTAACTTTTTCCACATTTTGTTATGCAATACCCCATAATGACAAAGCAAAAAACGTTGTTTTTTTTTGCAAATGTATAAAAAATTACAAAATGAAATATCACATTTACATAAGTATTCAGACCCATTAATCAGTACTTTGTTGAAGCCCCTTTGCTAGCGATTACAGCCTAGAGTCTTCTTGGGTATGACGCTACAAGCTTGGCACACCTGTATTTGGGGAGTTTCTCCCTTCTCTGCAGATCCTCTTAAGCTGTCAGGTTGGAAATGGAGCGTCGCTGCACAGATATTTTCAGGTCTCTCGAGATGTTCGATTAGGTTCAAGTCCGGGCTCTGGCTGGGCCACTCAAGGACATTCAGAGACTTGTCCCGAAGCCACTCCTGCGTTGTCTTGGCTGTGTGCTTAGGGTCGTTGTCCTTTTGGAAGGTGAACCTTTGCCACAGTCTGAGGTCCTGAGCACTCTGAAGCAGGTTTTCATCAATGATCTCTCTGTACTTTGCTCTGTTCATCTTTCCCTCGATCCTGACTAGTCTCCCAGTCCCTACCGCTGAAAAACATCCCCACAGCATGATGCTGCCACCACCATGTTTCACCTTAGGGATGGTGCCAGGTTTCCTCCAGACGTGACACATGGCATTCAGGCCAAAGAGTTCAATCTTGGTTTCATCATACCAGAGAATCTTGTTTCTCATGGTCTGAGAGTCCTTTAGGTGCCTTTTGGCGTCTGGCCCACTCTACCATAAAGGCCTGATTGGTGGAGTGCTGCAGAGATGGTTGTCCTTCTGGAATGTTCTCCCATCTCCACAGAGGAACTCTGGAGCTCTGTCAGAGTGACCATCGGGTTCTTGGTCACCTCCCTGACCAAGGCCCTTCTCCCCGATTGCTCAGTTTGGCCGGGCAGCCAGCTCTAGGAAGAGTCTTGGTGGTTCCAAACTTCTTCCATTTAAGAATGATGGAGGCTACTGTGTTCTTGGGGACCTTCAAAGCTGCAGAAATGTTTTGCTACCCTTCCCCAGATCTGTGCCTTGACACAATCCCGTCTCGGAGCTCTACGGACAATTCATTTGACCTCATGGCTTGGTTTTTGCTCTGACATGCCCTGCCAACTGTGGGACCTTATATAGACAGGTGTGTGCCTTTCCAAATCATGTCCAATCAATTGAATTTACCACAGGTGGACTCCAATCAAGTTGTAGAGACATTTGAAGGAGGATCAATGGAAACAGGATGCACCTGACATACATGTCGAGTCTCATAGCAAAGGGTCTGAATACTTATGTAAATAAGGTATTTCTGTTGTTTCTTTTTAATAAATTTGCTAGCATTTCTAAAAACCTGTTTTCGCTTTGCCATTATGGGGTATTGTGCGTAGATTGATGAGGAAACAATTACTTTTACCCATTTTAGAATAAGGCTGAAACTTAACAAAATGTGGAAAAAGTCAAGGGGTCTGAATACTTTCCGAATGCGCTGTATATAGTGCACTACTTTTGGCCAGAGCCATAGGGGAATGGAGTGCCATTTCAGAGGCAGATTTACTTTATAGGTGACTCCTCTCCCAAATACTGATATTTGTTTGAGAACATAAGTTGATTGAGAATGCATGCTCATGTGGGTAGTGGGTGCGGTGTGATGATTATTGATGGTTTGCCCTGAGCAATGCTGTAACAGTGTCTCCTTTCCTCAGGGGTGAAGGTGGGAGTGGAGTCTCTGCCTCGCTCTGAGTCCTCTCTTCTGTCTGTCAAGCTGGGGGGCTTATTCCTCAGAGACCTCACCACCCAGGGCACCATCTTCCCCGTCCTCGTTTCCCCCAAACCGGTGAGGGAGTAGCAGGCCTGTTTGAGTTGAACATGTGAATAGATTGAACATGTGCTATATGTACAGAATATTAATCTGTCATTATTATCTCTCTAAAAGGACCAGGTTGTGGTTGCCATAAACCAGCCTTTTGGCCAGCCTAGCAGTGCTGAAACGAGCAGCTCAGGTGAGTGTTTAGGTTTACTTGCGAAACGTCCTCTTGAAATCCCCAAGAGGATTGCAAAGTGCATTAATCACCTGTTAAATTAATTATGTTTATTTCATGAAATGGAATATAAAGACAATAAATGTTTATATTTTGTTTGGCAGTCCCTACCTTAGAGTCATCGGCGTCCCCTGTGTTTGAAATGATATACGAGCGCAACCCGGTCAGGTGTAAATTTGAGCGGAGACTGGAGGTGAACACTAGCCCTCTGAACATCATCTACAACCCTCAGGCCATTAAGAAAGTCACTGAGTTCTTCTACAAAGGAAGAGTCCACACCTCAGGTAAGATAGATATATATATATATATATATATCTATATATAGTGGGGAGAACAAGTATTTGATGCACTGCCGATTTTGCAGGTTTTCCTACTTACAAAGCATGTAGAGGTCTGTAATTTTTATCATAGGTACACTTCAACTGTGAGAGACGGAATCTAAAACAAAAATCCAGAAAATCACATTGTATGATTTTTAAGTAATTAATTTGCATTTTATTGCATGACATAAGTATTTGATACATCAGAAAAGCAGAACTTAATATTTGGTACAGAAACCATTGTTTGCAATTACAGAGATCATACGTTTCCTGTAGGTCTTGACCAGGTTTGCACACACCGCAGCAGGGATTTTGGCCCACTCCTCCATACAGAACTTCTCCAGATCCTTCAGGTTTCGGGGCTGTCGCTGGGCAATACAGACTTTCAGCTCCCTCCAAAGATTTTCTATTGGGTTCAGGTCTGGAGACTGGCTAGGCCACTCCAGGACCTTGAGATGCTTCTTACGGAGCCACTCCTTAGTTGCCCTGGCTGTGTGTTTCGGGTCGTTGTCATGCTGGAAGACCCAGCCACGACCCATCTTCAATGCTCTTACTGAGGGAAGGAGGTTGTTGGGCAAGATCTTGCGATACATGGCCCCATCCATCCTCCCCTCAATACGGTGCAGTCGTCCTGTCTCCTTTGCAGAAAATAATCCCCAAAGACTGATGTTTCCACCTGTATGCTTCACGGTTGGGATGGTGTTCTTGGGGTTGTACTCGTCCTTCTTCTTCCTCCAAACACGGCGAGTGAAGTTTAGACCAAAAAGCTCTATTTTTGTCTCATCAGACCACATGACCTTCTCCCATTCCTCCTCTGGATCATCCAGATGGTCATTGGCAAACTTCAGACGGGCGTGGACATGCGCTGGCTTGAGCAGGGGGACCTTGCGTGCGCTGCAGGATTTTAATCCATGACGGCGTAGTGTGTTACTAATGGTTTTCTTTGAGACTGTGGTCCCAGCTCTCTTCAGGTGATTGACCAGGTCCTGCCGTGTAGTTCTGGGCTGATCCCTCACCTTCCTGATGATCATTGATGCCCCACAAGGTGAGATCTTGCATGGAGCCCCAGACCGAGGGTGATTGACCGTCATCTTGAACTTCTTCCATTTTCTAATAATTGCGCCAACAGTTGTTGCCTTCTCACCAAGCTGCTTGCCTATTGTCCTGTAGCCCATCCCAGCCTTGTACAGGTCTACAATTGTATCCCTGATGTCCTTACAGCTCTCTGGTCTTGGCCATTGTGGAGAGGTTGGAGTCTGTTTGATTGAGTGTGTGGACAGGTGTCTTTTATACAGGTAACGTGTTCAAACAGGTGCAGTTAATACAGGTAATGAGTGGAGAACAGGAGGACTTCTTAAAGAAAAACTAACAGGTCTGTGAGAGCCGGAATTCTTACTGGTTGGTAGGTGATCAAATACTTATGTCATGCAATAAAATGCAAATTAATTACTTAAAAATCATACAATGTGATTTTCTGGATTTTTGTTTTAGATTCCGTCTCTCACAGTTGAAGTGTACCTATGATAAAAATTACAGACCTCTACATGCTTTGTAACTAGGAAAACCTGCAAAATCGGCAGTGTATCAAATACTTGTTCTCCCCACTGTGTGTGTATGTATATATATATATATATATATATATATACTGCTCAAAAAAATAAAGGGAACACTTAAACAACACATCCTAGATCTGAATGAATGAAATAATCTTATTAAATACTTTTTTCTTTACATAGTTGAATGTGCTGAGAACAAAATCACACAAAAATTATCAATGGAAATCAAATGTATCAACCCATGGAGGTCTGGATTTGGAGTCACCCTCAAAATTAAAGTGGAAAACCACACTACAGGCTGATCCAACTTTGATGTAATGTCCTTAAAACAAGTCAAAATGAGGCTCAGTAGTGTGTGTGGCCTCCACGTGCCTGTATGACCTCCCTACAACGCCTGGGCATGCTCCTGATGAGGTGGCGGATGGTGTCCTGAGGGATCTCCTCCCAGACCTGGACTAAAGCATCCGCCAACTCCTGGACAGTCTATGGTGCAACGTGGCGTTGGTGGATGGAGCGAGACATGATGTCCCAGATGTGCTCAATTGGATTCAGGTCTGGGGAACGGGCGGGCCAGTCCATAGCATCAATGCCTTCCTCTTGCAGGAACTGCTGACACACTCCAGCCACATGAGGTCTAGCATTAGGAGGAACCCAGAGCCAACCGCACCAGCATATGGTCTCACAAGGGGTCTGAGGATCTCATCTCGGTACCTAATGGCAGTCAGGCTACCACATGGAGGGCTGTGTGGACCCCCAAAGAAATGCCACCCCACACCATGACTGACCCACTGCCAAACCGGTCATGCTGGAGGATGTTGCAGGCAGCAGAACGTTCTCCACGGCGTCTCCAGACTCTGTCACGTCTGTCACATGTGCTCAGTGTGAACCTGCTTTCATCTGTGAAGAGCACAGGGCGCCAGTGGCGAATTTGCCAATCTTGGAGTTCTCTGGCAAATGCCAAACGTCCTGCACGGTGTTGGGCTGTAAGCACAACCCCCACCTGTGGACGTCGGGCCCTCATACCACCCTCATGGAGTCTGTTTCTGACCGTTTGAGCAGACACATGCACATTTGTGGCCTGCTGGAGGTCATTTTGCAGGGCTCTGGCAGTGCCCCTCCTGCTCCTCCTTGCACAAAGGCGGAGGTAGCGGTCCTGCTGCTGGTTTGTTGCCCTCCTACGGCCTCCTCCACGTCTCCTGATGTACTGGCCTGTCTCCTGGTAGCGCCTCCATGCTCTGGACACTACGTGACAGACACAGCAAACCTTCTTGCCACAGCTCACATTGATGTGCCATCCTGGATGAGCTGCACTACCTGAGCCACTTGTGTGGGTTGTAGACTCCGTCTCATGCTACCACTAGAGTGAAAGCACCGCCAGCATTCAAAAGTGACCAAAACATCAGCCAGGAAGCATAGGAACTGAGAAGTGGTCTGTGATCACCACCTGCATAACCACTTCTTTATTGGGGGTGTCTTGCTAATTGCCTATAATTTCCACCTGTTGTCTATTCCATTTGCACAAACGCCTGTGACATTTATTGTCAATCAGTGTTGCTTCCTAAGTGGACAGTTTGATTTCACAGAAGTGTGATTGACTTGGAGTTACATTGTGTTGTTTAAGTGTTCCCTTTATTTTTTTGAGCAGTGTATGTATATATATATATATATATATATATATATATATATATATATAATATATATATTATATATATATCTATATATATATATATATATATGATATATATATATATATACACATAGACATTACTCTTTAATCTCTCTATCTACTATATCCTCCTCCTCCCTCCATACACATACCACCACACCCCCATATACACACTACCGGTCAAAAGTTTTAAACACCTACTCATTCAAGGGTTTTTCTTTATTTTTTACTATTTTCTACATTGTAGAATAATAGGGAAGACATCAAAACTATGAAATAACACATATGGAATCATGTAGTAACCAAAAAAGTGTTAAACGTATCAAAATATATGTTATATTTGAGATTCTAAAAATAGCCACCCTTTGCCTTGATGACAGCTTTGCACACTCTTGGCATTCTCTCAATCAGCTTCATGAGGTAGTCACCTGGAATGCATTTCAATTAACAGGTGTGCCTTCGTAAAAGTTAATTTGTGGAATTTCTTTCCTTCTTAATGCATTTGAGCCAATCAGTTGTGTTGTGACAAGGTAGGGGGGTATACAGAAGATAGCCCTATTTGGTAAAAGACCAAGTCCATATTATGGCAAGAACAGCTCAAATAAGAAAAGAGAAACGACAGTCCATCATTGCTTTAAGACATGAAGGTCAGTCAATACGGAACATTTCAAGATCTTTGAACATTTCTTCAAGTGCTATGATGAAACTGGCTCTCATGAGGACCACCACAGGAATGGAAGACCCAGAGTTACCTCTGCTGCAGAGGATAAGTTCATTAGAGTTACCAGAAATTGCAGCCCAAATAAATGCTTCAGAGTTCAAGTAACAGACACATCTCAACTGTTCAGAGGAGACTGTGTGAATAAGGCCTTCATGGTCGAATTGCTGCATAGAAACCACTACTAAAGGACACCAATAAGAAGAAGAAACCTGCTTGGGCCAAGAAACATGAGCAATGGAAATCAGACCAGTGGAAATGTGTCCTTTGGTCTGGAGTCCAAATTTCAGATTTTTGGTTCCGACCGCCGTGTCTTTGTGAGACACGGTGTGGGTGAACAGATGATATCCGCATGTGTATTTCCCACTGTAAAGGATGGTGGAGGAGGTGTGATGGTGTTGGGATGCATTGCTGGTGACACTGTCTGTGATTTATTTAGAATTCAAGGTAAACTTAACCAGCATGGCTACCACAGCATTCGGCAGCGATATGCCATCGCATCTGGTTTGGCTTAATGGGACTATCATTTGTTTTTCAATATGATTCCATATGTGTTATTTTATAGTTTTGTTGTATTCACTATTATTCTACAATGTAGAAATAAAGAAAAACCCTTGAATGAGTAGGTGTGTCAACTTTTGACTGGTACTGTGTGTATATATAGCAAAAACAGGTTTTTAGACATGTTTGCAAATGTATTAAAAATAGAAAACTGATGTTACATTTACATAAGTATTCAGAACCTTTACTCCGTGCTTTGTTGAAGCACCTCTGGCAGCGATTACAGCCTCAAGTCTTCTTGGGTATGACGCTACAAGCTTGGCACACCTGTTTTTGGGGAGTTTCTCCCATTCTTCTCCATTGATCCTCTCAAGCTCTGTCAGGTTGAATGGGGAGCGTCGCTGCACAGCTATTTTCAGGTCTCTACAGAGATGTTTGATCGGGTTCAAGTCCGGGCTCTGGCTGGGCCACTCATGGCCATTCAGAGACTTGTCCCGATACCACTCCTGCGTTGTCTTGGCTGTGTGCTTAGGGTCGTTGTCCTTTTGGAAGGTGAACCGTCGCACCAGTCAGGTCCTGAGTGCTCTGGAGCAGGTTTTCATCAATGATCTCTCTGGACATTGTTCCGTTCATCTTTCCCTCGATCCTGACTAGCCTCCCAGTCCCTGCCTCTGAAAAACATCCCCACAGCATGATGCTTCTTCCACCACCATGCTTCACTGTAGGGATGGTGCCAGGTTTCCTTCAGACGTGGCACTTGGCATTCAGGCCAAAGAGTTCAATCTTGGTTTCATCAGACCAGAGAATATTGTTTCTCATGGTCTGAGAGGCCTTTAGGTGCCTTTTGGCAAACTCCATGCGGGCTGTCATGCGCCTTTTACTGAGGAGAGGCTTACGTCTGGCCACTCTACCATAAAGTCCTGATTGGTCGATTGCTGCAGAGATGGTTGTCCTTCTGGAAGGTTCTCCCATCTCCACAGAGGAACTCTGGAGCTCTGTCAGCGTGACCATCGTGTTCTTGGTCATCTCCCTGATTATTCAGTTTGGCCGGGCAGCCAGCTCTAGGAAGAGTCTTGGTGGTTCCAAACTTCTTCCATTTAATAATGATGGAGGCCACTGTGTTCTTGGGGACCTTCAAAGCTGCAGAAATGTTTTGCTACCCTTCCCCAGATCTGTGCCTTGACACAATCCTGTCTCGGAGCTCTACGGACAATTCCTTCGAACTCATGGCTTGTTTTTTGCTCTGACATGCTCTGTCAACTGTGGGACCTTATATAGACAGGTGTGTGCCTTTACCACAGGTGGACTCCAATCAAGTTGTAGAAACATCTCAAGGATGATCAATGGAAACAGGATGCACCTGAGTATCAATTTCGAGTTTCATAGCAAAGGGTCTGAATACTTATGTAAATAAAGTATTTCTGTTTTTTATTTATAATACATTTGCCAACATTTCTAAAAACCTGTTTTCGCTTTGTCGTTATGGGGTATTGTGTGTAGATTGATGAGAATTTTTTTATTTAATCAATTTTAGAATAAGGCTGTAATGTAACAAAATGTGGAAAAAGGGAAGGGGTCTGAATACTTACCGAATGCACTGTGTGTGTGTGTGTATGTGTGTGTGTGATATATATATATATATATATATATATATATATATATATATATATATATATATATATATATATACTGCTCAAAAAAATAAAGGGAACACTTAAACAACACATCCTAGATCTGAATGAATGAAATAATCTTATTAAATTTTCTTTACATAGTTGAATGTGCTGACAACAAAATCACACAAAAATTATCAATGGAAATCAAATTTATCAACCCATGGAGGTCTGGATTTGGAGTCACCCTCAAAATTAAAGTGGAAAACCACACTACAGGCTCACTCAACTTTGATGTAATGTCCTTAAAACAAGTCAAAATGAGGCTCAGTAGTGTGTGTGGCCTCCACGTGCCTGTATGACCTCCCTACAACGCCTGGTTATGCTCCTGATGAGGTGGCGGATGGTCTCCTGAGGGATCTGCTCCCAGACCTGGACTAAAGCATCCGCCAACTCCTGGACAGTCTGTGGTGCAACGTGGCGTTGGTGGATGGAGCGAGACATGATGTCCCAGATGTGCTCAATTGGATTCAGGTCTGGGGAACGGGCAGGCTAGTCCATAGCATCAATGCCTTCCTCTTGCAGGAACTGCTGACACACTCCAGCCACATGAGGTCTAGCATTGTCTTGCATTAGGAGGAACCCAGGGCCAACCGCACCAGCATATGGTCTCACAAGGGGTCTGAGGATCTCATCTCGGTACCTAATGGCAGTCAGGCTACCTCTGGCGAGCACATGGAGGGCTGTGCGGCCCCCCCAAAGAAATGCCACCCCACACCATGACTGACCCACCGCCAAACCGGTCATGCTGGAGGATGTTGCAGGCAGCAGAACGTTCTCCACGGCATCTCCAGACTCTGTCACGTCTGTCACATGTGCTCAGTGTGAACCTGCTTTCATCTGTGAAGAGCACAGGGCGCCAGTGGCGAATTTGCCAATCTTGGTGTTCTCTGGCAAATGCCAAACAACCTGCACGGTGTTGGGCTGTAAGCACAACCCCCACCTGTGGACGTCGGGCCCTCATACCACCCTCAAGGAGTCTGTTTCTGACCGTTTGAGCAGACACATGCACATTTGTGGCCTGCTGGATGTCATTTTGCAGGGCTCTGGCAGTGCTCCTCCTGCTCCTCCTTGCACAAAGGCAGAGGTAGCGGTCCTGCTGCTGGGTTGTTGCCCTCCTACGGCCTCCTCCACGTCTCCTGATGTACTGGCCTGTCTCCTGGTAGCGCCTCCATGCTCTGGACACTACGCTGACAGACACAGCAAACCTTCTTGCCACAGCTCGGTTTGATGTGCCATCCTGGATGAGCTGCACTACCTGAGCCACTTGTGTGGTTTGTAGACTCCGTCTCATGCTACCACTAGAGTGAAAGCACCGCCAGCATTCAAAAGTGACCAAAACATCAGCCAGGAAGCATAGGAACTGAGAAGTGGTCTGTGGTCACCACCTGCAGAACCACTTCTTTATTGGGGGTGTCTTGCTAATTGCCTATAATTTCCACCTGTTTTCTATTCCATTTGCACAACAGCATGTGAAATGTATTGTCAATCAGTGTTGCTTCCTAAGTGGACAGTTTGATTTCACAGAAGTGTGATTGACTTGGAGTTACATTCTGTTGTTTAAATATTCCCTTTATTTTTTTGAGCAGTGTAATATATATATATATATATATATACACACACACACACACTACCGTTCAAAAGTTTGAGGTCACAAGTTTGCTAATCCAAGTTGATCATTTTAAAAGGCTAATTGATCATTAGAAAACCCTTTTGCAATTATGTCTACACTGTATTTCTGATCAATTTGATGTTATTTTAATGGACCAGAAAATTGCTTTTCTTTCAAAAACAAGGACATTTCTAAGTGTACCCAAACTTTTGAACGGTAGTGTATATGTATATATACTACCAGTCAAAAGTTTGGACACACCTACTCATTCAAGGGTTTTTCTTTATTTTTTACTATTTATTACATTGTAGAATAATAATGAAGACCTGAAAACTATGAAATAACACATATGGAATCATGTAGTAAATATATTTTATATTTGAGATTCTTCAAATAGCCGCCCTTTGCCTTGATGACGGCTTTGCACACTCTTGGCATTCTCTCAACCAGCTTCACCTGGAATGCTTTTCCAACAGTCTTTAAGGAGTTCCCACATATGCTGAGCACTTGTTGGCTGCTTTTCCTTCACTATGCAGTCCAACTCATCCCAAACCATCTCAATTTGGTTGAGGTCGGGTGATTGTGGAGGCCAGGTCATTTGATGCAGCACTCCATCACTCTCCTTCTTGGTAAAATAGCCCTTACATAGCCTGGAGGTGTGTTGGGTCATTGTCCTGTTGAAAAACAAATGATAGTCCCACTAAGCCCAAACCAGATGGGATGGCGTATCACTGCATAATGCTGTGATAGCCATGCTGGTTAAGTGTGCCTTCTAAGTGTCACCAGCAAAGCACCCCCACACAATAACACCTCCTCCTCCATGCTTTACGGTGGGAAATACACATGCGGAGATCATTCGTTCACCCACACCGCATCTCACTAAGACACAGCGGTTGGAACCAAAAATCTCAAATTTGGACTCATTAGACCAAAGGACAGATTTCCACCGGTCTAATGTCCATTGCTCGTGTTTCTTGGCACAAGCAGGTTTCTTCTTCTTATTGGTGTCCTTTAGTAGTGGTTTCTTTGCAGAAATTCGACCATGAAGGCCTGATTCACACAGTCCACTCTGAACAGTTGATGTTGAGATGTGTCTGTGACTTTAACTCTGTGAAGCATTTATTTGGGCTGCAATTTCTGAGGCTGGTAACTCCTAATGAACTTATCCTCTGCAGCAGAGGTAACTCTGGGTCTTCCATTCCTGTGGCGGTCCTCATGAGAGCAAGTTTCATCAAAGCGCTTGATGGTTTTTGCGACTGCACTTGAAGAAATTCCTCATATTAACTTTTAAGAAGGCAGACCTGTTAATTGAAATGAATGCCAAGGGTGTGCAAAGCTGTCATCAAGGCAAAGGGTGGCTATTTGAAGAATCTCAAATATAAAATATATTTTGATTCGTTTAACACTTTTTTGGTTACTACATGATTCCATATGTATTATTTCATGGTTTTGATGTCACCACTATTATTCTACAATGTAGAAAATAGTACAAATAAAGAAAAACCCTTAGGTAGGTGTGTCCATACTTTTGACTGGTACTGTATAACCACACGGTATTGTTTGCCCTTTTGTTGATGCACCAAAAGGGTGGAATGTAAGTGCTGTAGCTAGTACTGTAGCCTATTTTTCCAATTTGCTCATGAAACATTTTAATTCTCAGGAAAATAAAAGGTATCAAAAGATATTATGATTTGTTTTTCAGGTTTTGGGTACCAGTCGGAGCTGGAGGCGAGAGTGGCGGAAGCTGCCAGGAGGCAATACAACAAGCTCAAGATGCAGACCAAGGCAGAGATCAGACAAACCCTCGACCAGCTACTAGTGGGAGAGTTCATTGTAATAACTTTTTTCTTCTTTCCTCTCACCCCAGGTATCATTCAAATGTTGTAGGTGAACAGTAAAGTTGATGATATGATAATTGATCACATAATTGCATAACAAGCATTTCGCTACGCCCGCAATAACTTCTGCTAAACACGTGTATGTGACCAATAAAATGTGATTTAATTAATGGTTATTGAATATTTTAAAACTAATTGCCCCCTTTTTTAAGTGTCTGTAATTGGTATATGCTAATGTTGTGTGTGACTTTGTGCTTTTGCTCTATTTCTCATTACAGGAGAACAGTAAGCGCTGGACTATGAAGTTGGATATCTGTGCCCCCCAGGTGATTTTCCCAGATGACTTCCAGTCACAGGACCCCATGTTAGTGGTGGTTGACCTGGGACGGATACTCCTCACTAACTCACAAGGTAAAATTAGCTTGCCTCTTCGCACAACACATTTGACTAAGCTGATTCTTTCAAAGGTAGACTCAGCACAGTTTGCAGTCTTGTAAAATGGTTGTTGTTGATGTTGGTAAACAATAAGCAGTAAGTTATTTCTGTCATTTTGCTTAGTCTATATTGTATGAAAGATATTCTGTATCTGTTTAAAATCTTCATTTTATTTTCTCTTTAAAGATGACACTAAAACAAAGTCGAAGACCACTCAGCCAGAGGGGGAGGAGTATAACAGTGATGAAGAGTACCAGACTCCACTGGCCACACCCCCAAATTCTCCCCCCCCTGAAATGGAGACGGAGTTCAAAGACCAGAACAACTACCCCCAGCTCGCAAGCCTTAAATCCCCCGACGGGGTCCAGGCCTTCAGCAGAAACCTCTACGAGAAGTACTCGCTGTCCTTCAAGGACTTGCAGATCATGGTGGGCCGCTACAAAGACAACTGGAAGCACCTGCAGGAGAGCGAGGTGGGGCCCACCCACGTGGTTGAGAAGTTCAACGTGCTACTGGAGCTGGAGCAGAGGCTGCGCTACACCTCAGACCCCCAGCTCCCTGGGGCTGTGCTTTCCGGGACCCTGCCAGATCTCAAGGTCCACATCAACCTGGAGAAGATTACCGCCCTCAGGAGCTGCCTGGCCCGACTGGGCAGCCCCGCTGAGGAGGACGAGAGCCAGGAGAAAGCAGAGAGCGCCAAGACGCCTGACCCCTCCAACCTGCGCCATGAGAAGATCTTCCAGAGGGAGGACAGCCAGTGGAAGCTCCAGGGCTCAGCCAAGAACCTTACCCAGAGCGTGATGACCCTGGAGCAGCACACGAGGGAGGTCCTGGTGGAGTCACGCCTCCTCCTGGCTGAGTTCAACATCAACTACATGCAGCTGGGCGTGGAGAGCAACGGACGATACATCTCCGTCCTTAAGGTCTTTGGCACCAACGGCCATTTTGTGAAGCGGCCTTACGACGCAGAGGTGTCCCTCACCGTCCACGGCCTGCTGCTTGTGGACACACTACAGACCTACGGCTCCGACTTTGACCTCCTGGTGGCCTCCCACAAGCACCTGAGCTTCGATGTGCCTACGGGCAGCCTCCGAGAGAGCCAGCCCTCCTCCCCTGCCGGGCCCGAGGGGATGTCGCCCGAGCACCCGGCCCTTCACCGAGACTCCTCCTCTGGGCTACTCTTCGACAGATCCTCCCCGTTCAGCTCCTTCCTCAGAGACCAGGAGGCCCTCATCAAACTGGAGTACCAGTTTGTCAGCTCGGACTGCCCGTCCATGAACCTGGACAGCTCCCTCCAGGTGACCACCATGCAGGTCAACAACCTGGACATCATCCTCAACCCGGAGACCATGGTGGAGCTGCTCAAGTTCCTCCAGAAGTCTTTCCCCAAGGAGGAGAGCCCCTTGACCCAGCAGCCATCGCCCCTTCCAGCGGGCCAGGGCCAGGAGGGTCAGGAGGAGACCTACCAGTCCACCTACGACCAGAACAAGGAGCTGACAGTAGAGATCCACAGGCTGAACCTGCTGCTGCTGAGGACCGTGGCCACTGGCAGCGTACTGGGCAGAGAGAAGAAAGGCTTGAAGATCGCCACGGCCAGCATCAACGGCACCAAGGTCAACGTGTCCATGGGCAGCCGGTTGGACGTCAATGGCTCGCTGGGTTCTATCCAGCTAGTGGACCTGACCCAGGAGGGCGGCCGGAGCCAGTTTGTGGTCAGCATTGGCAATGTAGAAGACGACCCCTCGGCAGCAGGAGGCGTAGCCTTCTTTTGTGGCTCTGAAGGAGCCTCCTCAGAGGCGTTGAACTTCCGACTGCTGGAGCGCTCCCAGGGGGAGTGCTCATTGACACTGCAGATGGCCTCACTGCACTACAACCACTCCGCCAAGTTCCTGAAGGAGCTGAGCCTCTCGGCCAACGAGCTAGAGGACAACTTCCGCTCCATGCTCAAGACAGCCGCCACCAAGGTGTCCACAGTGCTGGCAACCAAGACGGCGGAGTACAGCGGCATGGTCTCCCTGTTCGAGACGCCGTCGCGGCGCTCCAGGACCCAGAGCCAGAGCAATTGGAGCAACTACCCATTTGAGGATGAGGAGGATCTGAGCGTGCAGGAGGAAGAACCCACCATAGACTCGTTTATGGTCAAGCTGATCCTCAATGTCAGCATCGAGTCACCAGTCGTGTCCATTCCCCGTAAACCTGGTCACCCCGAACTCCTGGTGGGTCACCTGGGGAGTATCACCATCCAGAACTTTGTTGCCGGGCAGGACTCGGAAGGGGAGAGACTACAGGTGCTAGTGAAGGATATCCGACTCTACTCACTCAATACCAGTCACCTTGTGTTGCGGAAGGTAGCTAGAACTGACAGCAGTTCTTCTACCCAATCGCCTTCTCACAACGGAAATGTCAATCAGGACGAGCCACAGTTTACTCGCCATGACTTCTTTGAATACCTGAGTCGGGGAAAAGGTGAGGAGAAACTATTTAGAATGGGAAGTGAAGAGAGTGTCCCCCCCATTTCCTTTCAATGGTTTTGCTAGATTTAGAGTTACTGTATTGGTATTGTTGTATTACGGTGTTGGGTTGTTATGATGACTCCCACTTTTCTCTCTCTCTCAGCCTTCCATATTCTGAAAGACACCACCATTCAGTTCACCCTGGAGAAAGTTCCTCCCATTGATGAGGATACCCAGTTCACCTTTCTAACCACAGACGAGCCCTATAACAGCACAGGGTTACTTCGGGTGGAGGGCAAGTTTGTCAACTCTGTGCAGGTATACTTTGCAAATGTCAAATATGTCCAATGTCTTTTCGTCTTTGACTGAATCAAATGACCTGAATATAATTAAATCTTAATATATTTTATGTTGTGCTTTCTATTGCAATGAGGGTAGAGGTATGCAAATACATGCAAATGTTTACTGTCTATTTCGTTTTTAGATGATGTTTTGACTTTGTGCTCTCAGGTGTTCCTGGCCAAGCCTGTGTATGAGCAGGTTCTGCAGACACTGGATAACCTTACCCTCACTGAGCCCCAGAGAGTGACGCCCAGTCAGCCTCCCACCCCGCCGCCCCCCACCCCCTCCTCCACCAAACCCCACCGCTTCCCAGATCCCCAGGGTGGGCTCTTTGCCCGGGACCCCCCGCTCATCGGCCTCTCCTACACCTCCCTGTCCAACTCGCTGTCGTCCCCCAAGCCCCTGCAGTCCCACAGTCCCCCACTGCAGACACTCTCCTTCACCCAGGTGAGGGCCACCTTCAGGGTGACAGAGCTCCAGGTGCAGCTGAGTGCTGACCTCAGCCAGGGTTCCCAGGGGCTGGTCAGCCTGTGCTTCCAGGACCTGGAGGGAGACTTCACCAAAGACCACCCCCACTGCCTGTCTGTCCAGCTCACGTTGCGCTCCCTTCTCATGGAGGACCTCCTTGAGCAGAACCCTGAGTCCAAGTACAAGCACCTGATGGTTTCCAGGGGCGCTCCCAAGCCCTCCACATTCAGCCCCAAGGAGTACCTGTCCCAGTCGTGCCCATCGGCCTCTAACGCCCTCTACCCCGAAATGCCCCGCTCGCTGCCCGCCCATATGGAGGAGGCCCAGAATGTCTTCCAGCTGTACCAGAGACACCCCAGCACCCCGTCGGCCGCCAGCCGTAAGAGCGGACCCAAGAAGGACCCTGCCTGCCCCAGCACCCCGCCGCCCTCCCCCACCCACAATACCCCTTCGCCCCACCCACCGCCCTCCGACTTTGACGAGTCTCTTGTTCACATCAACTTGCTGCTGGTGGACCCGCGCCACCCAGAGTTCCAGAGCCGATACGGTGGAGTGGGGCGGAGCATCGACGTGGACTTCAACTGCCTGGATGTGCTGATCACACTGCAAACATGGGTGGTCATCCTGGACTTCTTCGGGATCGGCTCCACGGCCAACAACCACGCAGTCAAAGTGCCCTCGGCCTTCCCCCAGCAGCCCATGCCGGGACATCCTCTGTTCCAGCCAGGGAACCCACACGACCTGGGAGACATGTACCCAGATCTCAGCCAGGAGGAAGTTGCTGAGGTGGTCAACACTAAACTGGATCTCAAGGTGCAGTAGTCTCTCAGTAGCAGCACTGAAGACACATTGACATGGATGTTCAGTGATGTTGTGAGAGTTACAAGGAATCTAAATAAATATAGGTACAATGGTGAGTATGATTACATTTCCTCAATGTATTTAACACCATGTTTTCCTCCTCAGGTCCATGCGCTGGCTCTTGTGCTAAACAAGAAAACCAATGAGCTTGCTAAAGCTAGTGTCTCCAAACTGTCTGCCCACTGGGAAATGATTGGTAGGTAATCAACTTAATGTTGCACTTAGAAATCAACAGTTAAATCATAGTAATTGAAAAAACGGTTGTATGAATATAATACAATATCAATCATGGTACATTCATGTGAAGTATTTAATTTATGGTTTGTTGTATCACACTGTTCAAGAACAATGAGTTTGCATCTCATGCAGTGTGATGTCATATCCTATATTTCAGATGGCGACCTAGCGTTGCAGGGGAGTCTGGGAAGCCTGTCTCTGAGTGACCTGACCCCACACGGTGACCTCTACAGGGAGCGCTTCACCACGCGAGGCGGAGAGGCCCTTGTCTTCAACATACACAAGTAGGCTAGATTTACTTTATACAGGAATCACATCCCTACAGCTACATTAGCTTGACAGCTAGCTCTGGTGCATAAAACAACTTGTAGGTGGTCCTTGACAAATAATTTTTTTTATAGACCTTCATTGTCTCATTGATTTAACACTGGGTCTCACTGACTGTGGTGGTCTCTCTACAGATATGGGGATCCTGACCCCTGGCTTGAGCGGAAGTGTGACATGAAGGTGTCTCTCCAGATGGCCTCTGTGCAGTATGTCCACACGCAGCGCTTCCAGGCCGAGGTGGTGGCCTTCATCCAGCACTTTACCCAGCTGCAGGACGTCCTAGGCAGGCAGAGGGCCGCAATGGAGGGCCAGGCTGTGAGTACGGCCTCTGGGTCCACCCTGCGTTTCAGTTTTAGTGTTCCTCAAGGCTCTGTTCTCGATCCACTACTGTTGTCATTATATATGCTACCTCTTGTTGATGTTATTTGAAAACAGTGTAAACTTTCACTGCTACGTAGACCATACACAGCTGTACATTTCCATTAAACATGGTGACGCTCCACTGCTGATGTGTACGGCTTTGTAAATACATTTGATTTTCAATTTGATTTACACAGTACTCCTGAGACACACAGCCCCCTGTTCTCCACTTAAACGTTCATTGAATGGATTACATTTGCTTTGCGCCAGTGGCCTAGCTATAGCTAATTTAACTAGTGTCTACCCTGGCGTTATGGCAATCCCTGCCAGCTAAGATGGCTGCGGGTGGCCCAGGGAGTTGTCACCTCCCATCACCGTCAGGCTGACCTCAGGTCACCTTCCTCAAGACAGTGTGGCCGTCTCTGCTGCGATCAGACTGGACACTGAGTACCATGTCTGGCCTGCTTGTTAAATCCCAACTGACGTACGGCACAGGGCACTGCTTTGGACCAACACACCAGGAGGCATCCAATCTCTCCAAGTCCTAGTTTCTTAATTTATGTGCCTAAATTTGCAACATATATTTTAGATTCAAATGATCTTTAGAGACCATTTATAGTTTGTTCTTAAAGATTCAATTGTAATTAATGTAATAAATATTTGGATTGTCCTTTAGCGCTTTTACACCTGGTCAGGATTTGCAGCAGAGACCAGTCTGTAGTATTCAATCCCCTATCCATTTGATCCTAGGCAAACACCAGTCTGCCTTAATGTCATTAGCAGAAGCTAAAGATAGACAACCACCCCCTCACTTCACCCTGCCTCCTTCCCCACAGGTGCGTGAGCGACCTCAGCGGGCATCCCGTGTGCTGCTGGACATCGAGGCGGGCGCCCCCGTGCTGCTCATCCCCGAGAGCTCGCGCTCGCCGCGCCTCATTGTTGCCAACCTGGGCCAGCTGCGCGTCCATAACTCTTTCCTGCCGGCTGGTACCCACGGTACCTTCTCTCTCAGAGACAAGGTAGAGAAACTTACCATGGCACATTCCTTTTTCCCCTCTCTGGTGAGTCCTGATAGCGCGTCTACCGGTCGTCCACAACCCTGCTACTGGACTAATATGGTCGTATTTATGAAGCATTTTACATGACTAGATGTTTTGATATGACGAATGTGATGCAATGATTTATAACGTTTTATAGGCTTCTATGATACCCGTTTGTAATGGCAAAAGCCTAAATCCATAATTTGTCCTCATCATTGTTTGGCTGCAGAACAATCAACCATAAACATTCTCCAGTAACAATGCTCAACGGTTGCTTTTTTGATGGCACTTGTCTTTATCCCCCATCAGACTTTGAATGAGGTATGATGTTCGCTGGCGCCTACATTGTATATTCAGCATTTGTGGTACAGTACGTACTTGCATTGTTGTTGTGCGCTCCAGCGTGTGACATTCAAATGGAAAATGCTTTATGAATACAGGCCTCCCTGAGTTTTCAATTGAGCATGAGAATGTGGCCACTAGATACTAGCACTGTATGAGAAATTTGTTTTTTTATACTTAACCTAACTTTAGTTTTTTCTTAACTCTAAAAGTAATGACCGCTTCAGATGGAGTTTGATGTGGTAGCAGACAGTGTTTCATCACCATTTTGTATTTTGTTTGTGAAGAATTTGATATTGCATGCTAATTCGTACAAGGACCCTTCCCACTACAAGGTACAAGGGCATGTGTTTGGTGTGCTGCTTGGTTTGGGGTGTGAACCGTCTGCACTCTAACTCAGATGGTTGTTTTGTGGACTTTCAGGGTTAACAGTCTTTGTGTGTTTTCTATCCTGAACCACTTGTATCAATTGCCTGGGTGTTTATTTCTATATTTGTATTATTATTCAGTGTTTTCCTGGTCATTTACTTGATCTTAAAGGGGCAATCAGCAGATGCTACATACATTTTTGGACTTAAAGTATAAATTAATTCTATGTACCCATCGATTCTTGAGAACTTATGAATGCATCGTGAGCTTAGTTCAATTGTCGTACACCATCAGAACCCAAAATATAAGCTTGTTTTTAAATAAAGTAAATGTTTGTAAATAATGTAAATGTTTAAAAAATAAATATAAATATATATATATAGCCTCAAAATATGGTTAAAATTATAATTGTGATATCATGGATGGTCAGTCCTTGCATCCATAGCTCTGTCTATGAATTTGAAAGTGATTGCATTTATCCAGCCTCATCACTCAGTTTTTTATCGAAACAGGGCCAGGGAAATTTTTTATCGAAACAGGGCCAGGGAGAATGCTTTGTTATTGTTTCAACTGCTGATTGCCGCTTCAAATTCACTGTTTAGGCTGGGAAGAGCAATTGCACCAGTTCCTTCCTACACTATGATAGGGGAACATTAGCTAAGTTGTTGTGCTAATTAGGTTTTGTCAGATGTGAAATAATAAGAGCACATTAATGTCAATGGCTCTTCCAGATGTTACAGTGTACGTTCATTACGCAGTTCATCACTTGGCTAACCTTTCATCTTGTTTCCTAAGGATCGCGTGAGGGACAGCCAGTCACAGACTGGACCAGCAACGATTAGTGAGGATGAGGAGGAGTCAAGTGGGAAGCCCAAAGCCTCCTCTAGCACCTCCTCCACCCCCGCCTCCTTTGTTTTCACCCTGGGAAGGCCCCAGGCCCAGCCCACTGCTGGGAGGATCCCTGGCGAGGACGACCCACCCTTCATCCTGGGTGAGCCCAGTGACCACTAAGCGTTGTTTAAATGTTGTGTGAAGATATCATGCTAATACTGAAGATGAATATAGTAGTCTTCTACTTGTTCATGGTCTCAAACTCATATATTCTCTGCAAATGTGTTTGAATCGCTATACTTCTCAATCAATAAATAAATACTTGAAATTAATAGTCACAATAAGCTCCTTGATGTTGTGTGTTCCCAGAGGATCATGTGTGTCTGCTGGACTGCATAGCCTTGGACCTTCAGGAGATGGACATCTTTGCTGCGGAGCGTCTGCCCTGCCAGCCGTGGGACAGCGCCGCAGGGAAGCAGCCCGACTCAGACCTGGTCTTCCCCTCCTACTCGGTCCGCCGTACTGCCGCATCTCTGCTCAAGGAGCGCTGCCACCTCAAACTCAAAGTGGAGCGCAACCTGGACAGGTGAGCCTAATGGGAAAGACGGGCACTAATAGTGGAAATTAGACATTAGTGGGCTTGCTTTAGCAACAACACTACTGTTCTCTTGCTTACATAATTGTTACCCACTGGGCAAAACTTACGTCATTTCAACCAGTTTTGTCTGCTGGGTAATGGATATTCTTAATGTCTTAAACTGACTGTCTTTGTTGTATGTGTTTGTATGTTGCTGATAACTATTGATTAATAATAGTTGTTCCTGTGTGCTGATGTCTTTTCCAAGTGGGACAAAAAAAGATAGTATTGGTTGATTTGACTGAATTATTGATTGATTGACTAGTGCGCTGAGCCATACGGTACCAGACATGTCCATCCACGGCAGCCTGTCCTCGGTGCACTGTTCCCTGGACCTGGAGCGCTACCAGCTGATCCGAGGCCTGCTGGACAACAACCTGGGAGAGCCTGTTGAGGAGTTCCTCCGCCCGTACAACCTGCAGGACCCCAGCAACTATGTGAGTACACACACACGTACGCACACACACACTCTGCACTGTGGCTGACTGCCAATTATAGACTGTTAATTTAGTAACAATGTTCTTCTGAGAGGGATTCTTCTGAGTGACTCCATGTGTGTCCCCAGACGGTGTTGAGTGGTGACGTGTACACCAGCCTGTCCGTCCTGGTGGACATGATGAACGTCAGCCTGGAGTTGCTGGACAGCCCCAAGGCCACGGGACAGATACCATGCTCACTGGCCAGGTTGGTATTAACGCTTCATTTTGAGCACAAGGTAATATCAAACATTTGCTGTGTATTTACTTTTGCCAATTACCAGGGGTCGGGGTCAATTCCAATTTCAATTCAGGAAGTAAACGGACAATCCAAATCCAGTGTTCCTCACTGAAGCGCTCCTCTCCTTATCTGCAGGTTTGATTTCATGAAGTCTAAGCTGTTGTTTGAGAGTTTCTCCAACGGCTCCAAGTCGGTGAATCTGGTGTCTCACTCACTCTTGGCATACGACACCCGTTACACCGGGCCTGGCATGGACACAGGCAGCAGTGCCAGGGGCAAGCACAATGTCTTCGACTGCATCCTGCAGCCCTCCAAGACGGGCACCAACCGGGCCACCCTCCAGCTGGAGCTGCATTACAGGTACAAGACATGTCTGCGGATAACATTTCGAAGTGGTAACATGTATGCGAAAATAACAGTGTTCCAAGCACAGAGCCTTGTGAAATGCCAAATACAAAATCTGTGCCTGTATTGGCAAATCTAAAATGGATGCATACGTAGGGTACTACATGGGTAGTAATAAGGTACCCTTTAAAGGCGCTGCATGGTCAATCCTACGTCTGCATTGGCTGTACAGCATTTACAGTGATATGGCCTCTGCAGAAGTCAGAGCATTCATAGTTCTTGCGCTTCGCAGAGCAGCGCAGAGCTGTTGTGAAGGAAGTTGTCAAGGAAGTGAGCTTGTATTTATACAGGACCTCCCGCCCTCACCTACCATCAACCAATCATGCAATGCGGAGCTATACGGAGCCCTCCGCATTGTTCCAAAATTTGAGAGGCTCACGGCGATGTGGTATGGAGCTCAATTTGGCCTGAGCGTGCCTCCGGAGGCGCTGCAATTGTGTCGCACCATCCATACGCCGCCTCCGACCACATTTTCGGATCAAGCATGAATTGGCTCTTAGGCCTGACGTAGACAGACACACAGACCCACACTTACTAATCATGATCTTCTCCTCCTCCTTTCTCTCCTGTCAGGTCCACTAGAGATGCCTCCTGTTTCACCATTGTCCTCAACAACCTGCGTGTTTTCCTAATCTTTGATTGGCTCCAGCTGGTTCGGGACTTCCTGCGCATGCCCACTGAGAAGGGGGCGGATGGCGCGCCTCGCCAGCGCTGGCCCAGTGGCAGCAGTGACCCAGGCACCACAGGTGCCGTCATGCCCAAGACAGTCAAGAGCGGCGTGGTCACCAAGAGGTCCACTGTGCCCGTCATGCAGGATCGGTACCTGGAGGTCAAGATCAATGTGACAGGTGAGGAGCTACAGCAGACACACTCCCCTGTTTTAAGTCTCTGTTGTACAATAGAGATTTAGATATTGGCAAGCACACATTAAGATATCATAAAGATACATAAAATACATGTTTTGCCCAAGGTACTGAGTTTGTGGTGGTGGAGGACTCATCTTGTCTGGACACCAATGCCGTCATTCTGAAGGGCACCACTGTACTCACCTACAAACCCCGTCTGCTGGACAGACCCTTCTCTGGCAGCCTGGCTGGCATCGAGGTGACTGACCACTACTTTCACAACTATGTCCTGAAACCACTGGACTACTATATCAATACAGAGCCCTATGTCAATTTCAGTTAGTTTGTGTCAATTTGAATATGGGTCTATGTTCCATGGAGTTAGAGGGTACAGAAGCTATCACAGACGTGATAATGGCAAAGATAGGGGGTGGGCCCTCTTTCCAACTCTTATGCTCTACACAAGGCTGTTTGAAGCTGTTTTGTCATGTTGGTGTCCTTCTGTCCATGTCCAGGTGTTCTCCTGTCGGCTTGGCAGTGAGCAGGAGACGGCCCTGTCCATCATTGACCCTGTCAACGTGCAGGTGGAGCTGTGTGGCAGTCCCACCTACCAGAGCAGCTCTGGCCTGCTAGACGCCTTCAACATGGCAGACTTCCCGCCACTACTGGAGGTCAGGGTTCAGTCAGGGGTGGGGATGGGGGGGGTAATGTTCAGTAGGCACCAAATAGGAGAACACTTTTGCAGAAAGTCCATTGAAAGCACCGGTTTACTTTTTCTGTTTCAACACATTTTGTCCTGTTTCATGCCTACAGACTGAACTGAACATAACCAGGGTTTATTGGAAAAAACACCATTTTGTGATTAGAACACATTTTGTGCTCATGCAAAACGTCAATGGGTCTCTGTTGCCCTCACAGATCCAGTTCCCTGCTTTGGACATTCGGCTTTCTTACAACGACGTTCAGCTCTTCCTGGCTATCGCCAAATCCATCCCCACCGCCGGCTCGCCCGGGCCCAGCGACACTGCCGAAGGCACCCAGGCCCTGGTAGTACCATCCACAGCCAACCATGACCCCTCCAGCTCCCAGAAAGACACCTTCAGGCACAAGACCGAGGCCCTGCTAGGTATGTCACCTCAGAGGCCTACAGGGGTGTAGTTGAGTTATATGGTGAATAGTGTTGACGTAGCTATTATGTTAGAATAGTCATGTTAGCATTAGCATTTCTATTTCTTTACCACTACCTCTGTTATTGTTCCTGACCATGAGTGTTGAACTCACAAGCTGTAATAACTCAGTTATAATAATAAAAGATACGTAGCACAGCTTGCTACCATAACCCTGGTATGATATGATATGTTTTGTCCTCAGAGGGCCAGCTGACTCGGTTACAGGATCTAGGCTTCAGGAAGGAGGACTGCAAACGAGCCCTGATCCACAGCAAAGGTGAGGAGGCTCTCGCTACAATTCTCTAACAATGCCACGTCTCCTCTCACTAGGAATGGAATATGGCCACACTTTTCATACATGATATGGACTTGACCACCTTGTCTGTCTGTCCCCTCCCAGGCCAACTGGACCAGGCTGCCACATGGCTGCTGGAGAATGCAGAGACCATGGTGGGTCAGGCCCGGGGCAGAGCAGACCCGGACTCGGCCAGCCACTCGTCGCACCCTCTGTCAGGGGTGGAGGTCAAGGCGGAGACTGTGTGTATCTGCTTCATCGACGATTGTCTTGACTGTGACGTCCCACTGGCCGAGTTCACCTTCTCACGTCAGTTTGTGCAGCTTGCTCTCCATATATGTGGAAGGAAATCCCATGTTCATGTCATTTCCACCTTGTGTTTTGGAAGTTTGGATGAAAGCAACAGAGAGAAGCTGGAACATTCACCTTTCTGAAAACTGTTCTATAGCTACTTAATGTTCAGATACCATGCATACTGATAGTGTGTGTAATATAATGTTAGTGGTATGTACTATAGTCAGTGTTAATACTATAACATAACAACAACGTAATGTAATCTGAGAGCTCATTCTCCTTTGAACTCCCATGGCAGGGCTGTATGTGCTGCAGCGGATCGGCTCGACCCAGGAGGGCAACGGCAGCTTCACTTTGTCAGGGGACTACTACAACAGAGAACTGTCAGGTGAACATGCTGGAGCATGCTTTAACCCAGAGCCAAATTATCCTGTAATGATCTTAACCGCTGTTCCATTGTGTGTGTGTGTGTGTGTGTGTGTGTGTGTGTGTGTGTGTGTGCGTTTCTCTCTGTCCGTATCCATATCTCTGTGTGTGTGTCCATGTTCATGTTCACGTGTGTGTCAGGTTGGGAACCCTTCATCGAGCCCTGGCCCTGTTTCCTGACTTGGCAGCAGCAGGCTGCAGGGCGGCTCCACCCACCACGCCTCAAGATGGGCGTCCGCGCCAAGCAGAGACTGGATGTCAACATCACCTCTGTCCTCCTGGGTATGACCTGCACTGCCCACTATTTGGACACAGGATGCGTTTGACATGGCACCCTGTTCCCTATGTTGTGCACTACTTTTGAACAGGGCCCACAGGGCTCTGGTCAAAAGTAATGCACTATGTAGTGAAAGGGTGCCTTTTTGGACACAGCCAGTGTCTTTGACTTCTTCACACCATGTTTAACTAAAGTGGTTTAGCCCTGGATATATACTGAACAAAAATATAAACGCAACATGTAAAGTGTTGGTCCCATGTTTCATGAGCTGAAATAAAAGATCCCAGAAATGTTCCATACGCACAAAAAGCTTATTTCTGTCAAATGTTGTGCACACATTTGTTTACATCCGTGTTAGTGAGCATTTCTCCTTTGCCAAGATAATCCATCCAGCTGACAGGTGTGGCATATCAAGAAGCTGATTAAACAGCATGATCATTATACAGGTGCACCTTGTGCTGGGGACAATAAAAGGCTCTCTAAAATCTGCAGTTTTGGCACACAACACAATGCCACAGATGTCTCAAGTTTTGAGGGAGTGTGCAATTGGCATGCTGACTGCAGAAATGTCCACCAGAGCTGTTGCAAGAGAATTTAATGTTATTTTCTCTGCCATAAGCCGCCTACAATGTCATTATAGAGAATTTGACAGTACGTCCAACTGTCCTCGTGACCGCAGACCACGTGTAACCACGCCAGCCCAGGACCTCCACATCCGGCTTCTTCACCAGCGGGATCGTCTGAGACCAGCCACCCGGACAGCTGATGAAACTGTGGGTTGGCACACCGAAGAAGTTCTGCACAAACTGTTAGAAACCATCTCAGGGAAGCTCATCTGTGTGCTCGTCGTCCTCACCAGGGTCTTGACCTGACTGCAGTTCGGCGTCGTAACCGACTTCAGTGGGCAAATGCTCACCTTCGATGGACACTGGCACGCTGGAGAAGTGTGCTCTTCACGGATGAATCGCGGTTTCAACTGTACCGGACAGATGGCATCATGTGGGCGAGTGGTTTGCTGATGTCAACGTGTGAACAGAGAGCCCCATGGTGGCGGTGGGGTTATGGTATGGGCAGGCATAAGCTACGGACAAAGAACACAATTACATTTTATCGATGGCAATCTGAATGCACAGAGATACCGTGACGAGATCCTGAGGCCCATTTTCGTGCCATTCATCCGGTGCCATCACCTCATGTTTCAGAATGATAATCCTGGAAGCTGAAAATGTCCCAGTTCAATCAATTGAGCATGTTTGGGATGCTTTGGATCGACAGGTACGACACCGTGTTCCAGTTCCCGCCAATATCCAGCAACTTCACACAAGCATTGAAGAGAAGTGGCACAACATTCCACAGGCCACAATCAACAGCCTGATCAGCTCTATGCCAAGGAGATGTCTTGCGCTGCATGAAGCAAATGGTGGTCACACCAGATTGACTGGTTACTCCACGCCCCTACTTTTTTTTTTTAAGTATCTGTGACCAACAGATGCATACAGTGGGGAAAAAAAGTATTTAGTCAGCCACCAATTGTGCAAGTTCTCCCACTTAAAAAGATGAGAGAGGCCTGTAATTTTCATCATAGGTACACGTCAACTATGACAGACAAATTGAGAAAAAAATATCCAGAAAATCACATTGTAGGATTTTTAATGAATTTATTTGCAAATTATGGTGGAAAATAAGTATTTGGTCACCTACAAACAAGCAAGATTTCTGGCTCTCACAGACCTGTAACTTCTTCTTTAAGAGGCTCCTCTGTCCTCCACTCGTTACCTGTATAAAAGACACCTGTCCACAACCTCAAACAGTCACACTCCAAACTCCACTATGGCCAAGACCAAAGAGCTGTCAAAGGACACCAGAAACAAAATTGTAGACCTGCACCAGGCTGGGAAGACTGAATCTGCAATAGGTAAGCAGCTTGGTTTGAAGAAATCAACTGTGGGAGCAATTATTAGGAAATGGAAGACATACAAGACCACTGATAATCTCCCTCGATCTGGGGCTCCACGCAAGATCTCACCCTGTGGGGTCAAAATTATCACAAAAAAATCCCAGAACCACACGGGGGGACCTAGTGAATGACCTGCAGAGAGCTGGGACCAAAGTAACAAAGCCTACCATCAGTAACACACTACGCCGCCAGGGACTCAAATCCTGCAGTGCCAGACGTGTCCCCCTGCTTAAGCCAGTACATGTCCAGGCCCGTCTGAAGTTTGCTAGAGTGCATTTGGATGATTCAGAAGAGGATTGGGAGAATGTCATATGGTCAGATGAAACCAAAATATAACTTTTTGGTAAAAACTCAACTCGTCGTGTTTGGGGGACAAAGAATGCTGAGTTGCATCCAAAGAACACCATACCTACTCTGAAGCATGGGGGTGGAAACATCATGCTTTGGGGCAAAGGGACCAGGACGACTGATCCGTGTAAAGGAAAGAATGAATGGGGCCATGTATCGTGAGATTTTGAGTGAAAACCTCCTTCCATCAGCAAGGGCATTGAAGATGAAACGTGGCTGGGTCTTTCAGCATGACAATGATCCCAAACACACCGCCCGGGCAACGAAGGAGTGGCTTCGTAAGAAGCATTTCAAGGTCCTGGAGTGGCCTAGCCAGTCTCCAGATCTCAACCCCATAGAAAATCTTTGGAGGGAGTTGAAAGTCCGTGTTGCCCAGCGACAGCCCCAAAACATCACTGCTCTAGAGGAGATCTGCATGGAGGAATGGGCCAAAATACCAGCAACAGTGTGTGAAAACCTTGTGAAGACTTACAGAAAACATTTGACCTGTGTCATTGCCAACAAAGGGTATATAACAAAGTATTGAGACACTTTTGTTATTGACCAAATACTTATTTTCCACCATAATTTGCAAATAAATTCATAAAAATCCTACAATGTGATTTTCTGGATTTTTTCTTCTCATTTTGTCTGTCATAGTTGACGTGTACCTATGATGAAAATTACAGGCCTCTCTCATCTTTTTAAGTGGGAGAACTTGCACAATTGGTGGCTGACTAAATACTTTTTTTCCCCACTGTATCTGTATTCCAAGTCATGTGAAATCCATAAATTAGGGCCTAATGAATTTATTTCAATTGACTGATTTCCTTATATGAACTGTAACTCAGTAAAATCTTTGAAATTGTTCCATGTTGCGTTTTATATTTTTGTTCAGTGTATGTAAGCCAGAGACAGAGTGGTCTGTAATGGGGGCCTTGTATGGATTTGAGTGTCCTCCTCACCTTGCTACCACCCTCTCCTGGCCACACAGAGCAGTACAGCCTCACCAAGAGCTCCTGGCTGGCTGACTACTGCAAGGAGGAGGAGCAGCAGCCTCCCCAAGCCTCGGCAGCCCTATCCTGGATGGGTTCCTCAGTGGACCCCCCCTGTTTTGGTCAGAGTGAGTACTGTTTCCCCCAAGTTTACACTCTCACACACAAACACACACACACACAGTCTGACACATCATGCCCACAGATGACATACTCTATAACATCTGTACAGTTACATATGAAACCACATACCGGTAAGCACATGTACGCGTATCAGTTGTTATGGGCTAGAAAATGTAAATAGCCACAGTAGAAAAAAGTAGGACCCTCCTACTCAATTGCTCCAGCACATATCAAACATTATTGGTTAGTGAGTAGTGACAACAATCTGATTGAATATACTGTAGGTATGTGTTGGAGTATTTGATTGTGTGGTTCCCACTTTTTTATAATAATGTTTAGATAGTACCAGAATTTATTTGCTACTGTATCACATGTCATTTTGTGTAGATTAAGATTACACTGATTGAGAGTGACTTTTTGACAACGCAAAAATGCTTTACACAGATGCATTGGAAACCTGCCTGAATAATCGCTGCCTTCGCTTGGTTGTTGCACAATTGGAGAGTTTGAAGAAAGTGTTGCCACAAGTGTTGGGAATGACTGTCTACTAACACGAACACAGCTCCTTTGCCTTGTCAAATGGTGTATTAAGAGTTAAGACTCACTCATGTTTCGATCAAAACGTTTAGTTAACTCTTTACTTGAACTCTCCGTCCTAGGCCTAGATAAGTCTATTGTGTCTAAATTATGCTAACCATTATGCTAAAGACTGTTTCCGACATGTTTTATCGCCTTATTATGACAGTGGTGGAGGGTTTCAAGTCAAAGGGTGGAGGGTTTCAAGTCAAAGTTAGATTTTTGTTAGGGTTTTATTGAGCTCAGATCCAGGTCTATTGATTGGTTGTATGACCACATAATATAAAATGAAACATACTTGGTCATGGTGGGTAAAAAAATCAATAATAATCCTCCCATACTGACCTTTGTCCTCTCTTCTGACCCCTTGCATGTCTTTTTCCTCTCTGTGGTAACTGTCTCTCTCTGCTGTCAGGTGTCCCTCTTGCCAACCTTAGAACTAGGAGCACAGCCAGCTTGACTTGCCTTGAGCAGCAGATTCACTCCAGAGGTACAGTCTAAAGACCATAGATCAGACAGGCAGCAGTTGGCCTCCACCAAGGAAATAGAATTACTAGAATGGGAATCCTTAAGTAGAATGGGTGGACCGGTGGTCAGAAGTGGTACTTGTAATTCTATTTCTATGGTCTCCACACCATGGGGTTCCCCATCTCAATGCTTTTTCTTAATCATGTGCATCATTGCTATCCTTACTTAAGTGCAACGTTAATGCAAAGTGACTCAGTTGGTAGAGCATGCCGCTTGAAATGCCAGGGTTGTGGGTTCGATTCCCACATGGGGGACCAGTACGAAAGAAAAACAAATATGAAAATGTATGCACTCACTCTACTGTAAGTCGCTCTGGATAAAAGCATCTGCTAAATTACTAAAATAGAAATGTAACACTAGTGTTTCACTATCTTGTAACGATATCGGCAAATATGTCCAAGGTTAAACTAATGTCAGTATAATTCACATCTTCAGAGATGGTATTTAATTGATCCGTAATCCAACAGTGATTTTAGAAAACCAATAGGTTGGATGCTAACGATGCACTTTTAAGTAGGATTTACTGATGAAAGTAACGCCCCCGCCCCCATTATAGATGTTAGAACTGAACCATTGTGTCTGGTGCCAGAGTCATGTTAGATTATTAGCATATTCCCAGTGACAGACTTTCCTTTTTGTTCTCTCTCTCTGTTTGTTTCATGTTGTTTCACCTCCCCCATTCAATGTCAATCTATAGAAATCGAATCCATTGTGATTATTGTTTACTATTATTATTTACCTCTGAGTAATGGTTTATTTTTGCCTTACCAAGCTTAAAAGAGCATGCTTTGTCAATGTGAACCGTTGGTACAGTTGAAGTCGAAAGTTTACATACACTTAGGTTGGAGTCATTAAAACTTGTTTTTCAACCACTCCACAAATGTCTTGTTAACAAACTAAAGCTTTGGCAAGTCGGTTAGGACAAGTAATTTTTCCAACAATTGTCTACAGACCGATTATTTCACTTATAATACATTGTATCACAGTTCCAGTGGGTCAGACATTTACATACACTAAATTGACTGTGCCTTTAAACAGCTTGGAAAATTCCAGAAAAAGATGTCATGGCTTTAGAAGCTTCTGATAGGCTAATTTACATCATTTGAGTCAATTGGAGGTGTACCTGTGGATGTATTTCAAGGCCTACCTTCAAACTCAGTGCCTCTTTGCTTGACATCATGGGAAAATCAAAAGATATCAGCCAAAACCTCAGAAAAATAAGTGTAGACCTCCACAAGTCTGGTTCATCCTTGGGAGGAATTTCCAAATGCCTGAAGGTACCACGTTCATCTGTACAAACAATAGTACGCAAGTATAAACACCTTGGGACCATGCAGCCGTCATACCGCTCAGGAAGGAGACACGTTCTATCTCATAGAGATGAACGTACTTTGGTGCGAAAAGTGCAAATCAATCCCAGAACAACAGCAAAGGACCTTGTGAAGATGCTGGAGGAAACGGGTACAAATGTATCTATATCCACAGTAAAAACGAGTCCTATATCGACATAACCTGAAAGGGCGCTCCGCAAGGAAGAAGCCACTGCTCCAAAACCGCCATTAAAAAGGCAGACTACGGTTTGCAACTGCACATGGGGACAAATATCGTACTTTTTGGAGAAATGTCCTCTGGTCTGATGAAACAATAATAGAACTGCTTGGCCATAATGACCATCAATATGTTTGGAGGAAAAAGGCGGTGCCTTGCAAGCCGAAGAACACCATCCCAACCGTGAAGCACGGGGGTGGCAGCATCATGCTGTGGGGGTGCTTTGCTGCAGGAGGGACTGGTGCACTTCACAAAATAGATGGCATCATGACGAAGGAAAATGATGTGGATATATTGAAGCAACATCTCAAGACATCAGTCAGGAAGTTAAAGCTTGGTCAGAAATGGGTCTTCCAAATGGACAATGACCCCAAGCATACTTCCAAAGTTGTGGCAAAATGGCTTAAGGACAACAAAGTCAAGGTATTGGAGTGGCCATGACAAAGCCCATACCTCAATCCTATAGAAAATGTGTGGGCAGAACTGAAAAAGCGTGTGCGAGCAAGGAGGCCCACAAACCTGACTCAGTAACACCAGCTCTGTCAGGAGGAATGGGCCAAAATTCACCCAACTTATTGTGGGAAGCTTGTGGAAGGCTACCCGAAACGTTTGACCCAAGTTAAACAATTTAAAGGCAATGCTACCAAATACTAATTGAGTGTATGTAAACTTATGACCCACTGGGAATGTGATGAAAGAAATAAAAGCTGAAATAAATCATTCTCTCTACTATTATTCTGACATTTCACATTCTTTAAAATAAAGTGGTGATCCTAACTGACCAAAGACAGGGAATTTTTACTAGGATTAAATGTCAGGAATTGTGAAAAACTGAGTTTAAATGTATTTGGCTGAGGTGTATGTAAACTTCCGACTTCAACTGTATATCTCATCTGTGCATCCTCCTCCTGTCTTTATTTGAATGAGCATCTTGGTGGTAGGTCATGTTGTTATCGGACCACCATGGAACCATCTGTCTAACACATGATTGAATACTTACATTCGGAAATTCATGCTGACATTTGGAATTGATTAATGATGTTGTGCATTAACTTTGGAAGCATCCAATGAATGGCATTTTGATGTGGATATCTGCATTTAATTTTTTTAAAGCCATTGTTTTTGTCATTGTTTTTCAAATGCAATAGATGGAAATTCAAGTTCATGTTTTATATTCCAGAGAGCCCAATATATTCTTTAATATATTGAATATATTTTTTAAGTAACTGTGAGGAAAGTGGTTGAAAGTTTGAAGTTACAGTTATAGGCCCGGTCCATAGTAAAGAATACCACTCATGTCTTTGACTGTCTTTGCCTGCTTTATAGCTGACGTGAAGCTGTCCAAGCGGAGGCAGCCGTTTGTACCCTACGCCCTGCGCAATCACACAGGGTGTACCATGTGGTTTGCCACCCTCACCACCACCCCTACAAGGTCAGTGGAGCAGAGTCTTCCCACTGATAATGTCATATTGCTGAGTCTACCTTTAAAAATGTGCAGCCTAGGCATTCTACATTTTATTGTTGAGCCTTCCTGAATCATGGAATCATTGCATGTTGGTAACCAGAGTGCTCCATTTCCCCACAGGGTGGCGCTGTCTCACAGTGGCAGTGCAGACTCCATATCCCACGTGCACGGCCCAGGCACAGACGATACCCACAATGTCAGCCAGTGGCGAGAGGTACTGCCCGGAGAGGAGATTCCCTTTGAGTTTGAAGCTCGAGAGAAACTCAGGCATAGGTATGGTTTCTGGCGCATCACCGTTATTTTCATATAGGGATTAAAACCGAAAGAACAAAAAAGTCAACGGACAAGAGAGGGAATAAGACTTTAAACTGGTGATCGCACACAATTCATAATTCATAGCTGTGAATGCCAATCTGGGGAACTAACTACCTTGTATTAAATATAATCCCTCTGGATAAGAGCGTCTGCTAAATTATTAAAATGTAAAAATGAATGCAAACTTGGACTGAGATCTGTCTATCTGTGTATTCTGAACTGTTGGTTATTGTGTTTCTCTGCAGACACACTCATGAGCTGAAGCTACATCAGCTGCTGGTGCGTGTGGGTGGCTGGGAGCAGGTCAAACCTGTGTCCGTGGACAAAGTGGGCGTGTTCTTCCGCTACGCCGCCCCCGACCGCAACAACCCCTCTAACACGGTGAGTCTTCAGATCAAAGGTCAAGAGCGGTGGTCTTACTTGGCTATTAAAAAACTACAGCTGTATAGTTTATTCCATCAACATGGCTCTCACGTTTCCTATATATCATTGGCATTATGCTGCTTTGTGCTTATTGTTTGTGATATTTCTTTACATTTTCTAGGTGGGCAGCCCTATCAGCAGGACCAACATCATACACCCACATGTCTATGTAAGTGTTCTTTCAATCACATTTCTTCTATAAGCCAGTACTTGCCCCCTTTTATGTGTGGTTCTAGGTTCAGATATGTGTGTGGTTCTAGGCTCTGGTATGTGTGTGGTTCTAGGCTCTGGTATGTGTGTGGTTCTAGGTTCTGATATGTGTGTGGTTCTAGGTTCTGATATGTGTGTGGGACTAGGCTCTGATATGTGTGTGGTTGTAGTTCTCAGCTCTGCCGCCGGTGCGCGTGGTCTTCTCCATCACCATGGAGGGTAGTGCCCGGAAGGTGATCACAGTGCGTTCAGCCCTCATGGTCAAGAACCGCCTGGAAGTCCCCATGGAGGTGCGGCTAGACAGCCCCTCAGCACCAGACAGTGAGTTCACCCCAATGATACATGATGGGTTCACCCTCACACTGGGAGGCGCCATTTCCCATGCAAAAAAAACACTGAATAGTGAAAACAATTGACATGAAGATTAGACTATTTATTTGTTAAAGAAGGAAAATAAGTAAATTGAATTGTTAAAAGACGGAATATAAGTATCTCAAACTGTGTTTGTTCAGAGCCTGTGGTGCTGCCGCCCATCCTGCCCGGCGAGGCCCTGGCGGTGCCCCTCCACCTGACGTCGTGGCGGCTGCAGGCACGGCCCAAAGGCCTAGGCCTGTTCTTCTGCAAGATGCCCATCCACTGGACCAGCGTGGAGAGACCCGGTGAGGTCAAGAGTAACAAGAGGGAGTGCCAGTCAGCAGACTTTGAGGACCACCTCAAACGGAGCTTCAGGTAAAATTCCAGTGCAATACACAGACAGTCTGCACCCAGCACACTGAGACAGTAGAGTCTGCTCAGTCCAGAAATAAATCAAACAAATCATACAAAATTAATCAATCAAATGTATTTATAAAGCCCTTTTTACATCAGCAGATGTCACAAACTGCTATACAGAAACCCAGCCTAAAACCTCAAACAGCAAGCAATGCAGATGTAGAAGCACAGTGGTTAGGAAAAAGTCCCTAGAAAGGCAGACACCTAGGAAGAAACCTAGAGAGGAACCAGGCTCTGAGGGGTGGCCAGTCCCCTTCTGGCTGTGCCGGGTGGAGATTATAACAGTACATGGCCGTTAAGGCCAGATGTTCAAATGTTCATAGATGACCAGCACGGTCTAACAATAATCACAGTGGTTGTAGAGGTTGCAACAGGTCAGTACATCAGGAGTAAATGTCACTTGGCTTTTCATAGCCAGGCATTTAGAGGTTGAAAATCATGTATTTATTTCTAGTCTAACCCTGCCCTGGTTTTGATAGAATTGGTCTCCCAAATTTACACTACTTGTTTAAACCACAAGTGCATGTTATTGGCATTTCAACCCTCAGGCTAAATGTATAATATTCTTTTTTTTCTTACTTGTGATACATTCTCAGTTACTCTCTTCCACTCCTCTCCCATCTCTCCTCCTCTCTCCTGCCCTCTCTTAGGTTCTGCGTGGTGATCAAGAAGGAGAACTACCCGGACCAGCAGCCTGCCAAGACCGTATCGGGTTCGGGCAGCTCCAAGCAGATCTACTGGCAGCCAGGCCACACCATCTACCTGCTGCCAACGCTGGTGCTGGCCAACCTGCTGCCCTGCGACCTCAACTACTACATCAAGGGCACGTCTATCAAGGGCTCCCTGAAGCCGGGCAAGGAGGCTGTGCTGCACGCTGCAGACACCTCTCAGAACATGGAGCTAGGTCAGAGTCCCACTGCTGCCATTCTCATCTAATCACCTCTCCACCTATTAAGAATCTCAATGTGCATGACCTGGAAATAATACTATATCATAGCCATGTAATCTAGGTATACTAGGGCCATGGTCCTGGACTCTTTGTGGGCTAAGCCTCAGAGGTGGAAACACTGGTGTAAAAACCAAGGACTGGTGTAAAACTCCATAATGGAAATGCACTATTGATGTAATGATAATATATATAGTATATATAGTGCCTTGAAAAGCATTCACCCTCTTGTTCAGTTTTTATAGTTTGTTGCCTAGAGCCTGAAATCACATATTTGGACTTTTACATGATCTACACAGCCTACTCCACACTTTTTCACCCTGACCCTGACTGTGCCCCCCTCCTCCTCCTTCCACTAGGGGTGCTGCTAGAGAACTTCTCTGTGTGTAAAGAGCTTCTGATTCCCCCTGGTACCCAGAACTATGTGGTGCGCATGCGGCTGTATGACGCCAACAAGCGCCTGCTCTGTCTCACCATACGCATCATCCTGCGGGCACAGGGGGCGCTCAAGATCCTCATCTCAGCACCCTACTGGCTCATCAACAAGACCGGTGCTTACTCTATCCCTCCTCATAAGCAGAACACATGCACACACACACACACACACACACACAGACACACAGACACACAGTCAATGGAATTAAAATAAGTATTGACCTTTTGACGGTTCTGTTTTCTTCCCCTCAGGTCTGCCGTTGATCTTCCGTCAGGACAATGGGAAGACGGATGCGGGCGGTCAGTTTGAGGAGCACGAGTTAGCCAGGAGTCTCAGCCCCTTGCTCTTCTGTTACACTGACAAGGAGCAGCCAGCCATGTGAGTGCGCTGTAGGGCCTGGTTCCACTTCTGATTCTAGACCTGATCCCTTTTATTGTTCACATACAGTACCAGTCAAAAGTTTGGACACAACTACTCATTCAAGGGTTTTTCTTTATTTTTACTATTTTCTACAATGTAGAATAATAGTGATGATATCAAAACTATGAAATAACACCTATGGAATCATGTAGTAACCAAAAAAGTGTTCAACAAATCAAAATATATTTTATATTTGAGATTCTTCAAAGTAGTCACCCTTTGCCTTGATGACAACTTTGCACACTCTTGGCATTCTCTCAACCAGCTTCATGAGGTAGTCACCTGTTCCCACATATGCTGAGCACTTGTTGGCTGCTTTTCCTTCACTCTGCGGTCCAACTCATCCCAAACCATCTCAATTGGTTTGAGGTCGGGTGATTGTGGAGGCCAGGTCATCGCATCTGATGCAACACTCCATCACTCTCCTTCTTGTTCAAATAGCCCTTACACAGCCTGGAGCTGTGTTGGGTCATTGTCCTGTTGAAAAACAAATGATAGTCCCACTAAGGGCAAACCAGATGGGATGGCGTATCGCTGCATAATGCTGTGGTAACCATGCTGGTTAAGTGTGCCTTGAATTCTAAATAAATCACTGACAGTGTCACCAGCAAAGCACCCCCACACCTCCTCCTCCATGCTTCACGGTGGGAACCACACATGCGGAGATCATCCGTTCATCTACACAGCGTCTCACAAAGACACGGTGGTTTGAACCAAAAATCTCAAATTTGGACTCATCAGACCAATGGACAGATTTCCACCGGTCTAATGTCCATTGCTCGTGTTTCTTGGCCCAAGCAAGTCTCTTTTTCTTATTGGTGTCCTTTAGTAGTGGTTTCTTTGCAGCAAATTGACCATGAAGGCCTGATTCATGTATTCTCCTCTGAACAGTTGATGTTTAGATGTGTATGTTACTAGAACTCTGTGAAGCATTTATTCGGGCAGCAATCTGAGGTGCAGTTAATTGCCGATTTCTGAGGCTGGTAACTCTAATGAACTTATCCTTTGCAGCAGAGGTAATTCTGGGTCTTCCTTTCCTGTGGCGGTCCTCATGAGAGCAAGTTTCATCATTGCGCTTTATGGTTTTTGCGACTGTACTTGAAGAAACTTTAAAAGTTCTTGAAATGTTCCGTATTGACTGACCTTCATGTCTTAAAGTCATGAAGGACTGTCGTTTCTCTTTGCTTATTTGAGCTGTTCTTGCCATAATATGGACTTGGTCTTTTACCAAATAGGGCTATCTTCTGTATACCAACCCTACCTTGTCACAACACAACTGATTGGCTCAAATGCATTAAGAAGGAAAGAAATTCCACAAATTAACTTTTGACAAGGCACACCTGTTAATTGAAATGCATTCCAGGTGACTACCTCATGAAGCTAGTTGAGAGAATGTCAAGAGTGTGCAAAGCTGTCATCAAGGCAAAGGGTGGCTACTTTGAAGAATATAAAATATAAAAATATATTTTGATTTGTTTAACAGTTTTTTGGTTACTACATGATTCCATATGTGTTATTTCATAGTTTTGATGTCTTAACTATTATTCTACAATATAGAAAATAGTAAAAATAAAGAAAAACCCTTGAATGAGTATGTGTGTCCAAACTTTTGACTGGTAGTGTATATAAAAGGAGCAGTGTTGCACAGTTTAGTAATAATACCACAAAACCATCATTTGAACAAATGTTCAATATACGATTATTTAGGTATCAAAAGTCTAAAAGCACTTTGCGTTTGCGATGAGGAAAACATGTTACTGCGCAATGTAGCTGAATAAATCAACTAGATTGCTGTAAAAAATTATAATAATCTAGTTTTCTCAAGGGAGATCCTTTCCAGTGGCTGCACTGCGAGTTCTGTCCGTAATGTGAATTTCTGTGTATACGTTTGCATCGTCTGTGTGTGTGCGCGACGAGAGGGAGAGAGACATTGCAGAAGGATGGTAGGCTATATATTAATAGACAACACATTAGCAGCTAGAAATCAAACTCTAAACTAGTTAGTTCATTAACCATGTATTAATTCACATCCTAAAAAACAGTTGAGCTTCCACCATATTGCTTCCACAATTCCGGTTCTCTCATCTCTCCATTTCTCTCAGGTGCACCATGCGGATAGGGAGAGGGATCCATCCGGACGGGGTTCCCGGTTGGTGCCAGGGCTTTTCCCTGGACGGTGGGAGTGGAGTGAGGGCAGTGAAGGTCATCCAGCATGGGAATAGACCTGGACTCATCTACAACATAGGCAAGTAGCCTAACAACAACCACAAGTAGCCTAACAACAACACCTCACATTGGTGCCCATTTGTTGACCTTGGCCTTGTCTATTACAGTGCATTTGGAAAGTATTCAGACCCCCTCCCTTTCTCCAAATGTTGTTACGTTACAGCCTTTATTTAAAATTGATGAAATACATGTTTTCCCTCATCACTCTACACTCAATACAAAGCGAAAACAGTTTTTTAGAAATGTTTGCAAATATATTACAAATAAAAAACAGAAATACCTTATTTACACAAGTATTCAGACCCTTTGCAATGATACTCGAAATTGAGCTCAGGTGCATCCTGTTCCATTGATCATCCTTGAGATTTTTCTACAACTTGATTGGCATCCACCTGTGGTAAATTCAATTGATTGGACATGATTTGTAAAGGCACACGCTTGTCTATATAAGGTCCCACAGTTGACGGTGCATGTCAGAGCAAAAACCAAGCCATGGGGTCGAAGGAATTGTCCAAAGAGCTCCGAGACAGGATTGTGTCGAGGCACAGATCTGGGGAAGGGTACCAAAGCTCCATAGTTCCTCTGTGGAGATGGGAGAACCTTCCAGAAGGACAACCATTTCTGCAGCACTCCACCAATCAGGCCTTTATGGTAGAGGGGCCAGATGGAAGCCAGTCCTCAGTAAAAGGCACGACAGCCTACTTGGAGTTTGCCAAAAGGCACCTAAAGGACTCTCAGACCATGAGAAACAAGATTCTCTAGTCTGATGAAACCAAGATTGAACTCTCTGGCCTGAATGCCAAGCATCACGTCTGGATGAAACTTTGCACCATCCCTACGGTGAAGCATGGGGGTGGCAGCATCATGCTGTGGGGATGTTTTTCAGTGGCAGGGACTGGGAGACTTGTCAGGATAGAGGGAAAGATGAACGGAGCAAAGTACAGAGAGATCCTTGATGGAAACCTGCTCCAGAGCACTCAGTACCTCCGACTGGGACGAAGGTTCACCTTCCAGCATAACAACGACCCTAAGCACACAGCCAAGACAACGCAGGAGTGGCTTTGGGACAAGTCTCTGAATGTCCTTGAGTGGCCGAGTCGGAGCCCGGACTTGAACCCGATCGAACATCTCTGGAGAGACCTGAAAATAGCTGTGCAGCGACACCCCCCATCCAACCTGACAGAGCTTGAAAGGATCTGCAGAAAAGAATGGGAGAAACTCCCCAAATACAGTTGTGCCAAGCTTGCAGCGTCATACCAAAGAAGACTCAAGGCTGTAATCGCTGCCTAAGGTGCTTTAAAAAAGTACAGAGTAAAGGTTCTGAATACTTATGTAAATGTGATATTTCCTGGGTTTTTTAAACAGTTTTTGCTTTGTCATTATGGGGTATTGTGTGTAGATTGATGAGGGGGGAAAACAATTTAATCCATTTTAGAATAAGGCTGTAACGTAACAAAACGTGGAAAAAGTCAAGGGGTCTGAATTCTTTCTGAATGCATGTCCTGTTGCAGCGCTGAAATCTGCTGTTTTGTGTTTTCACACAGGCATCAACGTTCGTAAAGGCAAGGGCCGCTACAGAGACACCCACATCGTGACCTTTGCCCCTCGGTACCTGCTGGACAACCGCTCCACCCACAAACTGGCCTTCTCCCAGAGGGAGTTTGCCAGGGGAAAGGTGAGTGACTGACAGTGCAAAGACAGGAATTAGACACATCCAAATGGACAAAACAAAGCAATGAAAAGAAAGCAAATGTCCGCTGTTTTAGGCCTCAAGAAAGCAAATGTCCGCTGTTTTAGGCCTCAAACATTATCTTTATTGGAGCTAGTCATACAGCAGCAATGCTTCAGGATAAAGACCATGTCAATAACCCTTATTGTTGTTGTTGTATGACTCCAGGGCACAGCGAACCCAGAGGGCTACATCTCCACCCTGCCGGGTTCCAGCGTGGTTTTCCATTGGCCCAGGAACGACTACGATCAGCTTCTGTGTGTGCGCCTCATGGACACCCAGAACTGCACATGGTCCGGAGGCTTCGAGGTCAACAAGCCCAAGTCCTTCCATGTCAACATGAGGTAAAAGACTATACGACTATCTGAGAAAACGGCTATACTGTACATACATCCAAAATGGTGCTCTGGTGAAAATAAAGTAAGAACAAATCCCTCACACCATAGCTGCTCCAAAGGTTTTAAAAATTATATATGTAACTTAATATTACAATATTTTTGGTTATGGAAAATATATTTCACAGCTGTTTTAGATGGTACAAGGATTCTCTACACTATACTTGCTTGTTTTGTCACATAAACTGAAATTAGGCAAACTTATAATTTTTGCAACCAGGAAATGGCGGAGCGATTTCTGCATAGTGCACTTTTAATGTTTATAAATTATTAAACACTTGTCTGAAACCCCAGAGATAGCCAACTTTATAATGCCATACCCAACTCATTATAATGGTTAACTATTACAGAAAATGCCTCTACTGTAGTTGTGCTGTAATGTGTTGTTTCCATGACAGAGACACACTGGGCAACTGTTTCTTCCTGCGAGCTGAGATCACACTGAAGGGAGCCACTTATCAGATCTGCTTCAGCGACACCGACCAACTGCCACCGCCGTTCCGCATCGACAACATCTCGGAGGTACTGTACTGGAAACGTCTGCAGGGGTGAACTCTCATATCACAGTTTCTCTCAGAGCCATAGATGTAGATACAGAGATCGGGAAACTAACAATGTTGGAGCCAAACACTCAAATAAAACATTGGAGTTTGCATTGTAACTGGCATGCTGTTATTTTTGAATTTTCTGCGCCCATAATGTTATTGAGATTCTAAATCTCAAACCGAGTTTGATTACTGCAGGTGCCCATCCAGTTCTGGCAGCATGGGGTGGCAGACATCCGGCTTCACACGGAGGTGAAGGCGGGATCAGTGATGGACTTTGCTTGTGACGAGCCCACCCTGCCGCCCTACCTCACTCTCATCGTTAAGGGTGCTGGCTCGTCCGAGGTCACCGCAGACATGAACTTCTTCCGGGAGTACAACAAGCTCTACTATGAGAACTTCATCTACATCGCTGCCACATACACTTTTTCTCAGTGAGTATGAGAGAGACGGAGTATGGACAGGCATAGCTCAGAGCCAGGGTCAGGTTCATTGCATACCAAACGGACAAAAACAGACAAACAGGAAGGGACTAACTGGACTTCGTTTTCAGTTATAAAATGTTTTGCTACGGTATGCTCTAATGAACCCAAACATAAACGCTGATTCATGTTGTTGTGTTTCTACAGGGATGCAGGGAAGAGACCGGTGGGGAAAAAACGGGTGGTGGCAGGTGCTGAACTGGTGCTAGATGTGGAGACCAAGACCCAGAGAGTCATCCTCAAGAAAAAGGTACAACGATTATATCAAATACACCCTTAAACGTAGCAGTATCTACTTCACCCATTTTGTTTGACTGGGGCAGAACTCTCCATTGGGTTTCATAGATCTTTCAGTAGTGAAGTGACCACTTGAAAACCCATGAATAAAAAGGCTTTAAGACAGTTTACAGACTATTTTTCCAACTTCAAAATAACAATATTCCAAACGTTCCTGTTATCTCAGGAGCCGGGGAAGCGTTCCCAGCTTTGGCGGATGACGGGAACAGGAATGCTGTGTCACGAAGGCTCCTCCCCCCCACAGAGCAAGCCTGCTCAGCCACGCCCCCTGGACTCCTCCCTGGTGCTGGACATCGCTGGGCTGGCAGCGGTCACCGACAATCAGTCAGTCACTGCTTCCCTGACTATAAACCATTCTTATGTGTGGTTTCATCTTTATAGTATATGCCTGTATCTACACTTAACAAAAATTCAGTATAAACACAACATGTAAAGTGTTGGTCCCATGTTTCATGAGCTGAAATGAAAGCTCCCAGAAATGTTCCATCCGCACAAAAAGCTTATGTCTCTCAAATTCTGTGCACACATTTGTTTACATCCCTGTTAGTGAGCATTTCTCCTTTGCCAAGACAATCCATCCACCTGACAGGTGTGGCATATCAAGAAGCTAATTGAACAGCATGATCATTACACAGGTGCACCTTGTGCTGGGGACACTAAAAGGCCAATCTAAAATGTGCAGTTTTATCACACAACACAATGCTACAGATGTCATCACCTCATGTTTCAGCATGATAGTGCACGGCCCCATGTCGCAAGGATCTGCACACATATCCTGGAAGCTGAAAATGTCCCAGTTCTTCTATGGCCTGCATACTCACCAGACATGTTTCCCATTGAGCATGTTTGGGATGCTCTGGATCGACGTGTTCCAGTTCCCGCCAATATCTAGCAACTTCGCACAACCATTGAAGAGGAGTGGGACAATATTCCACAGGCCACAATCAACAGCCTAATCAACTCTATGCGAAGGAGATGTGTCGCGCTGCATGAGGCAAATGGTGGTCACACCAGATACTGACTGGTTTTCTGATCAACAGATGCATATCTGTATTCCCAGTCATGTGAAATCCATAGATTAGGGCCTAAATAATTCATTCAATTGACTGATTTCCTTACATGAACTGTAACTCAGTAAAATCTTTGAAATCGTTGCCTGTTGCATTTATATTTTTGTTCAGTATATATTTACCTGTATCTGACATCCTTGTCCTCTCTCTCTCTCTCTCTCTCTCTCTCTCTTTCTTCCCCCTTTTCCCTAGCTATGAGCCCTTGATGCTGAGGAGGCCAGACCCGCGGCGCAGCACTACCCAGACTTGGCACTTCTCCTCAGGCATGCTGACCTGTGGCCTGCCCCGGCTGGTGGTACAGGTGGGTAGAACGCCTCTTACTATCTGCAGATCAAACATACTTTTGCAGTTACACTTTATTTTAGAAGTATTTTAGGTGTCCATATCAAATTCTTATAATCTGATTATAATTCCAGAATTCATTAGTTCTTTGTATCTAATCTTGCATTGTTAAACACTTAATAGGATTTTTCCGAGATTAAGTAACACTTCATTTACAGGTGAATGTCTTGAAATGTGTAATAGGTACTTCATAATGCTGTTGAGTAAGGTTCTTATAATTAGAGCTCAGAGACACTTTTGACAATGTGACCTACGAAGCTTAGAAACACTTAGCTAGTATATTAGTCCTATACTGTATGTAGACACCTAAAACAAAGTCTTACCAAATGTTGCTTCCAATCTGAAATATAGCTCCATTTTTATTTACTGTGCCCCTCTGTGTTAACCTCTGACCCCCCCCCCCCATAGGCGAACGGTGGTGTGGAGGGGCTGTTTGACGGGGCAGAGGTGGTGCTGGGTCCGGCTGCAGGCCTGCTGGAGCTGGGCCCAGAGCAGCAGTTCATCAACCAGAAGATGAGGCCTGGCTCTGGTGTGCTGTCTGTCCAAGTCCTGCCTGACGGACCCACACGAGTGCTGCAGGTTAGTTTTGGGGGTATTTTGGGTAAGAGTTTACATACACTTAGGTTGGAGTCATTAAAACTCGTTTTTCAACCACTCCACAAATTTCTTGTTAACAAACTATAGTTTTGGCAAGTCGTTTAGGACATCTACTTTGTGCATGACACAAGTAATTTTTCCAACAATTGTTTACAGACAGATTATTTCACTTATAATTCACTGTATCACAATTTCAGTGGGTCAGAAGTTTACATACACTAAGTTGACTGTGCCTTTAAACAGCTTGGAAAATTCCAGAAAATGATGTCATGGCTTTAGAAGCTTCTGATAGTCTAATTGACATCATTTGAGTCAATTGGAGGTGTACCTGTGGATGTATTTCAAGGCCTACCTTCAAACTCAGTGCCTCTTTGCTTGACATCATGTGAAAATCAAATGAAATCTGCCAAGACCTCAGAAACAAAATTGTAGACCTCCACAACTCTGGTTCATCCTTGGGAGCAATTTCCAAACGCCTGAAGGTACCACGTTCATCTGTACAAACAATAGTACGCAAGTATAAACACCATGGGACCACGCAGCCGTCATACCGCTCAGGAAGGAGACGCGTTCTGTCTCCTAGAGATGAACGTACTTTGGTGCGAAAAGTGCAAATCAATCCCAGAACAACAGCAAATAACCTTGTGAAGATGCTGGAGGAAACAGGTACAGTGAGGGGAAAAAAGTATTTGATCCCCTGCTGATTTTGTACGTTTGCCCACTGACAAAGAAATGATCAGTCTATAATTTTAATGGTAGGTTTATTTGAACAGTGAGAGACAGAATAACAACAAAAATATCCAGAAAAACGCATGTCAAAAATGTTATAAATTGATTTGCATTTTAATGAGGGAAATAAGTAATTGACCCCCTCTGAATCAGAAAGATTTCTGGCTCCCAGGTGTCTTTTATACAGGTAACGAGCTGAGATTAGGAGCACACTCTTAAAGGGAGTGCTCCTAATCTCAGCTTGTTACCTGTATAAAAGACACCTGTCCACAGAAGCAATCAATCAATCAGATTCCAAACTCTCCACCATGGCCAAGACCAAAGAGCTATCCAAGGATGTCAGGGACAAGATTGTAGATCTACACAAAGCTGGAATGGGCTACAAGACCATCGCCAAGCAGCATGGGTGAGAAGGTGACAACAGTTGGTGCGATTATTCGCAAATGGAAGAAACACAAAATAACTGTAAATCTCCCTCGGCCTGGGGCTCCATGCAAGATCTCACCTCGTGGAGTTGCAATGATCATGAGAACGGTGAGGAATCAGCCCAGAACTACATGGGAGGATATTGTCAATGATCTCAAGGCAGCTGGGACCATAGTCACCAAGAAAACAATTGGTAACACACTGCGCCGTGAAGAACTGAAATCCTGCAGCGCCCGCAAGGTCCCCTTGCTCAAGAAAGCACATATAAAGGGCAGTCTGAAGTTTGCCAATGAACATCTGAATGATTCAGAGAACTGGGTGAAAGTGTTGTGGTCAGATGAGACCAAAATGGAGCTCTTTGGCATCAACTCATCTCACCGTGTTTGGAGGAGGAGGAATGCACCTATGACCCCAAGAACACCATCCCCACTGTCAAACATGGAGGTGGAAACATGCTTTGGGGGTGTTTTTCTGCTAAGGGGACAGGACAACTTCACAGCATCAAAGGGATGATGGACGGGGCCATGTACCATCAAATCTTGGGTGAGAACCTCCTTCCCTCAGCCAGGGCATTGAAAATGGGTTGTGGATGGGTATTCCAGCATGACAATGACCCAAAACACACGGCCAAGGCAACAAAGGAGTGGCTCAAGAAGAAGCACATTAAGGTCCTGGAGTGGCCTAGCCAGTCTCCAGACCTTAATCCCATAGAAAATCTGTGGAGGGAGCTGAAGGTTTGAGTTGCCAAACGTCAGCCTCGAAACCTTAATGACTTGGAGAAGATCTGCAAAGAGGAGTGGAACAAAATCCCTAATGAGATGTGTGCAAACCTGGTGGCCAACTACAAGAAACGTCTGACCTCTGTGATTGCCAACAAGGGTTTTGCCACCAAGTACTAAGTCATGTTTTGCAGAGGGGTCAAATACTTATTTCCCTCATTAAAATGCAAATCAATTTATAACATTTTTGCCATGCGTTTTTCTGGATTTTTGTTGTTGTTATTCTGTCTCTCACTGTTCAAATAAACCTACCATTAAAATTATAGACTGATCATGTCTTTGTCATTGGGCAAACGTACAAAATCAGCAGGGGATCAAATACTTTTTTCCCTCACTGTACATACATACATACATACATACATACATACATACATACATACAGTACCAGTCAAAAGTTTGGACACACCTACTCATTCAAGGGTTTTTCTTTATTTCTACATTGTAGAATAATAGTGAAGACATCAAAACTATGAAATAACACATATGGAATCATGTAGTAACCCAAAAAGTGTTAAACAAATCAAAATACATTTTCTATTTGTGGAGGCCAGGTCATCTGATGCAACACTCCATCACTCTCCTTCTTGGTAAAATAGCACTTACACAGCCTGGTGGTGTGTTTGGTCATTGTCCTGTTGAAAAACAAATCATAGTCCCACTAAGCGCAAACCAAATGGGATGGCATATCGCTGCAGAATGCTTTGGTAGCCATGCTGGTTAAGTGTGCCTTGAATTCTAAATAAATCACTGACAGTGTCACCAGCAAAGCACCCCCATACCATAACACCACCTCCTCCTTGCTTTACGGTGGGAACTACACATGCGGAGATCCGTTCACCCACACTCATCCGTTCACCCACACCGCGTCTCACAAAGACACGGCGGTTGGAACCAAAAATCTCAAATTTGGACTCCAGACCAAAGGACAGATTTCCACCTGTCTAATGTCCATTGCTCGTGTTTCTTGGCCCAAGCAAGTCTCTTCTTCTTATTGGTGTCCTTTAGGAGTGGTTTCTTTGCAGCAATTCGACCATGAAGGCCTGATTCATGCAGTCTCCTCTTAACAGTTGATGTTGAGATGTCTGTTACTTGAATTCTGTGAAGCATTTATTTGGGCTGCAATTTCTGAGGCTCGTAACTCTCTGATGAACTGATCCTCTGCAGCAGAGGTAACTCTGGGTCTTCCTTTCCTCCTCATGAGAGCCAGTTTCATCATAGCGCTTGATGGTTTTTGCGACTGCACTTGAAGAAACTTTCAAAGTTCTTAATGTTCAGGTTTGACTGACCTTCATGTCTTAAAGTAATGATGGACTGTCGTTTCTCTTTGCTTATTTGAGCTGTTCGTGCCATAATATGGACTTGGTCTTTTACCAAATAGGGCTATCTTCTGTATACCACCCCTACTTTGTCACAACACAACTGAATGGCTCAAACCCATTAAGAAGGAAAGAAATTCCTCAAATTAACTTTTAACAAGGCACACCTGTTAATTGAAATGCATTCCAGGTGACTACTTCATGAAGCTGGTTGAGAGGATGCCAAGAGTGTGCAAAGCTGTCATCAAGGCAAAGTGTGGCTACTTTGAAGAATCTCAAATATTAAATATATTTTGATTTGTTTAACACTTTTTTCGTTACTACATGATTCCATATGGGTTATTTCATAGTTTTGATGTCTTCACTATTATTCTACAATGTAGAAAATAGTAAAAATAAATTAAAACCCTTGAATGTAGGTGTGTCCAAACTTTTGACTGGTGCTGTATATATCTTTTTTTTAAAAGTAAATTCCAATGATAAATTGAAATTCAACTCTAGAATTAAATATGAGTTCTGACCCTGTATAGTTGACTGTATAGTTTCAATACTTTCGTGTTGGTTCCATGTCTGCCGGTAATTAGAATATTCTGACTGGCTGTATGTGATGCTGATGCTACTGTAGATCAGTGACTTCAACCAGCGGCGAATGAACCGGACGTCCCCGAGCACAGAGGAGGACCAGAACAAAGACAACATTCAGAAGAAGGAGCCAGAGCAGGAACTGGAGGTACACTTACTAACCATTAAAAGTGTATAAAACTACATTTCCTCTTCCTACCCATAGCAAAGACCTTTCAGTCCCTCAGAATGAGTTTTTTTGTGATCGTTGCTGGACGAAATGCTTGATTTTGCTGTGGCAATAATGACATTTCGCATGGCAATTTGTAATAATTTTGTCCAATTTGTCACAAATGCACTGATGAGGGAAATGGTTTGTTGACTTGTTGCTTGGTTAACCATTTTATGCTGTAATATTGAGATGATTTGATTGTTTTATGCAGTAATAGTGCGGTGATTGGTCAAATTTGCATGCCCTTGCATAACATGCGAGAAATTCACAGAATTGCAAAATCCTGGAGGGATTGTCACATAAGGCTAACCTACCATGACCACCGTTCTGTCTGTCCGTCTTGTCTGATGGTCAGGTGTTGGTGAACTTGGAGGAAGGCGTGGGTCTCTCCCTGGTTAACAAGCTGCCAGAGGAGCTGGTGTTCACTACGTTGTCGGGTATAGATGTCCACTTCACTCGCACCGCTGCCAACGAGGTGCTGGAGCTGAGCATCCAAAACATCCAGGTAACCCCACTTAAACCATTCACACTTTCTTAACCCCTTTAGTGCACCTTTTAGACATAATAATAATAATAATAATAATAATATGCCATTTAGCAGACGCTTTTATCCAAAGCGACTTACAGTCATGCGTGCATACATTTTTGTGTATGGGTGGTCCCGGGGATCGAACCCACTACCTTGGCGTTACAACATCAACTGAGGAGTTTGATTTGTAGTTGTGCCTACATGTATTGAGTCTTTCTCTCTTTTTCGCCCTCTCTCTTTCTCCCTCTCCTCCACCAGGTGGATAACCAGCTCCTGGGCACCACTCAGCCGGTGATGCTGTGTGTTTCCCCAGGCTCCAATAGTGAGAGCAGCATCGTGGACACTGGCGCCGCCCTGCAGGTCAACTCTGTTAAGGTCCCCAGCAGCCTCGTTCTCACCGACCTCTTCAAGGTAAGGCTTGACTGCCAAGTTCACTTCACAGCACCTCAGGCATGACCTGACTCAACCAGGGTCATATTCATTTGGCAGGAAATTGAAGAAAACTAATTGAAACAGGGAGTGACTACCATGTCTTGTCCAAAAAGAAATGCTACATTTTGTTTTCCGTTGCAATATGTTTTTCTAATGTGTGCCCCAATGAATACGACCCATATGAACAATCACTAACACTTGCTAGAAAATTCAAACTAGTTTCAGTTTGCCATACAGTAAGCATTAGCTAACAGACTGCAAAGGAGGCAAGTTCATGAAAGTGTTTATGAACCCAGTAGTGAAACTGCTAACTGAATGACTGTTAAGGCTGAGGAGATGTTGTAATACTGAGGTCATGACACAGTGTTTTCTGTGCAGCATCTCATGGTGACAGCGAGGCGCTTCACTGTCATCATCGAGGAGAAGCTCCTGCTGAAGCTGCTCAGTTTCTTTGGTTACGGCCACACAGAGGCAGGTGGGTAGACCCCTGGTTCCTGAACGGACATCATGACAGGTTTTTGGACCGTACGAGAGGCACTCTATAGATAGTAATTTATACACGGTCCGCTTATAAATGTGTATAGACATCATTGCATAGTTTGTAAGCCATTAAATCAGGGGAATACGTGTATAATACATGGATAAGGCCTGTTGACCATGATGATCAACACTATTATATGATTTATAATCAGACAATCAGTTAAAGTTAGTGCAATTATAAAGAACAGATGGTGTGTCTGTGCTGTGTGTGTATCTTGTATTTGGGATGGTCAGTGTTCATTGTCTGTCTGTCTGTCTGTCTTATGGTTCCAGAACTGGAGAGGTTGGATGAGAGTCTGTATGAGAAGGCCAGTGAGGACCAGGGAGCTCCCAAGCGCTACTACTTTGAGAACCTGAAGATCAGCCTCCCTCAGGTCAAACTGAGTGTGTTCACCTCTCACAAGCTCCCACCTGACCTCAAGGTAAATGGTTACTAAATTCAGTACAAATAAATTATACAGAGCCGTACTAGGATATTCTTACAGTGAAGCATAGCGTGCTTTCTGCCTTCATATGGCTGCCTTTGCCTGTTGGTTTTCTCTTTGGCATTATAAGACAAACAAATGTACATAATTCTCCACTTACCTTGACTGTTGTGGATCCACCCAGACCATTTTATTGTGCCTGTTCTAAAAGTGCTCTGTGCTCTCTGTAGGCCCTCAAGGGCACGCTGGGTATCCCGCTGATACGGTTCGAGGATGCAGTGATCAACATGTACCCCTTCACCCGGGTCCACCCTTACGAGACGCAGGAGATCATCATCAACGACATCCTCAAGCACTTCAGAGAGGTGAGGGGAAAATGAACAGATAGACAGACTTTCACTGGAGGTGATATGTAATGCCAAATTCCAAAATTATGCATATGGCTTTAGCATTCATTTATGTTAATAAGCAGCTAAAGGTGCAATCTGTTGTAACTTTCAATTTTGGTGAAACATATTAACCCAGCAGACCTCAACCAGTTACTCAGACACCGAGCAGTTTCCCTTATACATAGAACAAGAAAGAAGTATTATCTAAATAGAGCACGACCTAGTCATTTACTCACTTTGAAACTTAAGACCAACGAACAGTTTGCGAACATTGCTTCAATTAAATTACCTAATGGGAACTCTACTACAGATCCAACTGAAATGAATAATACATTTCAGATATTTTATTCCAATTTGTACTGCTCAGATGTGACCTACAATCGCTTTCTAAACCCTTTACAGCTCCCATGCCTTTTCTTGGATGCCTGCCACTCATTAGATGCCCCTATAACACTGTCAGAGCAACAAAGAATATGAATAAATGTACAGAGCATTCGGAAAGTGTTCAGATCCCTTCCCTTTTCCACAATTTGGTACGTTAGTCTTATTCTAAAATTTATTAAATAATCAACACACAATACCCCATAATGACTAAGCGAAAACAGGTTTTTTGAAATGTTAGCAAATGTATTACAAATAATAAACATAAATACTTTATTTACATAAGTATTCAGACCCTTTGCTATGAGACTCTAAATTGAGCTCAGGTGCATCCTGTTTCCATTGATCATCCTTAAGAGGAGTCCACCTGTGGTAAATTCAATTGATTGGACATGATTTGGAAAGGCACACCTGTCCATATAAGGTCCCACAGTTGTCAGAGCAAAAACCAAGCCATGAGGTCGAAGGAATTGTCTGTAGAGCTCCGAGACAGGATTGTTTCGAGGCACAGATCTGGGGAAGGGTACCAAAAAATGTCTGCAGCATTGAAGGTCCCCAAGAACACAGTGGCCTCCATCATTCTTAAATGGAAGAAGTTTGGAACCACCCAGACTCTTCCTAGAGCTGGCCGCCCGGCCAAACTGAGCAATCAGGTAAGAAGGGCCTTGGTCAGGGAGGTGACCAAGAATCCGATGGTCACTCTGACAGAGCTCCATAGTTCCTCTGTGGAGATGGGAGAACCTTCCAGAAGGACAACCATTTCTGCAGCACTCCACCAATCAGGCCTTTATGGTAGAGGGGCCAGATGGAAGCCAGTCCTCAGTAAAAGGCACGACAGCCTACTTGGAGTTTGCCAAAAGGCACCTAAAGGACTCTCAGACCATGAGAAACAAGATTCTCTGGTCTGATGAAATCAAGATTGAACTATTTGGCCTGAATGCCAAGCGTCACGTCTGAAGGAAACCTGGCACCATCCCTACGGGGAAGCATGGGGTTGGCAGCATCATGCTGTGGGGATGTTTTTCAGCGGCAGGGACTGGGAGACTAGTTAGGATCAAGGGAAAGATGAACGGAGCAAAGTACAGAGAGGTCCTTGATGAAAACCTGCTCCAGAGTGCTCAGGACCTCAGACTGGGGCCAAGGTTCACTTTCCAACAGGACAACGACCCTAAGTACACAGCGAAGACAACACAGGAGTGGCTTCGGGACAAGTCTCTGAATGTCCTTGAGTGGCCCAGCCAGAGCCCGGACTTGAACCCGATCGAACATCTCTGGAGAGACCTGAAAATAGCTGTGCAGCAACGCTCCCCATCCAACCTGACAGAGCTTGAGAGGATCTGCAGAGAAGAATGGGAGAAACTCCCCAAATACAGGTGTGTCCAAGCTTGTAGCGTCATATCCAAGAAGACTCGAGGCTGTAATCGCTGCCAATGGTCCTTCAACAAAGTACTGAGTAAACGGTCTGAATACTTATGTAAAGGTAATATTTCTGTTTTTTGCAAAGAAATTTGAAAAAAGCTGTTTTTGCTTTGTCATTATGGGGTATTGTGTGTAGATTGAGGGGGGGGAACAATTTTAATCAATTTTAAAATAAGGCTGTAACGTAACAAAATGTGGAAAAAGTCAAGGGGTCTGAATACTTTCAGAATGCACTGTACATCTCCGGGGCTGGATGGCATACCACCAACATTTTACATCACATTCTGGAACGAATTAGGTCCACTCTTATTAGATGTGATTCACTTCTGTGACCAACGAACAGTTCATTTCCCAAAAATGATAATATTGCCATTATTTCACTGCTTTTAAAGGACAGAGACAATTCTTAAATGTTCTAGCTATCACCCCCTATCTCTGCTAAATGCAGACATTAAACTTTACGCCAAAGTGTTGGCATCTCGCCTGGAACCCTTTATGACCACTCTAGTTCATAACGACCAAACATGTTTTATAAAAGTACGCCTCGTGGCTGATAATATTTGCCGCCTCCTATATCATCGAAGCATCAGATAGTGCTGAGTCTCATAATGCAGTTCTCTCACTTGATGCAGAAAAGGCTTTTGATCGCCTAGAATGCCATTATCATTAAGTGTTACACTACATGGGTATCGGGATTATTTTATATCAATGATCCAAACCCTTATGCCAACCCATCTGCAATGGTTCTAACTGGAAACATCTGCTCCTGTCAGTTCTCCTGTCAGTTCTCTCCAGGGCTGTCCTCTTTATTTGTTGTTATTTGTCTTATCGGTTGAACGCATAGCCCAGACAGCACGCCAGTCAGTCTGCCATGATCCTATCATAATCTATAGCACCAAACATCACTTATCGCTAAATGCTGATGACATTGTTATTCTTCCATAATGTTCCTCAGTCTCTTCCCCACCTCTTAGATATTTTCAGTTCTTTAAGCAAAATTGCAGGATACAAGATCAATTGGGGAAAGTCATTACTACCACTAAACTATAGACCAGAGTCGTCTATTCCTTTAAATAACCCAGTGGTCCACAATTTTAGATATCTGGGTGTCCAAAATAGTCAATATTTTCAGTGTTGACCCTTCTTTTTCAAGACCTCTGCAATCTGCCCTGGAATGCTGTCAATTAACTTATGGGCCACATCCTGACTGATGGCAGCCCATTCTTGCATAATCAATGCTTGGAGTTTGTCAGAATTTGTGGGTTTTTATTTGTCCACCCGCCTCTTGAGGATCGACCACAAGTTCTCAATGGGATTAAGGTCTGGGGAGTTTCCTGACCATGTGAACCCAAAGTTTCGATGTTTCGTTCCCCGAGCCACTTAGTTATCACTTTTGCCTCATGGCAAGGTGCTCCATCATGCTGGAAAAGGCATTGGTCGTCACCAAACTTTTCTTGGATGGTTGGGAGAAGTTGCTCTCAGAGGATGTGTTGGTACCATTCTTTATTCATGGCTGTGTTCTTAGGCAAAATTGTGAGTGAGCCCACTCCCTTGGCTGAGAAGCAACCCCACACATGAATGGTCTCAGGATGCTTTACTGTTGGCATGACACAGGACTGATGGTAGCGCTCACCTTGTCTTCTCTGGACATGGTGTTTTCCGGATGCCCCAAACAATCGGAATGGGGATTCATCAGAGAAAATGACTTTACCCCAGTCCTCAGCAGTCCAATCCCTGTACCTTTTGCAGAATATCAGTCTGTCCCTGATGTTTTTCCTGGAGAGAAGTGGCTTCTTTGCTGCCCTTCTTGACACCAGGCCATCCTCCAAAAGTATTCGCCTCACTGTGCGTGCAGATGCACCTGCCTGCTGCCATTCCTGAGCAAGCTCTGCACTGGTGGTGCCCCAATCCCGCAGCTGAATCAACTTTAGGAGACGGTCCTGGCGCTTTCTGGACTTTCTTGGGCGCCCTGATGCCTTCTTCACAACAATTGAACCTCTCTCCTTGAAGTTCTTGATGATCCGATAAATGGTTGATTTAGGTGCAATCTTACTAGCAGCAATATCATTGCCTGTGAAGCCCTTTTTGTGCAAAGCAATGATGATGGCACGTGTTTCCTTGCAGGTAACCATGGTTAACAGAGGAAGAACAATGATTTAAAGCACCACCCTCCTTTTTAAAGCTTCCCGTCTGTTATTCTAACTCAATCAACGAAGCTTAGCCTTTATCCCTTTCATAAGTTACTGCTTAGAAAAAGAGGTCTCGTCTCTGAAATGTATTCCCTTCTAGTAAAGACTTAATCCAAGCCACTTTCAATTGACAGATTGTGGAATAAAGATCTACAATCATTCAACAATGTTCTCAATTGGCAAACAATATAGCTCTAGCTTCCAGAAATCCGAATCACCAAATTATTCACTTTAATTTTGTTCACAGAACTTATTTTACTCCCCGGAAATTATATCAAATCAATGCCCAACCATCACAGAATTGTACTCTCTGCTCTAATGACACTCATGGCACCTTCGTCCATATGATGTGGGAATGCCAAAGGGTAAAATAATTCTGGAATATGATCTGCCCTGTGCTCTCCGTTTTAATATATAAAAACAATCCCATGTTTACCATCTGTTCTACTACTTAATGACAGCTCAAAAGTAGAGCTCTCTATTAAACAGAGATGCCTTTGGTGAGTCAACATAAAAAAATGTATCCCCCTCAAAAAAAGAAGGGTCTTTGCAAGTGTTATCCACACGGATTGTTTTAAATCAAACTTTTTTTTTGTGTCTGGTCAATGCTTCACTTCAAACTTCCATTCAAGCCCTGGCCACTGGTCACATTGAGGTAACCAATCAGGTGCTGCTGCATCTCACAGCCGATCAGGTTTTGTTGCTGTTGCATCTCACTGCCAATCCCATTGTTGTGTTCCTCTTCAGGAGCTGATTAGCCAAGCGGCTCAGATCCTCGGCTCGGTGGACTTCCTGGGTAACCCCATGGGACTGCTCAACGATGTCACCGAGGGCGTCTCCGAGCTCATCAAGTATGGCAATGTGGGCGGGCTCATCCGCAACGTCACCCACGGCGTGTCCAACTCCGCCGCCAAGGTATCGTTGTTGGGGTTTACCTTCCTGTTTACTTGTGCTCTGTGTTGATGTTGATTGTGTTTAACTTTGCATTATGAAATTACAGTAGGTGTCCCAGTTTCAAGACTACTACGCTGAAATGAGGCAAGGCCAAGGTCTCCTCTCCATTGACTTGACACACACACAGGTTGTTCTGTGCACTGAGGCTTTTCTATCACTTTCCATGAAAATTGGCCTCTGCTTGCTTTGATGGATCAGTGTGTGTGTCAGCTCTGTCACTAAATGTTATGTGGCTTCCAGGAAAGGAGATGGAACAGCACAGAAAGCTCAGGAGCATTGCAGTTGTATAACGACCTAACCTTAGGGCTGACCAACTCTTAGCTTGGCATTGCAAACATCTTTAATAACAAATTTAAAAAGCTTGTTGTGTTGTTATATTTAATGGCTACTCTTAGGGAATACATAGAGTATATGTCGATTTTATAGCAGGTCTGTATATGTTCTATTTTCTTGATCAGTAACCTTCCAAGGACCAGTGTAATGCCCCAACACTTAGGCCATTCTGTCCCTGGACAGTAATCGGGTAATCTACAGTACAATGAGACGTGTCCTGTTCCAAGCTAAAGGACCCATTCTGGTTTTGGAACGTTTTCAGTCCAGAACCCAGGCATTTAGCCCCACAGTCCTCCTCTCTCCCCTATCCTCAGCCAGCTCTCAGCAGGCCTCTGGAAGAGACAGACAGGCCCCCACACTCCCCCTGCCAAACTATGTCAGCCAGCTTAGTGTCAGTCAGCTCTCTCTCTCTTTCTGTTTCTCTCTCTCTCTCTCCCCCCCCTCTCTTTCTGTGCTCTAGCTCTCTCTCATTCCCTCCCTCCCACTCTCTCTGTGCTCTCTTTGTCCCTTCTCACTGCATGGCAATTTACTCATATTTGTGCTGCGGCATTGATGTCATGAATTTCAGATAGCCAGTAGGCCCGGTCACACAGCCCCTGTCTTAGCTCTTGACCAGCGCATGTCCCCAGGCCCCCACACACCACACACACCAATCGCGTCCTGCGCCAGATTTCAGCTCTGCTCTGCAACTGTAACTTGCTGTTGCTTATAGCAAATGGAATCACTGGGTCTGTCTACGCTTGGGAACACACACATTGAGGTTGTGAGATCCTGGGCACCAACTTTTCCTATTGAGGCTGAGGCTAATCCATAATCCTAGTTTAATGCAGCGCTGCTCCTGTTGACTGGTTGAAATCTTTGTATCTGCGAGCCTAAAGATTGATAAATGTTTTGTCTCAGCTCTGTCAAGGCAGTGTCCTGCAACGTTTGCTCTCCTGAAAATGAAGGATGACTTCTTCTCCTCCACTGACTTGACATACTCATCCCTCTCTGAAGAAAAACGAAATGTCATCATTGGTTTACTTTATTGTTTTTCTTTCTTCCAATCAAAGGTTTTTCCCCTTGTTAACAATCGCTTTGTTTGCTGAACATAAACAAAATAGGAGGAGCGCACGCACGCCACCCGCCCGCCCGCCCGCACACACACACACACACACACACACACACACACACACACACACACACACACACACACACACACACACACAGGGGTTTCAAACTTCTAATAAAAATGTATTGCCAAGACGTGTGCCTCATAAAAATTCCATGCCACAGTATTCAATGGAAAAAAGTTCATCTCAAAATGGTATTTAAGTGTCTTGATGAAATTAATTACCTTTTAAATGAGTTAATAACAATCAGCTCAGGAAGTATGGTGTCAAAAATAAGCAAAACACTAGTTTAGTCACTTAACCATGTTAAACCAGTCATCTAATTATGCATAATTTCTCACTTGTAGGCATCTACAGCCATGAACCATTGGCCTAACTGCTTCTGCATTTCCACTTGATGGTTGTTATGCTTACTTTATGGATGTTATTTTTCTATTTTTTATGGGTTGGTCTGCTCAACTCATTCCCTGGCCCGGGTAGCAGACCTGCTACTAAAAACTATTGCTATATAGACCTATTTGACCTGTTCCACATACATAGCTAGCCTACATTGAGGACATTCTTGCAGGTTTTATTGAGAGACTTCAAAATTATTGATAGGAAAATGGCAGAAAGGTGCGAATAGAACTTGGTCAAAAAATGTTGGTGTGCACGTGCTTATGTTAGTGCGTGTGTCATCTTGCAGCTGGTCACCTACACACCACATGTAAAACAACACTGAATAGTTTCCTTGTTCCTTGCTGGGTTTAGTTTCACCTGGTGCACCTCCACCCCTGTAATGACTGACACTCCATGTAATCTCTGAGATCCCTTAAACCTTCCTTGATCACCCCTCACCAACGTTAATACACCTGACGGGCCCCATTTTCGCATTGTGTGTGTCCTTCTGCATAGAAAGGGGGGGAGGCGTTGTAAACTTAAAAGCATCTTTATCTCCCCCTCACTCCCCAGGGACACAGGTCTGGTAGTACATTGGTTTAGTTTGACAAAGAGAATAAAAGAGAAAATGAAGAAGGAGAGAGTTGGCGCTGGCCTTCCAATGAACTCTCCAGGGACTTTGCTTGGTGGGGTCATCCCAAGTTCAGGCCTGGCGCTGGCTGCAGAGCGCGGCGGAGGGCCGGGTGTGTTTACACAGAACCCAGCCTCCTCTGAGCCCCCCCCCCCCGTAACACAAACCCACTTCCAGCAAGCACCTGCTGGGTGGAAGGGAGGAGGGAGAGCCTGGCTGGAAAGAGACAGGTCAGCGCTGGGGAAAGATGGGGGTGGGAAGGCACTTCACTCCAGCAGACAAATGACTCGCTGATATATTGGCCAGATGGATGAGGCAGGCGACGTGTAAAATCAGTTATCTCTCCTCTGTCAGTCATCGTCGTCGTCCCCCCTTGTCTCTCTAGTTCAGCTGTGGGGATGAGAACCAGCTACTGTAGAACCTTTTCACTCAGTGAGGTTGTGAGCTCTGGATATGTGACACGCATTTATTGTGTTTTAATATGGCCATTCAACAGCAGCACATCCCTGGAATCACTGATAAACGGTGTCTTTTAGTCGTTAGAAATTGGGCTTGGATTTGCCAGGGACCTCACAATATGATATCATCACAATATAATATCTATACTATATTTAGGTGCCGATATGTATTGCGATTGTATATGAATTGCGATTCAATACTGCGATTTTATTGCTATTTTATATATTGCTGACTATATCTGCTGCAGAGGGACAAGCGAGAGCAATGAGAACGTGTTGGCTCACTATTTAAAAAGAAGATGGAGAACAAGCTATAGAAAGAAATACCAGAGTTTTGGTGCAGGAACAGCCGACTAGCGCTAGCTAACGTTAACTAACAACATCAACAAATGATCGATACTTGGAGTCATACCATCTATATAATATTGTGATACTGTATCGATTTCTTCCCCCATCACTAGAAAGAAATGGACAACATTTTCAGTATGAGTTAGGGGGTTTTGTTAGATGGCTTAGACTTGAGTTAGTATCCTTTTATAAGTTTGAAAGAGAGAGAGACATCATGCCTGTGTGAATTGAAAGGTATTTGACTGGGACAAATGAGAGCCAGTCCATCATTCCACTGCAAGGCCTAGAGTGAGGGCTGCACTGGTCTAATGGTCCCTACCTAGTATGTGGGAGCAAAGAGCTGTACTGTGTGGTTGACCTGAATCAGATTAGACTGCAGTGAGCAAAGTAACATATTTTTAATACCTTTTAAATAATGTATAAATATAGAGAAATGAAGGGGGGGCAAAACTGAGCCTTGAGGTACACCTTTTCTAAGACGTGATAAGTAGACGTGATGCTGCATTATTCAAGACTATTTCCAAATACTGCAATATACTGTGTGTAAAACATGCTTGAAATGAAGGGTTCTGCTGATATGGTGTGAAAAATACTGACCGAAGTGACACTCTCTCTCTCTCTGTCTTCTTAGTTTGCAGGGACTTTGTCGGATGGGTTGGGCAAGACCATGGACAATCGACATCAGAACGAACGAGAGTACATCCGTTACCATGGCGCCACCAGCGGAGAGCATCTGGTGGCTGGGATTCATGGATTGGCTCATGGTATGTACTATTACAGTAATACTGTAGTGCTACTAATAATACTGTAGTAATACCACTACTGACTGTAGTCCGTCTTTCACTTTCAATATGTGACTTGCATTTTATTAATCTAACATTAGATAGATCCACTGGGTTCCATTGCACAGTGAGGACTATCAGGCCTTTTAATCTGTAATAGATCAGAATCCATTGTGCTGTTCGTGAGGAGTCTCACCTGGTTCTTATCTGGTGTTCCACAGGTATAATCGGAGGGTTGACCAGCGTCATCACGTCCACAGTGGAGGGGGTGAAGACTGAGGGAGGAGTCAGCGGCTTCTTCTCTGGCCTGGGGAAAGGCCTGGTTGGTACGGTAACCAAGCCGGTGGCCGGTGCGCTGGACTTTGCCTCGGAGACCGCACAGACGGTCCGAGACATGGCCAGCCTCAGTAACCACAGGTAAGTCCCTAAACCCGGAGAGACAACATGTCATAACACCAATTTTACAATGAGAATGACTCCTAAATGGCAACTTTCAAAGAAAAACGTTACATCCCTAGTGCTTCTCTCAATGGGAGTGGCATGTGTGGAAGATCGCTTCCACTTTTGATCAATTGTTACATTCAACATAGAAAGGGTTTGAATCTTAACGTAACTGTCCAGTGTAAATCTAACTATTAAAAGTTAATATTCTGTTAACCCATACCCAAATAATGTTGTTGACTCATCCTACAGTCGTATTTGTTGCCAAAGCATTAATTGGAGAAAACACTTCAAAAACCTCATCTCAAACATGTATCTCAAACAGACCGTTTAAGAAATGCTTGCTATTTCCTCAGAGGTTGATGTAGGAATGATCTGGCCAGTCAACAGTCTACTCGCATTAATATTTTTTATGACTGGTATATGCCCACACCATTCCAACACAGAAAAGCTGCTTTTTAGCATACTTAAAGGTCCAATGCAGCCGTTTTTATCTCAATATCAAATAATTTCTGGGTAACAATTAAGTGCTTTACTGAGATTGTTTTCCAATAAAAATTCTTAAAAAAAAAAGCTAAGATAATTGCTTCTTAGCAAAGAGTAATTTATCAAGCAATAATTTTGTTAGGACTGTCTGGGTGTGGTCTGAGAGTGGGGAGGGGAAAACTGAAAACTAGCTGTTATTGGCAGAGAGGTTTGGAACTCTCTTTCTTATTGGTCTATTAACTAATTTACCCAAAACTCCATCCCACCTAAACAGGCTAAAATATAATTTTCACAATTTCACAGTATTATTCTAACCTCAGTGTAGAAATGTATATAAAACACAGGAAAATCTCGTTTTTGACTGCACTGGGCATTAAATCTTTTTTTTTACTAACTATTTAACTCATGTTGTAATTAATTATAGGTCATATTTCATAGAAATCTGGAAACACTGTATAGTTACTTTAATATTGGTGCAGGGTCTCATGTATTTCAGAATTGTGTGTGATACTCACATACTCCTGTGTGTGCACGCCAACTTGACTAGGAAATGGTATGGTATGTGTGTGCTCGCATTTAAGGGGTTGATTAGAGAAGGTGTGCGCATGTACTTGGAACGCGAAGGGACCTGCAGATGAACTGTTTCTGCTGTATAAGCGAGGCCCTATTCAGGGAGGGGAGTGGAGGAAGCGGGAGGGGAGAGGAGAGGAGGGGAGAGGAGTGGAGAGAAGGGGGGGATGAGGGAGGGGGCATCCGAAGCGTGCCTGCCACAGTGTGTCTACGAGTTCAGCCAGAGTTCAACCCAGAGAATGTGCCGGAATCATGGGTCACAGCGGACACTGATCACGCTATCACACCCACTCAATAACACACTCAAACAGGTAGAGACTAAACACACACATTTATGCTTTCACTCGCATACACACTTATACTCTCACATATCAACACACTCACATACTCACTCACACACACACTTGCTCCCCAACACTGTCATACCATCGCGTACAGAAGAAAAGCTGTAAAATGATTTAAGGGAATAATGGGGGGGTTATATAGAGTTCTTCCTACTGTGGATTGAGTTGCTCATCACAACCTTCTACACTGTGCATGCAGCCCTTTCCTTTTCCCTCTGTGTGACTGGCTCAGATCACATCTCCAGAAAAACACACACTAGGAAACAAACAAGTCAATGAGAAGCAGACGTTGTGGGATGGTTCGCACTCCCGTTGCTCTCCTGCCCTGCTCGTGAACTCTCCCTCCTGTCTTTCACACACACACACACACACACACACACACACACACACACACACACACACACACACACACACACACACACACACACACACCTTCCCTCAGTCCTGGCAACCCTCTAGAGCCAGCTCAATTACAATTCCCAAACAAAGGGGGAGAGACGCACTCCTCACACCCCTTCAGCACACTGTCAACCCAGTCCTAGGCGTTCCTTCACTACAGTACACTACACTGAGGAGAAGCAGAACATTAGACTAATGTTTTCAAAACCCGCTTATAGGAAAGATATACAGCACATTACTGTAAGTAATTGACCTAGGTAGCATTGTTGGCGATCTATTAGTTAGGTATAGTCATGGCATCAGATTTAGACGCTTATTCAATCTGTTGGTTTAAATGAATGAACCAAGGAGAAATCTACAGTATGCACAAAGCAAGTCCACCAACTCTTTCTATCCCAACTTAGAAAATGAGCATGACAACAGTGAAACCACAGGGCTGGAAAGTGAGAGGAGAGGAATGTTTTTATTTTGTCAACCCTGCATAAGAAATGCCAGACAGACATGCTAATGATGTGTCTCGCCACAAGCCATCTACACACTGGTACGGAATGTGTTTTAGCATGACCGCCATTCCACATCTCTAGGAGGATGGGGGTTATTCCACCAGCATGCCAAGATATTAACTTCTGTATAGTCTAGAGACTATCTATAATCTATATCTTCTTCTAACAAGGTATACCTCTCTGCAGTGCATGCCATGAAAACTTGAGCCAAATGCTGTTAGGTGTTCCCACACGGCTGTAGGGTCACATTTTGTAGGCTCCATAAGGTTTTCAAATGGAGGAACTACCACCTGAGCTTGTCCAATAGGAAAGGTCCTAAGTGACGACCTCTTATATTAATTTGGATCTGCAAATTCATTCGAGCCTTCCAGATGGCATAGTGGAGTTATTAGCATATTGCTTATGCAGTAACTACCCATCCAATCCACTCTGATCTACATGAAGTGCCTAGGGCCAGGGGCGATGTGGGAGATTGGGCAGTGCTGTCTCCTGGAGGAGAACAGCCGGAGCAGGGCAGTGCTGTCTCCTGGAGGAGAACGGCCGGAGCAGGGCAGTGCTGTCTCCTGGAGGAGAACGGCCGGAGCAGGGCAGTGTGTGTAAGCTGCTGACAGCAGTCTGTTCCTCCTCCAGGCAGGCCTCCAGAGCCTGACCCACAGATGAACCACTTAGCCAGGCTAGCGGGCCAGATCTGCCCTCTCGTCTCATCTCCAGAGCTGCCCACAAGGCTGGAACGCTTCTCCCTCTCCTTCTCGCATGTCACAGCTACACTGCCATTCTAGTCAACCTGGCTTGTCCTACGCTATTCACACTGATGTGGAGCTGTGGCTTCCCCCCCAATTTTTCACCCGTGGCTGACAACGGCCGGCGCCTCTCTCCGTCTCTTTGTCCACACACCCACTTACTTACTTACCTACCTACCCAGCCAGCCAGCCAAAGGAGCCCTCCTCATATACAGCCCCCTGGCTCCCGGCGCCCAGACTGCCCACACACTCCCATTCCACCACAGCAGCGGTTCCAGCTGCAGACAGCCTGGAACCTGTCTCTCCCCAAGAAAAGCAAACCCCCGCAGCCCAGCCCAGCCAGGCAGAGCAGAGCAGCACAGTGCCGCCTTTGTGAATCCACCAGAGCCCATCGGGCCCTAATCAAAAGACCGCAGCCCGGGCAGATTCAAGCCAGATGTGGGAATTCCAGCCGGGCCCGGGCTGACTCTGGCAGTCAGGAATAAGAGGGGTAGGGGGTGAGATGGAGAGGGGGGGGTGGTGGTGTTGTCTGAAGGGGAAGTGAGACCTTAGCTCAAACCTGGGCCTGGCACTGGCAGGTTGGCACCAGGGCACTGTGACCTCTTCACCTCTCAACAGCCTCACAGGTCCTTTCCAGTCTGAATCAGTCTCAACCAGTGTTCTATATACCACCTTACGCACTGTGTTGAGCTGTCATGTTGACCTGCCATGTTGACACCGTATTTGGCACCTATTTAAAGCTGCTGTGCTAAGCTGTTATGTTGATGCTATGTATTTGGTAAAGCTGCTGTGCTGAGCTTTTGTTATATTGATGGTCTGTATTTGGCAGCTATACTGACTGCTGCTGCTGCTCTCTGTTTTCCATCCTGTGTTGCAGGTTGAGTGTGCTGCGGGTGAGGAAGCCACGCTGCTGTAAGGGACCCCAGGGCCTGCTGCCCCGCTTCTCCTCCACCCAGGCCGACGGACAGGAGCAGCTCTTCCACCTCACTGACAACATCCACTCTGAGTTGTGAGTCACACTCCTGTTCTGAGCTTCCAGAGTTAAACCACTATCTGGCCATTCACCCTTGTTTTGGTTGGGCAACAATGTAAGAACACAGTGTAAGAACAGTGGCCACAGTGGGTGTAGACTTTTGCTCCAGCCCTGCTCTAACACACCTGATTCAACTCATCATAGACTTTCATTTACACCACAATGAGTTGGTGATGATCTGGAACAAAAGCCTGCTGAATATGTTAACTTATTTAAAAGGTTTGGAGAAATGCTATTGCATCACACGGAAAACTGTTTAGTTTAATATTGCATTGAATTTAAGTTTATGTTTATTAATACAGATTTAGTATCTCTAGAGTGAGAAAGAGACATGAAATCCCTAGATGGGTCACTAGCCTATCCTGTAGCCAGTCTCTCTGCTGGCCCTGAGAACATTTGTCACCTCAGAGGCTAATAAATCCAGAGAGGCAGCAGAACCCTGTCTCTAGCCATTGACCTCTGACCTTAGAGATGTTAACCAGACAATTACTCAGCTCAGCCTCTGGGCTGCCTGGCCCACACTTCACTGTTCCCATGGGACTGCTGCTCACACCATGTGTGTTAATGTTAGCATGTGTTGTGCAAAGCTTTTGTGTGTGTGAGAGTTTTAGGAAATGACACACATAGTGGTTACTTGAAAGCAAGTGCCTCCAGCTTTTTATTTTCGTCAGGGAATCAACTCCGATCTCTCTAGCTCACTCATTTTTGCCAAACAAGTCATGATTTCTAAATATTTATCTCTCTCTCCCTTACTCTCTCCCTCCCCACTTAGCTTCATTGCTGTGGAGCCCATAGACACCTACTGCGTGCTCATATCTTCCAAAGTGGTCTACTTCCTCAAGCCCGGGGAATTTGTGGACCGCGAGGCCATCTTCCTGGAGGTCAAGTATGATGACCTGTACCACTGCCTGGTCTCAAAGGACCATGGGAAGGTGTATGTGCAGCTCACCAAGAAGGCAGAGAGCACCAGCAGTGGCGTAGCCATGCCAGGCCCTTCCCACCAGAAGCCTATGGTAAGACTTCCACAACCCTATAAGAACTATTCTGTAGTGTTAATGAATTAACTTCTTAATAATTGCATTTGTATTATTTCTTCATTTATTTAAGCAAAATCTTGCACATTTTAAAATCGAAAAACAGTCTTTTTTTTACTTGTCAAGTATAACATTTTTTATTTACTTTTTATATTGCTAATGGTTTTCATAGGTTGCCTCAATGTTAAATTAGGGTCATTTTCCCTCATGTCCTAATAGGTTCATGTGAAGAGCGAGAATCTTGCTGTAAAAATCTCTCAAGAAATCAACTATGCCAAGAGCCTTTACTACGAGCAGCAGCTCATGCTGCCGCCCAATGAGACTGAAGACTGCCTACTATTGGACTCATAACTGACCCCTGGAAAGGGTGGCACATACACATGTTCCTCCTGTTTCTTCCCACTGAAAGTAGTCTTTAATATGTTGCGACAGTGTCTGAAGATATGATCCACAATCACTAGAGAATATCTCCTATGTCTCTCTAAGGACGGAATGCCCTATCCTGGTCCTGGAAGGCAACAGCCTGCTAATTTTCACCGCCCTGATATGAAGAAAACTAGCCCAGTGCAAAGTGAATGGGCTTGTTGGACTGACCATCTGTATGGGTATGGGTATAAGGGCTTTGCAGCTTTGTGTGAAGTGAAGCCCATCTTGGGTCAGGATCGTCCTCTGCTGCACTTGGTTTAGTAGCGCAACATAGTTTAGACTTAGAGGGTCCGACATCCCAAGATGCACACGATTTAAACGATGAAAATAAATATGCTAACAGGTGTTTTATTGACTTCTGTATATTTAGAACACAATACGATGACACAGATGTTTTATTTTACAAAAATGTTTATAAGATAAGACTGGTATATGTCAGTAGATGTACGGGTAGTGTTATATTATGTTTGTGAATAGACACCTATGTACATATATAGCTACATACCAATATAACACTATAGCTATGTACATCACCAGGTTGGAGAAACAATATTATTATAATTATGGAGGTTAATATGAAGTGAAATGCTGTACAAAACTGCCTTTAAAATGTCTTTATTTTGTGTATAAAAGTATTTTCGGGTTGAATTCATTGCACTGACACTTAGTTTGGACACACTGGCTGCTCTTTCCCTCCACCTGGCCACACCCACCCCACAGGGAAGGCAGTCGGGGGAGCTGCCACTCAAGTCCCTAGCCTTTTACAATCATGGGCCTCTGTCTGGTTTCGGTCACCGTTTTATTTAATGACTTTTTTACCAGTGTCCTTTTTAACCGATTTCTTCTGAGAGCTCTAGGTTTGGGAATGTGTTCCTTGAACATTGAGTTTCTATCTACTGTGATCAGACCAGGGGCCTTAGTTACACCCAATGCTTGTGAAAGGTGGAGGACATGAGCTTTAACCTGTGGAGGAGGAGGAAAGAGATTGAATTGATGACATTGCTTATAATAAAGCACCACAGCTGCAGTACTCGATACTATTGACCCTCTGTGCCTGTTACTGAACCAAATATCATGATTTCCATATCATCCGGTGCATCCTTACTGTTTATTCACCCAAATTAAAGGCATAATCTGTAACTACCTCTGCACTCTGCACATAAATTAAGCACCCACTGCTAGCACCTCATTTACAGTGGCGATTTTTGCATGTAAATCTTGGTGGGGCAAAAAACATATACAGTGCTATGAAAAAGTATTTGCCCCCTTTCTAATTTTCTCTACTTTTGCGTATTTGTGATTCTGAATGTTTATCAGATCTTCAACCAAAACCTAATATTAGATAAAGGGAACATAAGTGAACAAATAACACAACAATTACATATTTATTTCATAAACAAAGTTATGCAACACCCTGTGTGAAAAAGTAATTGCCCCCTTACACTCAATAACTGGTTGTGCCACCTTTAGCTGCAATGACTCCAACCAAATGCTTCCTGTAGTTGTTGATCAGTCTCTCACGTCGCTGTGGATGAATTTTTGCCCACTCTTCCATGCAGAACTGCTTTAACTCAGTGATGTGTGGGTTTTCAAGCATGAACTGCTCGTTTCAAGTCCTGCCACAACATCTCAATTGGGATTAGGTCTGGACTTTGACTAGGCCATTCCAAAACTTCCAATTTGTTGCTTTTTAGCAATTTTCATGTAGACTTGATTGTGTGTTTTGGATCATTGTCTTGCTGCATGACCCAGCTGCGCTTCAGCTTCAGCTCACAGACGGATGGTCTGACATTCTCCTGTAGAATTCTCAGATACAGAGCAGAATTCATGGTTCCTTCTATTAAGGCAAGTCGTCCAGGTCCTGAGGCAGCAAAGCATCCCCAAACCATCACACCACCACCACCATGCTTGACCTTTGGTATCAAGACTCTTGGAAGAACGTTCTATGGACAGATTATTCAAAAGTATAACTTTTTGGACGACATGGTTCCAGTAATGCCAATGTTGAATGTTTATCGTTTTAAGCTTGGAAAAGAGACCCTTAATCCCAGACTTGGGACCACACAGCCACTCCACTGAATAGCAGGCTAGTGATTGCTTTGCAATGCTTGCAGTTAGCCGCTGATTCCTTCCAAACCACTCATTGTTGAATTTGCGATTTCCAACTTGTTGTGTAATGTTTATGTCCAATGGTCAATGAGCACCGATATATTTTATCTATAATTTCTCTTCATTATTTTTGTTCATATGACAAGGATTAAAAAGGATTTGCCAGTAGATTGTCTACTTGATTCATGATGATGACTGTTAGCTAAGATTTTGAAAGTATGATGTTGACATGATCAGTCCAATCAAAGCTACTGTAGATATAACGTGATTTGACGTCATTTTATCTGTGGCCAATGACCTTGAGCCTTCTTGAATGGGCACTTCTAATGTAACTATGGCAGCACCCAAGGGGCTTGGATTTTCGAGCTCCACCCTTAGACTTGGCGGTGACGTAGTGTCCCCGTGAGTGACAGAACACTGAGACAATCACGGCGCAACTAGACTACATCTCACTGTTAAGATCATGGAGACAGTGGCAAGGAAAAGCTCAATCAAATTCATGGCCAGGGTTTTGGTGTGTTTGATCAATGATTGGACGCAGGCTCTGAATTGAAGTCAATCTGAAGTGTCTGTTTGATTGCAGAATTCATGTGATTATAAAAATATGTACAAAGCTTGGATAATTACACAGATTAGTTTTCCTTACAGTTTCATATCAGATGAACGTTTTATGAATGTTGTAAGAGAGCCTACATTACGGAGAGAGAGATGCCCTGAGGTTCTGAGTGGTAGGAGTTCAGTGCCTCGCTCACCCACATAAAGACTGTGAGGAGGAGCCTTTGCATACCGAGGTCATTGGTAGTCATGGAGAGGTTACACACTTCATTTGCATCGAGTAAAACGAGGTAGTGGCAAGGAAAAGCTGCCTTCACAGAGAACATTAGTCAATGTATCTAAAGCCTAACTAGGAGCATTACTACACTGAACAAAAATATAAACACATGTAAAGTGTTGGTCCCATGTTTCATGAGCTGAAATAAAAGATACCAGAAATGTTCCATACACACAGAAAGCGTATTTCGCTCAAATATCTGTGACCAACAGATGCATATCTCTATTCCCAGTCATGTGAAATCCATCGATTAGGGCCTTTTGAATTGATTTCAATTGACTGATTTCCTTATGAACTGTAGCAGTAAAATCTTAGAAATTGTTGCATTTTGCATTTATATTTTTGTTCAGTGTATTTTGTATGAGTAAATTGTCTGTCTACCACATGGGCCATGGTGTAAACTGTTTTGGTCCTTCCCTCGCATGCTGCAGCATCCCACTTCTCCTCTAGTTTCACAAGTCAGACAAGAGTTTTGTTAATGTGAAAGACTGGTAATTGATGGACCTCTCGTCCAACTGAGCCTCCGCTACCTGCCTGTCCAGGCATCAGAGTGAAGAGTTTAGCACCCGGGGAGTCGTCTGTTTGTTCAACCACCGTTTGGCTAACCTTGCGCTAAACTCGTCCCTTGAGATTTGAGCTGTCTTCTCCAACACACACTCACAGAGACAGTTTAGGGCCTAGATTCAATCAGATCAAGCGTTAACCGGCGATAGCAGACACCCGCATAGCGGATGTTTTGGCGGTGTCAGAGGTGCTTTGGAGCTGGCAAATCGGTGAGCAGCTGCTCTTGCAATCAGTTTCGCCATGAAGCCACAGCCGCCCCACTCGCATTGGAAGTTCAGAACGAGAACGTGTAGGCTATATAGAAATAATTACACTCAAATTGAAAAATCATTCAACTAAATGAGGATTTTTATCATCCTAATCGAGGTGTAGATTACATCTCACATTCGTGTTTGAAATTGTAAACAGGGCTGCATGGGAATTGTATTAATATGACTCCGTGGAGCTAATGGCAAAGTCTACTTTAGGTATAATGCCGGGAGCCACTTGGGGATTTGACAGCTCTAACGCAGTTCCACCCCCGCTATGCGGATGTTGGCTAAAGCGGATCTGATTGAATCGAGCCCTAGATTGGACCCAATGATTTATACATACAGTACCAGTCAAAAGTTTGGACACGGCTACTCATTTTCTACATTGTAGAATAATAGTGAAGACATCAAAACTATAACACATATGGAATCATGTAGTAACCAAAAAAGTGTTAAATCAAAATATATTTTATATTTGAGATTCTTCAAAGTAGCTACCCTTTGCCTTGATAACAGCTTTGCACACTCTTGGCATTCTCTCAACCAGCTTCATGAGGTAGTGTGGTCCTGTGTAGCTCAGTTGGTAGAGCATGGCGTTTGCAATGCCAGGGTTGTGGGTTTGATTCCCACAGGGGGCCAGTATGAAAAATGTATGCACTCACTAACTGTAAGTCACTCTGGATAAGAGAGTCTGCTAAATGACTAAAATGTAAAATGTAGTCACCTTGAATGCATTTCAATTAACAGGTTTGTATAATTTATTTCCTTCTTAATGCGTTTGAGCCAATCAGTTGTGTTGGGACAAGGTAGGGGGGTATACAGAAGGTAGCCCTATTTGGTAAAAGACCAAGTCCATATTATGGCAAGAACAGCTCAAATAAGCAAAGAGAAACGACAGTCCATCATTACTTTAAGACATAAAGTTCAGTCAAACCGGAAAGTTTCAAGAACTTTGAAAGTTTCTTCAAGTGCAGTCGCAAAAACCATCAAGCACTATGATGAAACTGGCTCTCATGAGGACCGCCACAGGAAAGGAAGACCCAGAGTTACCTGTGCTGCAGAGGATAAATTCATTAGAGTTACCAGCCTCAGAAATTGCAGCCCAAATAAATGCTTCACAGAGTTCAAGTAAAAGACACATCTCAACATCAACTGTTCAGAGGAGACTGCGTGAATCAGGCCTTCATGGTCGAATTGCTGCAAAGAAACCACTACTAAGGGACACCAGTCCAAATTTGAGATTTTTGGTTCCAACCGCCGTGTCTTTGTGAGACGCAGAGTAGGTGAACGGATGATCTCTGCATGTGTGGTTCCCACCGTGAAGCATGGAGGAGGAGGTGTGATGGTGCTTTGCTGGTGACACTGTCAGTGATTTATTTGGAAATCAAGGCACACTTAACCAGCATGGCTGCCACAGCATTCTGCTGCGATACGCCATCCCATCTGGTTTGCGCTTAGTGGGACTATCATTTGTTTTTCAACTGGACAATGACTCAACACACCTCCAGGCTGTGTAAGGGCTATTTGACAAAGAAGGAGAGTGATGGAGTGCTGCATCAGATGACCTGGCCTCCAGAATCACCGACCTCAACCCAATTGAGATGGTTTGGGATGAGTTGGACCGCAGAGTAAAGGAAAAGCAGCCAACAAGTGCTCAGCATATGTGGGAACTCCAAGACTGTTGGAAAAGCATTCCAGGTGAAGCTGGTTGAGAGAATGCCAAGAGTATGCAAAGCCGTCATCAAGGCAAAGGGTGGCTACATTGAAGAATCTTAAATATAACATATTTGGATTTGTTTAACACTTTTTTGGTTACTACATGATTCCATATGTGTTATTTAATAGTTTGATGTCTTCACTATTATTCTACAATGTAGAAAATAGTTTTTTTTTAAAGAAACACTGAGTAGGTGTGTCCAAACTTTGGACTGATACTGTTTATACACTAGATGACTGACAGGGGGTGCTGTTTTCAAGCCACCACCCCTCCATCTTGGCACTCCCCCAGCATTGTATTTTGGAAGCTATAGAAATTGATTTATTAATGTCTACATTTATTTTTGCCACGTTCATTCTATTACAGACACCTTAATGCATATTTTTATATTATGTGAGCTAAAACAATTTAAAATATATAAACATTTTCCTTAAATTATAATTATTAGAAAGTTCTGTTACTGACCCCACTACAACAACAAAAATACATTTAATTGAAATACTATAGAATTCTATTTATTCCTATGGAGGACTGCTTCTTCTGGGGAGTGCCATTATGGCCGACTGGTGGCGTCAAAGCCTCTCATTGGCCATTACATAGCATCTGTAATCCAGGGTTTATATACATCATTGGTTGGACCATTACATTTAGGCTTCCATTCTGAAAATGTTCTGGTCTAAAACAAATAATCACTGTTATTTTATTGACCAGAGTAGTATGATTGCAATGGTTGTGCCTCCCTTGCTTTTGTGCACTAAATATGTCCACGTGAGTTTGTTTTATCAAAACTTTCTCCCCCTCAATAATTATTTGAACAAGATTCAGATACATCACTGTACACAAGTTTGAATGTTCAATATCTACGCCTACTGTAAATGCTAACCATAATAACCACTGTAACCCTAGATAACCAGAAGTTCTCAACAGAATGTGGGAAAACTGATATTGGACAATAGAGCCCACCAGGCCAGGTATGATTCTCCAGCTGTCTCTGTGTTCCAGATTGATAACAATACTAAAGAAGATTAAAAGACAGAGCCAAGAGGGACAGATGAAGAAAGAGGGTACCAACAAGTGTGTTCAGTAGGCACAGTATAGGATCAAATAAATGTTCTCCCATTTGTGTCAGCTGAATGATGAATCTAAGAATGTTGATTGTATTGCATTGCCTGTGTCCCCCTGAACCCATTTCTATGGGTCTTCCAATGGAAGGAACATCTCCGGTATACTTTCCTAAGGAGCTGAGAGTGTTATGACAACCCTTACAAAACGAACAATGACCTCACAATTGGCAGGGCTGCAGCACAGGAATGTTGACCATGAGAAGGCTGGAGGCTTTGGCAGACCATGAACAAGCACAGAGAAGACTGGATCTGCACGCACACACACAACAGCATAGTGACAATACTGTCAAGTGGTAAATCCCAAAAAATATGACTATTATAACAGATTTACTACCATTTATTTCTAAACACAAAAACACCAAGAAACCTGGAATTAAATGCAACTACCAGAAGTTACTCGCTTGTTAACATCATGAGTACAATCCATTCAACCTAATCTCTGCATTTTCAAATTAGTAAAACAGATGGGAAGTTTACCACAGTGGTAAGGCTTGATCAGTTCTGAATACCAGTCCATCTAGTGCTTAGTCCATGATTCCACAGCATCCTCTTCTTACACCATCAGGGCACTGTGACCCCAAGTACCCATAGTTCCTAAGGCCTCTGTCTTGGAGATACTTCCACGTTTTTGACAGGAAGCTGTTATGCAGTTCTTAGTGACGTAGCCTCTCCGTTCTTATGTCCGTCCCTTGAAGGTGTCCATGCAGGTGTAGCACCCTGTGAAGCGCTGGATCTCCTCCAGAGCCGCCTGAGGCAGGAAGCTGTTGGAGATGGGAATGGAGCATGTTAGTGTAACAGAAGTAGTTCAGTGAACTTACATGATCATTAACCTTGTCTGAGACCTGAATTAGCACCGTAAACTAATCCCTACGGCTAAGAGTGTCCGGTTCTCAGAAGACCTGTTGTCACAGCCTCATCCATCTAACCCAGTACACTACTTTGGTGTCATGACTGAGATTGGGTCCCCCTACCTCTTGAGAATAACGAGAGCGTGCATGGTCCAAGGTAAGTAGACGAACGAGGTGTTGGTCCGGACTGCATCCACCGTCCGCTGGGCCACCAGCTCAGGATTTAGCGGGGGAAAGAGCTGAGGGAACCTGGGCGATGAACACAACACTTTACCTTCACTCGTATTTAGCCATGCAAGACATATTGTGAACTGTGTCTTGGTGAATTCTTATCACAAAATAGATACTGAACTTATTCCTCCAGCCATTGATGTGCGAATGGGAATGGTTATTCCATCTATTGTTTTCTTATGGAACCTCTATCTGAGCCCATGTGTCATTTATGTGAGCTGACTGACTATATACTGGTTGACCCATAGCAAAACTAGAGTGCCATGTATAGTAGACCCAACGTACGGTAGACCCAACGTATGGTAGACCCATGGTGGTCCCACTCACCTGACTCTCATGCCCTGGAACATGTCAGTGTTGGTGTGGAAGGGGAGCATGGTGGTGCAGCCCACCCCAGGGCAGTCCAGCAGGCCCAGGGTGAGGCTCTCCATGAACGCCAGGGACGAGGCCTTGGAGGTGCAGTAATCTATGGCCCCCGGGATGGAGGACAGGGACAGGATGGAGTTGATACACACCACGTGGCCATGGCAAAGCTCCAGCATGCGGGGTAGGAAAGCTTTGGTGGTCTAGAGAAAGAGAGAGACTAACATTTAAATAAGGAAATAATCTCTGAAAAATGTTATCCTGTGTGCTACCTATATCCCCCCACTAGAATCCCCATACTTTAATAAAGACAGCTTCTCTATCCTAGAGGGGGAGATCAATCATTTCCAGACCCAGGAACATGTACTAGTCTGTGGCGACACAAAACGCCAGAAACTGACACCTCAGCACACGGGGGAAAAACACCTACCTGGAGGTGACAGCATTCCCGCCCCAACATGCCCCCCTAGACAACTACGACAAAACCACGTCATAACTCCTGCAGCTATGTCACACGCTGGGTCTGTACATATTCAATAGTAGGCTTTGAGGGGACTCCTACGGTAGCACCACCTATAGCTCAGTTCTTGGCAGCAGTACTGTAGACTACTTTATCACTGACCTCAACCCAGAGTCTCTCAGAGCGTTCAGTCAGCCCACTGACACCCCTATCAGATCACAGCAAAATCACAACCTACTTGAACAGAGCAATACTCAAATCATGAGGCATCAAAGCCAAACAAACTGCACACTATTAAGAAATGCTATATATGGAAGAAGGGTAGTGCAGTGCAGAAACCTACCAAAAAACTATTAGCCAACAACCAATTAAATCACTTTTAGACAACTTCCTGGAGAAAACATGAGCCTACACCTTCACTATGGTGAAACAAACAATACAGAAATACACCAAGAAAAAAGAAAAACAGCATGTCAGACATCAGCTCAATGTAATTGAAGAATCCATAGAATCTAAACACTTCTGGGAAAATTGGAACACACTATACAAACATGAAGTGCTATCTATCCAAAATGGAGATGTATGGATAAACCACTTCTCCAATCTTTTTGGCCTTTAATAAAGAACAAACAGCAAAAACATATACATGATCAATAAAAAAAATCTTAGTCCGCTCTTAAAGATTCATTGAATGAACTACAGGACAAAATACAAACCCTTCAACCCAAAAGGCATGTGGTGTTGATGGTATCCTAAATGAAATGATAAAATATAAAGACCACAAATTCCAATTGACAATACTTAAACTCTTTAACATCATTCTCAGCTCTGGCATCTTCCCCATTACTTGGAACCAAGGACTGATCACCCCAATCCACAAAAGTGGAGACAAATTCAACCCCAATAACTACCGTGGGATATGCATCAACAGCAACCTTGGGAAGATCCTCTGCATGATTATTAACAGCAGTCCTACATTTCCTCAGTGAAAACAATGTCCCGAGCAAATATCAAAATTGGCTTTTTACCAAATTACTGTACGACAGACCACGGATTCACCCTGCACACCCTAATTGACAAACAAACCAAACAAAAGCAAAGTCTTCATGCTTTGTTGATTTTAAAAAAGCTTGACTAAATTTGGCATGAGTGTCTGCTATATAAATGATGGAAAGCAGTTTTGGGGGGGGAAACAACATTACAAAATCCATGTACACAAACAAGTGTGCGGTTAAAATAGGCAGAAACAGATTTTTTCCCCTCAGGGCCGGGGGGTGAGACAGGGATGCAGCTTGAACCCAACCCTCTTCAACGTTTATAGCAACAAATTGGTGAGGGATCTAGAACAGTCTGAAGCACCCGGCCTCACCCTACTAGACTGAAGTCAAATGTTTACTGTTTTCAGATGATCTGGGGCTTCTGTCCCCTACCAAGGAGGGCCTACAGCAGCAACTAAATATTATTCACAGAGTCTATCAGTCTTGGGTCCTGACAGTTAATCTCAGTAAGACAAAAATAATGGTGTTCCAAAAAATGTCCAGTTGCCAGGACCACAAATACAGATTCCACTTAGACACTGTTGCCCTAAAGCATACAACTATACCTACCCTCTATGTATGAGGTCAACTCACCAATAATTCACAAAATAGGACAAACACCCAAATTGAGCCTCTGCATGAAGAATTCTGCAAAAACATCAGTGTACAACATAAAACACCAAATAATGCATGCAGAGCAGAATTAGGTAGATTCCCGCTAATTATCAAAATCCAGAAAACAGCAATAGAATTTTACAACCACCTAGATAGAAGCGATTCTAACCTTCCATAACAAAGCCCTCACCTACAGAGAGATGAACCTGGAGAAGAGTGCACTCAGCCAGCTTGTCCTGGGACTCTGTTCAAACACAAACAGACCCCACAGAGCCCCAGGACAGCAACACAGCTAGACCCAACCAAATCATGAGAAAACAAAAACATTACTTGACACATTGGAAAGAATAAACAAAAAAACAAGCAAACTGGAATGTTATTTGGCCCTAAACAGAGCCTACACTGTAGCAGAATACCTGACCACTGTGACTGATCCAAAATTAAGAAAAGCTTTGACTATGTACAGACTCCGTGAGCATGGTCTTGCTATCGAGAAAAGTCACCATAGCCGGTCTTCTCGAAAGCCAGGTCTGCCTATGTGCCCACAAAATGAGGTGGAAGTCGAGCTGCACTTTCTCACGCCCTGCCAAATGTATGACCATAGCAGAAACATATTTTCCTCAGATTACACAGACCCACAAATAATTTGAAAGCAAATCCAATTTTGATAAACTTCCATATATTTTAGGTGAAATACCACAGTGCCACAAAAGCAGCAAGATGTGTGACCCGTTGCCACAACAAAAAAAAAAGGGGGCAACCAGTGGAACACAAACACCATTGTAAATACAACCTATATTTATCTGTTTATTTATTTTTCCCTTTCATACTTCAACTATTTGCACATTGTTACAACACTGTACATACCCAATAATATAACATTTGAAATGTTTATATTCTTTTAACTTTTGTGAGTAATGTTTACTGTTAATTTCTGATTGTTTATTTCCCTTTAGTTTATCGTCTATTTCACTAGGCTTTGGCAATGTAAACATAAGTTTCCCATGCCAATAACGGCCATTGAATTGGAGAGAGCGAGAGCGAGCGAAACGTGACAGTCTGCACATTGTTCTGCTCCACTCAGTACTATTCCCTAGCTGTTCCTTCACTCTTCTCTCAAACTAGGTTCCCTCTTTACTTCCTGGAATTCACAACATTAACAGAGGGGTTGCAGCACTCCGAGAGAAGGGGAACCAAACCTGTTCCACATCCCATCAGTGTAGATCAGAGGACAAACGCCAACATAATGTAAGATCCCTTTATTAAGAGCGTGTCAGCCAGCACTCTTTTGCCAGCGTTTTACCTTAGATCCAATGATTCAGTAGTTAGAGTAAAATATAATTTCTCCCCTTCACATGTGGGATCAATACATGTTGAAAGATGACCCTAACATTTCCAATACTGAGCCTCGGAACTGAAACAAATAAAAATTCATACAATGCTTCAAAATATAATACAAGCCATAGTGAATGAGCACTTTCCTGAATAATTATCTAAAGTACATATTTTTCAACACTCACCCAGAACTGTCCCAGCGTGTTGATGTGTTGAGTCTTCATCAGAGCATCATCGTCACTGTCCAGCAGACTTCTCCCATGAACCACTGCTGCGTTATTCACCAGAATGGTGACGTCGCCCACCTAAGAGACAAAAATAAACATCTTCTTTAGATGTAAAACCCAAATCTCTTGTTTTATGCCAAAAGTAAGCATTTCACTGTTAGTCTACAATGGCTGTTTACGAAGCATGTGACAAATAACATTTTATTTGATCACTTTGTTTTGCGTTGGTATAATTGAAAGGATGTTAAGTGAGCGATAATTATGTCATGTTAATCCTTGTCTTATCTTAAGGCTTGAGTTAAGCTCAGTGGTGTAGTGGAGGGTATATGCAGGTATATGCCATATACGTTTATTGCGTATTCTCACTTCTTAATCCCCACGATGTACATCAAAGTAGTTCCAAAATGCAATTTGCGGGAAGTTCAAAAATGCACACGCAAGCATTTTAATGGACAGAGATGGAAATAGCCGTTACACATTTAGAAAGAGGAGATCTAAAGATGCAACAACTATCATGGGTTGCTAATATGACTAGGATAATGCCTTCGGCTGCTAGACAATGAAAGAAAGTTGAAAGAACCAATAGAACAGGAGAACACATGAAGTCTTTATAAAATAATTGCCTTCACGTTTCTATGGTGGGATTTTGGCTACTTTAAAGCAAGGTAAGACATGCCTCATAATATGAAGTAAAACATCCAGGTTTCAAACAATTAAGGAACAGGGAAAATATAGAGATGCTAATGATAGGACCAAGCAAGACGGAAAGTCTTTCCCAAAAACCTTCTCAATTAAATGTTAACTACCTACAAAGTAGCCTACACCTAACTGGCAGAATAATATCATGATTTGCATCAATCCAGTTGCCATTTGTTTTGCAAATTCCAACTAATGTGCTACTGAAAGATCACTAACCAAACAGTGCTAGTGAATTAAAGGGAAAGGGGGATACCTAGTCAGTTGTACAACAATGCATTCAACTGAAATGTGTCTTCCGCATTTAACCCAACCCCTCGGAATCAGAAAAGTGTGGAGGGCTGCCTTAAATCGACATCCACGTCGTTGGCGCCCGGGGAACAGTTAAAGGGTAACTACACTCCCCAAAATATTATTTAGATTATTCCCAGACCTCAAAACTAGTCTCCTGATGTGGTTTAAGAACATCCAATTGTATTGTTTTACTATTAAAAACAGTAACTTTGAGAGTGAAAATCAAAAACCTGTACATTTCTGACTCAAGTTGTCAGCCTCATTTATCGGCCTACTTGCACAGTACGCTTGGGTTGGCCTGACTGTGAAAGACCAATATGGGATTTATAATTTTAGGTCATTCAGAGTGTATGTCACTGTTTCTCATTGAATTTTTCATACAGGGCAGCTTGTCTTCGCTGGGCAGGCCGTTTGGGAAATTTTGGGCAGAATTAGTATACTCACTTCTCCAGGCACCACTACACCACTGGATAAGTTCATACATCACACTGTGTATCCCTGTGAAACACTGGAAGATTCCAAAGGCAACCTTTGAAAGTGTTGAAAATTGCCTTACACAGTCCAACCAGTCATGTGTTTGTTATCTACTGTAAATGACATTGGAACTAGGTCATTCATTTGGGTGGAGCCATCTCTACTGTACCTTCTCTCGGACCACCTTGGCCTGCTTATACACATCCTCCCGATTGGCCACGTCACACAGGAAGTAATGGCACTCGGCTCCGGTGGTGAGCGAGATCTCCTCACAGGTCTCCATCAGACACCTCTCAGTGCGGCCCCACAGGATCAACTGACAACAGGCAGAGAGGGGTCAAAGATTAAAAAAGGGCAGGCCATTGACCTGAGAATGCATATTTGGACTTGTGTTAGCTTGTAGGAATCACAAATAAATATAGGCTTTCTGGGTGGCAAGAGGTTAATATAATGGTTAAGTATTCAGATCAACGGTTGTAGATTATTATCATAAAAATCATTTTGTCAAACCAAAATGTGTGTCATCATTTTATGTTTCAAATTGTATTGGTAAAATGTTGCATGCATTTCTTGAACCAGTGCTCAGGTAGCTTACAGTAGGTTCAAGCTATATTCTATTACGTTAACATCTTTCCCATCTGTTTGAGCTTGCTGTGCTTTGCAGAGCTCTATATGATAAATTGCTAATTGAGGAGGCATTGGCTAGAGATTGAGCAGCCACAGACACAAGTTCTTTGATTTGCAGTTTGGGAGGGAAATCCAGAGACTTAGGGCTCTGAACTTTACAGAGTGTTTGAAATTTAAAGGCAACGTTCCCACTTTAGCAGAGACTGCATTCGTGGTAAACGCTGCATGTCACCTCAAAGAAGTCTAACGCTTCAGCTTTACAGATTGAATAGAGCCCTAAGCGCTCTATTTAATCAGATCAAGCGTTAACCGGCGATAGCCGACATGCCATAGCTGATGTGTTGGAGTTGTAACTGGGTTGGTGCCATCAAATCGGTGAGTAGCTGCTCTTGGTCATTGTCATGAAGCCATGTGTCCCTCTTACGTTAGAAGTTCAGAATGAGAAAATGTAGGCTATATAGAAATAATGACACTCAAATTGAAAATCATTAAACAAAATAATGAGGATTTCTATCAGCCTAATTGAGGTGTAGATTACATCTCACATTCTAGTGTTCGAACTTGTAAACAAGGCTGCATGGGATTTCTCTTAATGCGACTCCGTGCAGCCAATGGCAAAGTCCGCCAGGAGCCACTTGTGGATTTGACAGCTCTAACGCAGTTCCACCCCCGCTATGCGGATGTCAGCTAAAGCAGATCTGATTGAAGGAGCTTTAAGATCTAATATCCGTCTCCAGAGGTGCCCCTGTGCACTGATAACCCTGGATGGCTGGCTACTGGCCAGACCACTACACAGACACACATACAAGACATGCACGCACACACAACCATCAGATCATTTTACAACAATGACAAATGCTTTGGTGATAAAAGGAATATTTTCACCTTACTCTGAACTGTGCTTTCCACTACCCTGTCAGTGAACTTTATTGAACAGTCACTGGGGACCCAGACGGGCTAGAGTTGAGGTTAAAAAGGCAACATCATTGTAGTACCACGGAGCCATCCACCCTAACTGTCATCACCCCCATTGTATAGCACAGGGACTGAGGAAACACCTGTGTTTGTGTGTCTTTACAATATGAGGAAAGGGAACACTACGCATCATACATCACCCAGATCAGCTAGGGGGCAAGAGTTCAGGCTCCTTTCCACTAGTGTAGTAAGTACTGGTGCTTTCCCATTACTTTTCACATGGAAAACACACCGAAGGTGACTATCAAGTTTTTAATTGAACTGAAGTAATACAAAAATATACTCGATTCTGAAGTTATGCTAGAATAGAATAAAATAGAAATCATAAAACATTTCCAAACTGTCCCTTTTCCCCAACTTTCAGATGAGTTAAATTGTTAATGGAATATTATTATATTTATGAACACCAGGATAGCAAAGGTGCTGTACAAAGTGATGTGAGCTGGCTACAGTGTTGGTTATGACTGTTTGGCAATGCATTGCTTTTTGTTATTATTATTATTATTATTTATTATTATTATTATTATTATTTGTGCATTTAACAAGTATATAAACGCACAAATGGGTAATAAATAGCGCAGTGATTAGTTTACCTTTTTGGCCCCGTGTTTTGCAAACTCCTTCCCCAAATGCCGACCGATGCCCCGTCCACCGCCGGTGATCAATACCACCTCTCCGCGTAGGTCTTTCCGTCTGCTCGGGAGCAACAACCCCAAGCATGCTTTTAATATGTAGAAGATGATGTGGAACGTGAAAAGCACCGCGTTTCCCAAATTATTTAAATCCATTACGACTTTTAGGTATAAAATGCCTTTTGCTGAGAATACAATTGGAGTAAGCACATAGACTATGCGCACCTTCCCAAAGTGCGTGGATCATGCCAGATGGATGTTTAAGTGTTCTCCATAGCACTACCCCTCTACGACAGAATTCTCATCACTCCAGTTTTAATATCAGAGGTCCGACGCACATACGTCTTTGTCATAATAGGCACAGTACGAAAAAGCAGTGATAATAGCTGGAGAGCCACTGCCAACACAGTGCGTGCGCACACCAACAAAACTAATGGCTCTCGCGTCTTCGCCTGCCTATATGCTCAGCCCTTTCTATCCCAGCACTGTCTAACTACCGGTACTGGCATTATATAGCCCATTAATCTTGATTGACAGTTTAAATGTTGGAGATTAGCCAATAGCCACTCCGACTTGACTGTGCGTGCGGCTGTAGCGCTTTTTCTCTCTTCCAAAAGAGCTGCGAGAGGAGAAAGTCGCAGAAAAAATAAATAATTTGTAGGGGTTACGTCAGGGTTGTCGAACGCATTCCAATGAGGGCCGAGTGTCTGAGGGTTTTTGGTTTTTCTTTTAAATTAAGACCTAGACAACCAGGTGAGGTGAATTCCTTACTAAGTAGTGACCTTAATTCATCAATGAAGTACAAGTGTGGAGCGAAAACACTAAGAGACTCGGCCCTCCGTGGAATGTGTTTGACACGTGGGTTACATGATCAAGTTTACAACCACCACTGTCTTCATGGTATGAATTGCCAATAGACTGCAATACCATATAGTCTGTAGCCTATAATTGAAATTGCCTTGGATGATATGATTTATTGGGTGATATAAGCAATCATTAATGCCATAAACATCTAATTACATATTCATGTAGGTGTTTTAAGGTGGCAATATTCAACATGACATATTTTGAACTGTCTCATGTCATTGTAGGCTCAAGTTTCATCATAGATCTCTATGCCCCACACAGCACATATCCAAACGATAGGCGACCCGTTCGGTATATTGGTATTTTATTAGGATCCCAAATAACTGTTGCTAAAGTAGCAGCACTCTTCCTGGGGTCCACACAAAACATGAAACTTGATAATACAGAACATTTATAGACAATAATAGCTCAAAGACAGAACTACACAAATGTAAAACGTCATACATAGCCTATATATCAGTACATACACACAAAATATCTAGGTCAAATAGCAGAGAGGCGTTGTGCCATGAGGTGTTGCTTTATCTGTTTTTTTTAACCAGGTTTGCTGTTCACTTGAGCAATCTGAGATGGGAGTTCCATGCAATCATGACTATTTAATACTGTATTTTTTCTTGAATTTGTTTGGGGACTGTGAAAAGACCCCTGTCTGGTGGGGTACGTGTGTGTCAGAGCTGTGTGTAAGTTGACTATGCAAACAATTTGGAATTTAATTAATGTTTCTTATAAAAAGAAGAAGTGATGCAGTCAGTCTCTCCTCTACTTTTAGCCAAGAGAGACTGGCATGCATAGTATTGATATTAGCCCTCTTAATACAGTGAAGAGCAAGACGTGCCGCTCTGATCTGGGCCAGCTGCAGTTTTTCTAGGTCCTTCTTTACAGGACCTGACCATATGACTGGGCAATAATCAATATAAGATCAAACTAAAGCCTGCAGGCCTTGCTTTGTGGAGTGTGGTGTCAAAAAAGCAGAGCATCTCTTTATCACGGACAGACCTCTCCCCATCTTTACAACCATTGAATCAATATGTCACATTGGCTCCGTGGTAAAATAAACTTGGCTGTGTATTCAAGTATGGCCAGTAGGCCTACCCCAGACCTTACATTTTTCTTAAAGAAATGCATTTCAGCCAATGGACAAAAATATATAGCTCTTTACCTATTTCAATAATTTTTTTCCCAACCAAACATTTATTTTATTAAAGGTCTGGCTGACCAAGATATTTCAAAAACATGTCATATTGTATGCGTTCTGACCTTCAAATAACAGGAAGATGAGAAAAAGCATCTAATGCGGGCCAGCCCACACCAGCTTGGTTAAAAAGACCTCTAAAACACGTTGGGGTCTACCATAAAACACAACCACAGTGATAGTTGATCATAGGATGTTGACAAAAAAGGGAGGATGCCGTTAGAAAGGCAGAATGACAACATAAACGCTTAGAGAGTTGGAATGCATGTAGTTCTTATCTTCTTTCATATTTCGGACAATGTTTTTCTTTTCATAAGCTACTTTATGAAAAGTGAACAGTGCTTCTTCAGGTCCAGTGGCTGGAACTTCAGTAGATGGGGAAGTGAGTGACAGAGGAAGAGACTGGAGAGATTAGAGAGACTGGAGAAGGTCATGGGTCCATTTTGCTGCTCACGTCATCTCCCATGTCAGGGCTAACATTAGCACCATGGTGGTCAGCCCCAGTGCCTCATTGCAATAGGCTGCATCTACTAATAGAAGGAAATAAGTGTTAGTTACTTAATCTTCAGTAGGATGATATGTCTTACTTTGACCATTGTCCATTCTCTCTATGCTTACCAATTAAATTGTGTCTCCCCTTCTTTAGTCTGGGGTTCTCTGTTAAAACAGAGAAAACAAAGTAAGTAATGTGGATGAGGAGAGAGGGTAACTTGACACCGAGAATCCTCACACACACACACACTCACCAAACACGATAAGCCGTGTATATGTGTCTGTGGAGCCCAGAGGGTTCTGGGCAGTGCATCGAAACATGGAGCCGTTGAGCTTGGCCGGTACTCGCTCCAGCACCAGCTCCCTCCCATTATGGTCCTCTCTCCCGTCCAGCAGAGGACCTCCCACCCTGGTCCAGGTGAATAATGGCTCAGGGAACACCATGTTCTGGAAGTGCATGGGGATAAGCATCCTTTGTAAATAATGTGTGTACGTGATTGACAACATTGGAGTCAGACTGCACAAGATCACTGATATGCAAGACACCTTGCATCCCAAATAAATACTATGTGATCAAGATTATCGATTGTGTGCCTTGCCAGCTCGCCTTACTCTAACTGATTCCCTCAAACATGCTGAATGACTTTCATTCAAATGTATCTGCGACTTTCATTCAAATGTAGCTACCAGTTGTATTATATAGTCGTGGCGCGACACCTGCTGGAGAAGTGATTTCTTTTTTAAGAAGGTTTGCTTTCAATGATAGTGATATGTGGTTGTCTTTCCTACAGTTGAATGTAGTTACTGTCACGGTCATTATGAAAAGCGGACCAAGGCGCAGCGTGGTAAGCGTACATACTTTATTTAATTAACGTACTAAACACACGATCAAAACAAAACAACAAACGATACGTGAAGTCCTAGGTTAAACACCAAAACAAACCTTACGGAACAAGATCCCACAAATAACTAGTGCCAACAGGCTGCCTAAGTATGGTTCCCAATCAGAGACAACGAGAATCAGCTGCCTCTGATTGGGAACCACCCTGGCCAACATAGAAAACAAGAACTAGAACAAAACATAGAAAATCACACATAGAAAGTCCACACCCTGGCTCAACATTTAAGAGTCCCCAGAGCCAGGGCGTGACAGTACCCCCCCCCCCCCCCCCCCCAAAGGCGCGGACTGCGACCGCGCCAACCAAACACAACAGGGGAGGGGCCGGGTGGGCATTCCGCCTCGGAGGCGGATCCGGCTCCGGGCGTGACCACCACTCTCTCGCTACCCCCCCGTAGCGCCCCTGGTCTGGTCTGGCCCCGCTGGCCGGAGCTGGACTGGACACCGGTGGAGCGGATTGCTCAGGCTCCGGTGTGGAGCAGCTGACCGGTGCCTGATCAGGCTGTGCCGGACTGACGACGCGCACCACTGGCTTGGTGCGGGGAGCAGGAACAGGCCGGACCGGGCTGGCGACGCGCACCACTGGCTTGGTGCGGGGAGCAGGAACGGGCCGGACCGGGCTGACGACGCGCACCACTGGCTTGGTGCGGGGAGCAGGAACGGGCCGGACCGGGCTGACGACGCGCACCACTGGCTTGGTGCGGGGAGCAGGAACGGGCCGGACCGGGCTGACGACGCGCACCACTGGCTTGGTGCGGGGAGCAGGAACGGGCCGGACCGGGCTGACGACGCGCACCACTGGCTTGGTGCGGGGAGCAGGAACGGGCCGGACCGGGCTGACGACGCGCACCACTGGCTTGGTGCGAGGGTCAGGAACAGGCCGGACCGGGCTGACGACGCGCACCACTGGCTTGGTGCGAGGGTCAGGAACAGGCCGGACCGGGCTGACGACGCGCACCACTGGCTTGGTGCGGGGAGCAGGAACAGGCCGGACCGGGCTGGTGACGCGCACCACTGGCTTGGTGCGGGGAGCAGGAACGGGCCGGACCGGGCTGGCGACGCGCACCACTGGCTTGGTGCGGGGAGCAGGAACGGGCCGGACCGGGCTGACGACACGCACCACTGGCTTGGTGCGGGGAGCAGGAACGGGCCGGACCGGGCTGTGGAGACGGACTGGAGGTCTGGAGCGAAGAGCTGACACAACCCGTCCTGGCTGAATGCCTATTTCTACACACTCTGTGTGAGGCATCAGCACAGGACGTACAGGGCTGTGCACTCGTACTGGCACTACAGCACGTGGCACTGGCGCAGGATATCCGGGACCGAGGAGGGGTACTGGAGGCCACGAGCGTTGAGCCGGCACACTCCGTCCTGGCTGCATGCCCACCTTAGCACGACACGTGCGTGGTGCTAGCACAGGACGTACAGGACTCTGCCGGACCACTCGCGGCACAGTACGCAGCTCCGCATAACTCGGAACCTGCCCAGTCTCACGCTGCCTAGCCTGAGTACGGGGAATTGGCTCTGCTCTACCTCTAGGCTCCGCCAACCTCCCTTCCAGCCCCCCAAACCTGGTGGCCTCCTCTCCTAATCCGCCGATACGTCCTGTAACTGCCTCCAGCATCCCCGTCGTCCATGCCGTGTGCCCCCCCCAAAAAAATGTCTTGGGGTTGCCTCTCGCCTGTCCGACGACGACCCGGTTGGCGCCGCTTCTCCTCTCCTGCCTGGGCATCCTCCCTCATCGCCCTCCGGTAGCGGACGGCCTCCTCCTCTGTGATTCTCCCCCAACCGAGGAGGACGTCTACCAGAGTAACCTCCTGTTCCATACCCGGCGTTTGCTCCTGCACACGCTGCTTGGTCCTATTCTGGTGGGATCTTCTGTCACGGTCGTTATGAAAAGCGGACCAAGGCGCAGCGTGGTAAGCGTACATACTTTATTTAATTAACGTACTAAACACACGATCAAAACAAAACAACAAACGATACGTGAAGTCCTAGGTTAAACACCAAAACAAACCCTACGGAACAAGATCCCACAAATAACTAGTGCCAACAGGCTGCCTAAGTATGGTTCCCAATCAGAGACAACGAGAATCAGCTGCCTCTGATTGGGAACCACCCTGGCCAACATAGAAAACACGAACTAGAACAAAACATAGAAAATCACACATAGAAAGTCCACACCCTGGCTCAACATTTAAGAGTCCCCAGAGCCAGGGTGTGACAGTTACTGGTATAAGTAATATAAGAATAAAGCATTTCTCTTGTGCTCACCCCAGTGGATGAGATCTGGAGGCCCTGAACTGTAATGCGGACGGTGTCTCCTACTTTAGCCTTACCAGGCATCATGGACAGTTTGGGGCCCCTGGGAGCAGCTAAAGGGAAACAAATACAAACTATGAATGTTACCTATTTTCTATATTTTAACAAAACACTATTTTTCCTTATGTGTCTCAAACTATTTCTAAAGGAATAAATGAAACATCTATATTCTCTGTATGCTATGCAAAAAGCTCTCACCCTTAGAATCCATTTTTATATGAGCATGCATGCTAAACCATGGCAGACTGGGAATAGCTGTTTTTGATTATGATAAATCTCCTCTATATCTAGTAATCCACTCATACTAACTGATATGAGGTTTGCCGTGTATTCATCATGAACTGATGCCCGTGGATGTGCTGCATACAGAGTATGCGTGTGTAGGTGTGTGTGCTTATGTAATTACATATGTACAGTGGGGGAAAAAAGTATTTAGTCAGCCACCAATTGTGCAAGTTCTCCCACTTAAAAAGATGAGAGAGGCCTGTAATTTTCATCATAGGTACACGTCAACTATGACAGACAAATTGAGGAAAAAAAATCCAGAAAATCACATTGTAGGATTTTTTATGAATTTATTTGCAAATTATGGTGGAAAATAAGTATTTGGTCACCTACAAACAAGCAAGATTTCTGACTCTCAGAGACCTGTAACTTCTTCTTTAAGAGGCTCCTCTGTCCTCCACTCGTTACCTGTATTAATGGCACCTGTTTGAACTTGTTATCAGTATAAAAGACACCTGTCCACAACCACAAACAGTCACACTCCAAACTCCACTATGGCCAAGACCAAAGAGCTGTCAAAGGACACCAGAAACAAAATTGTAGACCTGCACCAGGCTGGGAAGACTGAATCTGCAATAGGTAAGCAGCTTGGTTTGAAGAAATCAACTGTGGGAGCAATTATTAGGAAATGGAAGACATACAAGACCACTGATAATCTCCCTCGATCTGGGGCTCCACGCAAGATCTCACCCCGTGGGGTCAAAATGATCACAAAGTGATCCCAGAACCACATGGGGGGACCTAGTGAATGACCTGCAGAGAGCTGGGACCAAAGTAACAAAGCCTACCATCAGTAACACACTACGCCGCCAGGGACTCAAATCCTGCAGTGCAAGACGTGTCCCCCTGCTTAAGCCAGTACATGTCCAGGCCTGTCTGAAGTTTGCTAGAGTGCATTTGGATGATCCAGAAGAGGATTGGGAGAATGTCATATGGTCAGATGAAACCAAAATATAACTTTTTGGTAAAAACTCAACTCGTCGTGTTTGGAGGACAAAGAATGCTGAGTTGCATCCAAAGAACACCATACCTACTGTGAAGCATGGGGGTGGAAACATCATGCTTTGGGGCTGTTTTTCTGCAAAGGGACCAGGACGACTGATCCGTGTAAAGGAAAGAATGAATGGGGCCATGTATCGTGAGATTTTGAGTGAAAACCTCCTTCCATCAGCAAGGGCATTGAAGATGAAACGTGGCTGGGTCTTTCAGCATGACAATGATCCCAAACACACCGCCCGGGCAACGAAGGAGTGACTTCGTAAGAAGCATTTCAAGGTCCTGGAGTGGCCTAGCCAGTCTCCAGATCTCAACCCCATAGAAAATCTTTGGAGGGAGTTGAAAGTCCGTGTTGCCCAGCGACAGCCCCAAAACATCACTGCTCTAGAGGAGATCTGCATGGAGGAATGGGCCAAAATACCAGCAACAGTGTGTGAAAACCTTACAGAAAACGTTTGACCTGTGTCATTGCCAACAAAGGGTATATAACAAAGTATTGAGAAACTTTTGTTATTGACCAAATACTTATTTTCCACCATAATTTGCAAATAAATTCATTAAAAATCCTACAATGTGATTTTCTGGATTTTTATTTCTCATTTTGTCTGTCATAGTTGACGTGTACCTATGATGAAAATTACAGGCCTCTCTCATCTTTTTAAGTGGGAGAACTTGCACAATTGGTGGCTGACTAAATACTTTTTTCCCCCCACTGTAACTGTGTAGAAAATGGCTAATCTGCTGTGAGATTTCTAGAGCATTTCTAAGCAGAACTAATGGATCCTCTGAACAAAATACTCCATTAAAGAGCATCCTCATTAAGTGAGTCACTGCCTCTAAATAGTTGCTGGCTGCTGCTGGATCCTGAGCTAAAGCATAGTGTTAATAGTGATCAGGTTCTCTGTACTGTATTTTCCTGTAGTTGGCTGATGCTTTAGGCTGGAAAGTGCCTGTTTTCTGCCATTACTGAATGCATTAGATCTAAGTAGGGTTGTATATATACTGAGTACACCAAACATTAGGTACACCTTCCTAATATTGAGTTGCACCCCACCCTTTAGCCATCAGAACAGCCTCAATTCGTCGGGGCATGGACTCTACAAGGTGTCGAAAGGTTTCCACAGGGATGCTGGCCCATGTTGACTCCAATGATTCCCATAGTTGTGTCAAGTTGGCTGGATGTCTTTTGGGTGGTGGACCATTCTTGATACACACAGGAAACTGTTGAGCGTGAAAAAAACAGTAGCATTGCAGTTGTTGACACACTCAAACTAGTGTGCCTGGCACCTTCTACCATACCCCGTTCAAAGGCACTTCAATATTTTTGTCTTGCCCATTCCATGTCTCAGTTGTCTCAAGGCTTAACAATCCTTCTTTAACCTGTCTCCTCCCCTTCATCTACACTTCATAAAGTTTTGTATACTCAGTGTATATTCCCCAAATTACGAACTTTCAGACACCATGTTCATTTTCCGTTAATTCAGGAAAAATACCTATAGTGAATTTTAACTATTATTTTAGAAAGGTATTATTTTAGAATGTTCTCTCCCCTTGCATCCCTAGCTCTGATAGGTTAATACAGACATGGACTCCTTGGGTATCGAGTATCTGGTTGGCATTAAAAAGTGGGTTTATGTTCTCAGAGAGAGATTACTATTTGGTATCCAGCTGATTTTCATGGTCTAATCTGGTACTCACACAGAGTGACCTCAGCCTGCATGGGCATGGACAGAGCTGGGTGCTTGACCTCGCAGCTGAACAGGGCGTCGTTGTCCAGCTGGGGGTTGAGGCTCCAGGTGAGCATGGCTCTGACCTCCATGGTGCCGTCGCTGGACGCCTGCCGCCGATGCTTGAAGTAGTAGAGCGGGTCAGTGCTCTGCACCCAGCGGGGGAACTCCCGGCTTACCACCGTCTCTGGGATCACCTCCGTGGTGGTGGGGCTGGGCTCAGACCCCTCCAGACTTCCTGGCTCACCCCCGGCCCCTCCCATCTTCCCCGTCCCTCCGATCCCAGGGGTGTCCAGGTCCAGCAGGGAGAGGGACTTCTTCAGCTTGGTGTCATCCAGGTCTCTGCTTATCAGGGGCCTAGAGCCCCGTAGCCCTGCCAGGCCCCTGCCCTGGGATTGGCCCCCTCCACCCTCCATAATAGAGGGGACCACCTCAATCAGCTCGCCGTCACGCTTGAAGTACACCTGAAAGGATAATGACATCGTAAGAGCCCGTAACAACCAATCACACCCGTCATTTCAAAAGTTCAGTGAGTATTTCTACCTATATATTTCAGTATGAGGACTGTTTGCATGTTGTCAAACTCACCATAGGGGCTGGCTTTCCTCCCATGACGATGCAGACTAGAGTGAAGTTCTGGGCATCATAGCGACTGAAGGGGGCCGGGCAGTCTGCTGCCACTACAGAAATGGACTTAGGAGGCACTATGGAGGAAAAGAGCATAGAACCTGTGACTCAAAACAAGAAATCCATCCACATATAGGCATATTTTGCATCTAGAATTTTCAGAAGGGCTACATATAAAACAAACTAAAACATGAAACAGACAGGTCTTTCATGTCTGTACTGTACTTGATGGCACAAAGTTAGTCTCGTAGACCCGACCCTAGGCAACAGCAGTGACTAGGGTCTGGTATACAAGATGGACTCTCTTGGTAACTTCGATAAGGGGGAGGGGATTCCAGGGTGGGTCAGACAGACAACTCTCACAACAAATCACAAGGTAGACATCCCAGAACGTCGCAATTCGAAACCAAAGTTTGCAGGCAAAACCTTTACAATGATTTTAGTGAAGTTAGTTGATGCAAACTAGCCACTTGCGAAATGCACTCATAAAAATAACCTCTGTGATCTCCATCTTGCTAGCTATTATTTTGTATTTTATTCAAGCGGATCAGGCAGTGGCGTAGGCAGTGCCAAACTGACATTCTATTATGTACAGACATGTTAAGCTGGAACATTGTGGGAGGCAACCCGGATTTCTAGAAAGACTAGCAGAAAGTAGTCTCCTGTGCATTTCCCACATCTCAACAGTAGGGGGAGGCAGAGGTGATAGAAATACTAATAGACAGATAGAAGCGTGGATGTTGGACGAAGGCTACAAAACCTGCCATTCACAAAACCCTATCAAATACCATATGATCATATCATTCATGATCATATCAATATAGCGTTAATTCTCTTGAATATTACCCATGACAATGAGCACGATGCTGCCAGAGGCTAAGACAACCCTGTCTCTAGAGGCCTTGTCGTAGATCCCCACGTGGCACTCATACGGCCCATCATCTTCCATCTGGACCTCAGGGAGCCTGGCAACACAACAACAAACCAATGAAGAAAATAACCATACAGGTTAGGAGTTTTCCAGGTACTCAAAGCATTGAATAAGATCAATTAAAATACAATAAGATACGATAAAATAAGATAAGAGACGAACAAATAAAATAAGCCTACACTTGGGGGTGAAAACACTGATCAATGCTCTCTTTCTTGAGGCTGCCGCCTACAGTTCAAGCTTACCGGACAGTTGATTGGTAGACCAAGTCTTCTCGTCTGTGGAAGTCCTCCATATGGGAGAAGTTGGTGTTGTACATGGCATCGTAGGTGAAGATCTTCTGCTTGGCACTGCCACCCTCTGTCACCTAGAAAGTGAAGGAATACATCACATTACACACCCTTGACACTTTTCATCTATATTATTCGTAGCCGTCTATTTACCACCACAAACCGATGCTGTCACTAAGACCGCACTCAACGAGCTGTATAAGGCTATAAGCAAACAAGAAAATGCTCATCCAGCAGCGGCACTCCTAGTGGCTGGGGACTTTAATGCAGGCAAACTTAAATCCGTTTTACCTAACTTCTACCAGCATGTCACATGTGCAACCAGAGGGAAAAAAAACTCTAGACCACCTTTACTCCACACACAGCGACGCATACAAAGCTTTCCCTCCCCCTCCATTTGGCAAATCTGACCATAATTCTATCCTCATGATTCCTGCTTACAAGCAAAAACTAAAGCAGGAAGTACCAGGGACTCGCTCAATACGGAAGTGGTCAGATGACGCGGCTGCTACGCTACAGGACTGTTTTGTTAGCACAGACTGGAATATGTTCCGGGATTCATCCAATGGCATTGAGGAGTTTACCACTTCAGTCACCGGCTTCATCAATAAGTGCATCGATGACGTCGTCCCCACACTGACCGTACATACATATCCCAACCAGAAGCCATGGATTACAGGCTACATCAGCACCGAGCTAAAGGCTAGAGCTGCCGCTTTCAAGGAGCGGGACACTAATCCAGATGCTTATAAGAAAATCCCGCTATGCCCTCAGACAAACCATCAAACAGGAAAAGCGTCAAAACAGGACTAAGATTTAATCCTACTACACCGTCTCTGACGCTCATCGGATGTTGCAGGGCTTGCAAACTATTACGGACTACAAAGGGAAACCCAGCCGCGAGCTGCCCAGTGACGCGAGCCTACCAGACGAGCTAAATGCCTTTTATGCTCTCTTCGAGGCAAGCAACACTGAAGCATGCAAGAGAGCACCAGCTGTTCCAGACGACTGTGTGATCACGCTCTCCGTAGCCGATATGAGCAAGACCTTTAAACAGGTCAACATTCACAAGGCCGCAGGGCCAGACGGATTACCAGGACGTGTACTCAGAGCATGCGCGGACCAACTGGCAAGTGTCTTCACTGATATTTTCAACATCTCCCTGACCGAGTCTGTAATACCTACATGTTTCAAGCAGACCACCATAGTCCCTGTGCCCAATAAAGCAAAGGTAACCTGCCTAAATGACTACCGCCCCGTAGCACTCACGTCGGTAGCCATGAAGTGCTTTGAAAGGCTGGTCATGGCTCACATCAACACCATCATCCCAGAAACCCTAGACCCACTCCAATTCGCATACCGCCCCAACAGATCCACAGATGACGTAATCTCAATCACACTCCACACTGCCCTTTCCCACCTGGACAAAGGGAACACCTATGTGAGAATGCTGTTCATTGATTACAGCTCAGTGTTCAACACCATAGTGCCCACAAAGCTCATCACTAAGATAAGGACCCTGGGACTAAACACCTCTCTCTGCAACTGGATCCTGGACTTCCAGACAGGCCGCCCCCAGATGGTAAGGGTAGGCAACAACACATCTGCCACGCTGATCCTCAATACTGGGGCCCCTCAGGGGTGCGTGCTTAGTCCCCTCCTGTACTCCCTGTTCACCCACGACTGCGTGGCCAAGCACGACTCCAACACCATCATTAAGTTTGCTGACGACACAACAGTGGTAGGCCTGATCACCGACAACGATGAGACAGCCTATAGGGAGGAAGTCAGAGACCTGGCAGTGTCGTGCCAGGACAACAACCTCTCCCTCAATGTGAGCAAGACAAAGGATCTGATCGTGGACTACAGGGAAAGGAGGGCCGAACAGGCCCCCATTAACATTGACGTGGCTGCAGTGGAGCGGGTTGAGAATTTCAAGTTCCTTGGTGTCCACATCACCAACAAACTATCATGGTCCAAACACACCAAGACAGTCGTGAAGAGGACACGGCAACACCTTTTCCCCCTCAGGAGACTGAAAAGATTTGGCATGGGTCCCCAAATCCTCAAAAAGTTATACAGCTGCACCATCGAGAGCATCCTGACCGGTTGCATCCCTGCCTGGTATGGCAACTGCTCGGCATTCGACTGTAAGGCGCTACAGAGGGTAGTGCGTACTGCCCAGTACATCACTGGGGCCAAGCTTTCTGCCATCCAGGACCTATATACTAGGCGGTGTCAGAGGAAGGCCCAAAAAATTGTCAGACTCCAGTCACCCAAGTCATAGACTGTTCTCTCTGCTACCGCATGGCAAGCGGTACTGGAGCACCAAGTCTAGGTCCAAAATGCTCCTTAACAGCTTCTACCCCCAAGCCATAAGACTGCTGAACAATTAATCAAATGGCCACCCGGACTATTTACAATGAGATCCCCACCCCCCTTTGTTTTTACACTGCTGCTACTCACTGTTTATTATCTATGCATAGCCACTTTACCCCTACCTACATGTACAAATTACCTCGACTAACCTGTACCCACACACATTGACTCGGTATCCCCTGTATATAGCCTCGTTATTGCTATTTTATTGTGTTACTTTTTATTTCATTTTTTACTTTAGTTTATTTAGTAAATATTTTCTTAACTATTTCTTGAACTGCATTGTTGGTTAAGGGCTTGTAAGTAAGCATTTCACAGTAAGGTCTAGACCTGTTGTATTCGGCGCATGTGACAAATACAATTTGATTTGATTTGACATACATGTAACACAAGTTTCTACACAAAACACAATCTTGGTATTTGGTATTTTATTAGAATCCCCATTAGTTGTTGCGAAAGCAGCAGCTACTCTTCCTGGGGTCCACACAGAACATAAAACAGCTAAAGGACAGAACTACATACATTTTAAAACGGCACACATGGCCTACATATCAATACATACACACAAAATATCTAGGTCAAATAGTGGAGAGGCGTTGTGCTGTGAGATGTTGCTTAATCCGTTTTTTTTAATCGATGCACACAGTTATTATTTTCCAAGTCATGAAGGCTAGAGAGCTTTGAAGCCTCTTCTTTTGCCACTTTAATCAGTTTAGTTAGTTCATGAGAGTTTGAAGTAAATTTTCACAAGGAGCTTATCAAACCGAGTAGCTCTTGAGAAGTCATTAGATATAGTACAGTTATGTACTGTATCTAATGCTCTCTCTCTTTGCGTCAAAAGATTTGACACATTTGTCAGGAAAATTGAAAATGGCAGAGAACAAAGCCGACCTAGTCAAAAGCTTCTCATAGAAGTAAACACAAGATACAGTATGTGCTGTTGCAAACAACCATACAGTTCATACACAGACATCAAGGCCCCCCTACTCACCCGAAACCACACAATCTCTCGCAGGTTGCCATCCGTCCTGAAATTGCACTTGAGCGTTACCGTGTCTCCAATCACAACGGGAGGGAGAGGCTCAATAGTGACAGTTAAATAGCCTGTGGGTCAAAGAAAGAGGTAAAATATGTTACACACATTTCCACACACATTTCTCTCCACAACATACAGTCCCTTCTATGAAACCCATAGCATAGTCCAGCACAAAACTTGCTAAAGGCATTCATTAGATATAAAGTTGTTGTATTTTATTCTATGATTCCTAATGACCCTCTTGTGTTTTTGTTACTATACTTCTCAAATGACCATACCTCGCTGTCTCTGGAGCATTGGAAATCAAACCTTATAGGCTAGCTGTAATTACATGGATTGTTAATAGTGCATAATCAAGGCTATATGGCCAAAACGTCATCTGTTTTGTCACAGGCTATTACAGCTTGGGATAGCATTATTGTGTGCACACATTTCCCCCTTTACTTTCATGATCATTAACTGTGGTGCTGTAATAGTAGGTGTCCATATCTATGTAAAGGTAGGGTGGCAATGGCAGCACAATTGTTTATTTGCATGTTTATGGTGCTCTATTTCTCCCGTTATCGTGGTCTTAGTGTGTGCTAAGTGCTGTGGCTCTGTCAGGGTAAAAAGTAAAGTATGGTGAATTAAAAGCCAACCTGTTTCCTAAACAAGCCAAGGACATGATATAGTGCTTAGAAGCACTGGTCTCTATCTCTACCCTGCAGAGGCATCTGAGGACAGAGAAACCCTAGTAGCGACCTCATTCTCTCTGATAATTAATGCACTGTAATGATATGTTTTCATTTATAATAATTAGGTGGTTGCTTATATTTGTCCTATTTCCCATGTACAAGTGTGTATTATATGCATGTGTGAATTGGAAATGTGTTTTTTGCATATCCCAACTCCCCCTGAGACACCCTCGGAGAGTGGGGTCATGGCCAGGGTCTGCCATTATCAACGGTGACCCTGGAGCAATTAGGGTTAAGTTCCTTGCTCAAGGGCAAATAAGTAAATTTTGTGAGTGTTATAGTGTTGTATGGGTCATTCCACAAAATGAGTCCCTTTTGCGTCCCTTTGATATTTTACGTAGAAATTGTGCACCAATATTGGATTTTAAAAACCTGTTATATTAAATGAAGTGCCCTTTAATATAGACCACATGGAAAATTCAATAAATCAGCATTTTGACATGTCCCTCTGTGCACTCTCTGTGACTTCTATGAAGATTTTAACCCACTTAACCCCAACATTTCTCCAAGTTTTCATCATCATTGTAAAGCCCTAGTTATTTTGTTGCTTTGACAACATCATTTCTGAAGTTAGTGATTCACTTTAAGCTAATAAAAACAACATGTCCCTCATTTTAAGGTTCACCTTGTTACATGAACTGAACTCTCGTTTTATAATGGTAAAACTATTCCTTTTAAATACATTCTTCTTAATATTATATATTTTTGTACCCCCTTTTTCTCCCCAATTTCGTGATTATGATCTTGTCTCATTGCTGCAACTCCACAACGGGCTCTGGAGAGGTGAAGGCCGAGTCATGCGTCCTCCGAAACATGACCAGCCAAGCCGCGCATCTTAACACCCGCCCGCTTAACCCGGAAGCCAGCTGCACCAATGTGTCGGAGGAAACACAGTTCAACTGACGACCGAAGACAGCCTGCAGGCGCCCGGCCCACCACAAGGAGTCACTAGAGCGCAATGAGCCAAGTAAAGCACCCCCGGCCAAACCCTCCCCAACCCGGATGACGCTGGGCCAATTGTGCACCGCCCTATGGGACTCCCAGTCATGGCCAATCCCAGGCTGTAGTGACGCCGCAACACTGCGATGCAGTGCCGTAGACCGCTGCGCCACTCGGGAGGCCTTAAATACATTTTTCTAAAGAAACATTGAACATCTAATAGTGAAATCATAGCAGTTGAGCTGGTTCTACTCTTTTTGGCCATTTTCTGTTGTTTTGTGGTAGAAAACTGAGTGGGTCGAGCATAACACGTCAACCCTGTTACCCATAGATAGACAGGCTAGAAATATTTTAACAATTAAAACATTTTTGTGAAGTTTGCATTCAATTGCCCCTCCCGGTTGTACACAACGAGCTTCCATTCCCCCTGTCACGAGGGGATTTATGGCTGATTTAAGGTTAAATTGTCAACCCTGTTACAATCACTGGACAGTTTTATCTCCATCTCTTCATTCAATGACTCAATCATGGACACTCTTACTGACAGTTGTGGCTGCTTCACGTGATGTATTGTTGTCTCTACCTTTCCCTTTGTGCTGTTGTCTGTGCCCAATTGTGTTTGTACCATGTTTTGTGTTGATACCATGTTGTGCTTCTGCCATGTTGTGTTGCTACCATGTGTTTGTCATGTTGTGTTGCTACCATGTTGTGTTGTCATGTGTTGCTGCCATGCTAGGTGGTTGTCTTAGGTCTCTCTTTATGTAGTGTTGTGGTGTCTCTCTTGTCATGATGTGTGTTTTGTCCTCTATTTGTATTTTGAATCCCAGCCCCCGTCCCTTTTTGCCTTTTGGTAGGCCGTCATTGTAAGTAAGAATTTGTTCTTAACTGACTTGCCTAGTTAAATAAAGGTTAAATAAATCTAATATATACACTGCTCAAAAAAATTAAGGGAACACTAAAATAACACATCCTAGATCTGAATGAATGAAATAATCTTATTAAATACTTTTTTCTTTACATAGTTGAATGTGCTGACAACAAAATCACACAGAAATTATCAATGGAAATCAAATGTATCAACCCATGGAGGTCTGGATTTGGAGTCACCCTCAAAATTAAAGTGGAAAACCACACTACAGGCTGATCCAACTTTGATGTAATGTCCTTAAAACAAGTCAAAATGAGGCTCAGTAGTGTGTGTGGCCTCCACGCACCTGTATGACCTCCCTACAACGCCTGGGCATGCTCCTGATGAGGTGGCGGATGGTCTCCTGAGGGATCTCCTCCCAGACCTGGACTAAAGCATCCGCCAACTCCTGGACAGTCTGTGGTGCAACGTGGCGTTGGTGGATGGAGAGAGACATGATGTCCCAGATGTGCTCAATTGGATTCAGGTCTGGGGAACGGGCGGGCCAGTCCATAGCATCAATGCCTTCCTCTTGCAGGAACTGCTGACACACTCCAGCCACATGAGGTCTAGCATTGTCTTGCATTAGGAGGAACCCAGGGCCAACCGCACCAGCATATGGTCTCACAAGGGGTCTGTGGATCTCATCTCGGTACCTAATGGCAGTCAGGCTACCTCTGGCGAGCACATGGAGGGCTGTGCGGCCCCCCAAAGAAATGCCACCCCACACCATGACTGACCCACCGCCAAACCGGTCATGCTGGAGGATGTTGCAGGCAGCCGAACGTTCTCCACGGCGTCTCCCTACTCTGTCACATGTGCTCAGTGTGAACCTGCTTTCATCTGTGAAGAGCACAGGGCGCCAGTGGCGAATTTGCCAATCTTGGTGTTCTCTGGCAAATGCCAAACGTCCTGCACGGTGTTGGGCTGTAATCACAACCCCCACCTGTGGACGTCGGGCCCTCATACCACCCTCATGGAGTCTGTTTCTGACCGTTTGAGCAGACACATGCACATTTGTGGTCTGCTGGAGGTCATTTTGCAGGGCTCTGGCAGTGCTCCTCCTGCTCCTCCTTGCACAAAGGCGGAGCTAGCAGTCCTGCTGCTGGGTTGTTGCCCTCTTACGGCCTCCTCCACGTCTCCTGATGTACTGGCCTGTCTTCTGGTAGCGCCTCCATGCTCTGGACACTATGCTGACAGACACAGCAAACCTTCTTGCCACAGCTCGCATTGATGTGCCATCCTGGATGAGCTGCACTACCTGAGCCACTTGTGTGGGTTGTAGACTCCGTATCATGCTACCACTAGAGTGAAAGCACCGCCAGCATTCAAAAGTGACCAAAACATCAGCCAGGAAGCATAGGAACTGAGAAGTGGTCTGTGGTCACCAACTGCAAAACCAGTCCTTTATTGGGGGTGTCTTGCTAATTGCCTATAATTTCCACCTGTTGTCTATTCCATTTGCAGAAACAGCATGTGAAATTTATTGTCAATCAGTGTTGCTTCCTAAGTGGACAGTTTGATTTCACAGAAGTGTGATTGACTTGGAGTTACATTGTGTTGTTTAAGTGTTCCCTTTATTTTTTTGAGCAGTGTATATTTATTTAACTCATACTTTATTTGTCACTTAATAGGCACTTACTATAGTCATTTATTGTTATTTAACCTCTTGAGATAGTAAAACATGACAGAATGTTAAAATTAGGTTAAATAAAATTACACTACCCAAAAGGACTAATTCCGTGGAACGATCTATATAATAACACCAGGGCGTAGATAGTACATTTTAAATCTGTAGGATCAGGTATCCACGATGACCCTTGACTTTCTGGCATGTTGAGTGTGATGGTGCGATGGCCCAGGACTGATCCCAGAGCACTTAAAGAGACATAAGCGTAGCACAGTGTAGGGCAGCTGGTAAAGAGTGTAATCTCCTGTTTCATACTGCTACACCAGTATAGAATCCCCACCACTTCTCCCACCTTGGCCTCTACACCCTGATGTCACATGGATTATTTTTCCTCATGTTTCTCCCACTAATCCCCCATCTTTTCATCCACAGACCCAGCCAGTCGGCACATCGCTCTGCATCCTGCTACAGATACTACATGGATGGGAGGAGAGAGCTGGAGGGGCTTGTGCTTCATACTCACAAACACATTTGAAAAAGAAAAAAATAAACGGCAGCTTTTTGGAGCAAAGAGAGCTGCCATTCAACTATGTAAGCGTGAGCCCTGTAGGTGAAGGCAAAAATATTTGACTCAGGTGTTTTTATGATGTCAGTTGACATTTCTTAAAGGGGCCCTTCCACTAAGAAACTATAATCCCAATCAGGGTCATATTCATAAGGGTTTCTTATAGGACAAGGTAGTCCGTCCCTGCTTCAGTCCGTTTTCTTCTGTTTGGTGACTATTGAACATAACCTAGCTATTTAGGCTGTCAGCAATATCCTCCTCATCAGTTACTGCTGGTGAGGTTAGGCCTTGAGGGCCCGATTCCGACCCGAGTTAAGCATGCGTAAATGGAACGTAATTCAGTTTTTATGCACTTTTCTCTCTATGCCTATTCTGACCTTGAACCTCAGCATGAGAATAGCATGCTATTCACCAGCTATTCCTTTGGGGTGGAGATCGAATAAATGAAGGTGTGGTGGAGGTGTTGTTAGATTAATTTGTATTTTAAGAATAATGACTAAAGGATTTCACCCCAAATACAGT